GTTATCAGGCTTGACAAATACATTTTTGTTATATTCATTAAGATGATTAAAGTAGATTGTTTTCTGGCCAACGTTAAAAAGAGGAAAACGATTCACCCTGCACTTTCCAGAAGTTTCCAGAATTTGCACTTTAACACTTGAAACTTATACTTTCTGGAAATATGATGTCTCTCCTCCAATACACAAAAGGTATACACACATATTTCACTTTTTTTTTCTTCGTCTTTATTGACAATTTTAGAACATACAAAAAATATTCACACAAAATCTTGTAGAGGATAAACATGCAACAGCAAAATACACAGGAACGAGCTAATTCAAACATAAGTCAAGACTCGAGGGAACATACATAAAAATAAATAAATTAAATTAAAACTTTTCCAAAAGTATACGTCAGGCAAATGATAACAGACAACAACCTGGAGCATGTACAAAAACATTCAACGAGGACCAGAAATCAAAACAACAAGAATTTCGACAAGTCAGCACTTATCTTTCTAGCAAGGTATACACACATTTGCTGAGTGATGAAAGCGTCACTGTGTTTGTGTTTGAATGTTCTCACATGTAGCGCTATTCGCTACTGTAAATGCCAATCAGTGTTTGTGGCAAGTCCCTCAATTACTTCATTTTTTAAAGGGAACCACATTAATGACTTCATTTGAATAGTGCTCTAGTAGCTTGTGTGTGTGAACTTTGATAATGTAGCACCCATAAACACAGATGAACTGTATCAGTGCTGTGTACGTTTGGTTTGCTTTGACAATGACAGTTGTCATGTATCTCATTGTCGTCTGCAGATGAGTCTGTTAATGCTGAATCGCATGTTGATATGTTGGCCAATTTCCAACATAAAAAGAAGACTTTTCATTGCCCCTCCACATCCACATACTGTGTATTTAAACACCATGTAGCAAAAGCTGTCAACTCCATCCAACCTATATAATCCTCAGTCAAACACAGCATGGTGTGTATTTCACTGTAAACATCCGCTCTGTGTCAGCACCATCTTCTCGTTTCTCTGGGAGCTGCCATCAGACGTCCTGCAGGCCTTTACCGGGGCTTCCTGAGAGGCCAGCAGCCCTGTCGTTTTCTCTCCTGCTTACCACGAGCCTGAGGGGCTTCATGTCTGACAGCCGGTCCCAATGCTGAGACCCACTCTGACCATCTGTCTGAGCCACGCAGTCAGAGAGTTACAGCTGACATGTCATTCTTGTTGGGATTTCTCTACATGAATGGGAACAGCTCTCATTATGTTTTACATCCATGAGGACTACAACTCCCAAACGCTGTTAGAGCATACATTCAACAATTACAATACAAATGCTTTGCGCTATCATTGTTTGTTCTAATTCCTTTTAATATTAGCACTTAGCAAGTTCATTCTGATATGTAGGAACCCAGTGTCACCGCTATGAAGGAGTCAAGTCATTAGAATACATTTTGAGGAAATAATGGAGGAGAACAGAATAGTTTTCAAACCAACTCTCTGTTGGAAACATACATCAACTTGCCCAAACTTTCCCTCTGAAGTGAACAAGAATTACAACCATTTCAAAGAAGCTCACTATCTTTCTTCAATATATCCAAGAAAAGTGGTGGATAACCTAACAAATGGTTTAAAAAGGCTTGTTTTGGATTTTGTCTGCTCTTGCCTCTTTAGAGGAGGTTGGAACAGGCCTTACCGAACTTGCAGTTTGGTTTTCTGAACATCATTAGCGAGTGCAGCTTGTAAGTTCTATTTGCTGTCACCGGCCCTCGCAGCCAAACAACCAGCACGGCCCACCAGGGATTTTTCCTGGTCCTCCAGATTAGCCACTCTGGGCCTGCTGATTAAATAAATGACGGATTGGACATGTACCTTAATACAATGAGCATGGCCAAAGTATTTTATCATAAGATTACCAAGTTTAAACTTTGGATAGGTATACCCGCTAAAACACCAAAGCTAAATTGCCCCCAATAAATTTACTTTTTTCTCATGTGTGGGTATTATTTTCTTAAGGTTACAGTGCCCAGCTGTCAAATGAAATAATTGAGTATTTATTAGCAATGGAAGTCTTTATTAAAGGGATACCTCACCGGTTGAAACATGAATCTGTATTGACATTGGATCATATATGTAGAAGAAATGTGAAATAAAATTTGAGGTTGGTGCCTTCTTGACCGAGAGAAACGGCAGAAAGTGTCTTTTTGGTTCATGTGGATGAAAGACAACAACTCCCAGAATGCACAGCACCGCAGAACACTCCCACCGATCCGACTAAAGGCTGCTCGGACCCGATTATCTGCTCAGATTATCTTGTAGTGTGAGTTGTACAAATATCCAATCTTAACGATTTATTTCAAACATGTTTGATATTTAGACTTTAAAATCTTGAAAATTACGTCATGAAAGGGTCCGGCACAAGTTGTGTGTGTGACTACAATATAATCACGAGAGACAAGGGAGGAATGTAGTCATGGCGACCAGCAGCAGGACACAACCCAGCGTTTTTTTTTTTTCCGGTACAGATCATCAGTGCAGCACTTTTCTGAAACTTGTATCCATATATCTACGACTGTATCTACTTTCCTCTATCCTACAACAACTTTCATTTCCTTCTCTTTCACCAACTGCGGTCTGTTAGAGTTTTCACCACTCTTTAATTGAGCTTTAATTGGCAAATTCATTAAGACTTCTGAAGTACTCATTAGTTTTTCTTTCAAAATGGTGAATTATTTCAGTGGGTCCCACCCCCTATGGGCGGGTTGAAAACATGAGGAACTAGCGATGTAGTTTCACCTCCTTTAACCAATACAGCCTCCGATGACGCAAAATGTCGCTTTTTTGCGTCATGAGAGGCTCCTTTTCTGACAAGAAATACAGAGCTTTCCCGTTTCAGGGGAAAATGAGGGTGGGATGCACGACCATTCAGAAATATACTCTCAGGTTTCTAATGATACAAAGCTTAATGCAAATGAGTGAAGTATCCCTTTAACATAGTTATACTCCATTTTGAAATGTTTTTGTGTCCAGGAATAAATCTGCTATGGCTTTGAACCACAGATGATCGTGTTGAGAAACAGTTTGTTTTGGTTCTTTCTTTGGCATTTACTGACCTTAAGAAAAACCATTGGCCAAACCTGCAATGTTGCCATGTTTGTTTGATCTGATTAAAGGCTAGTTAAATAATACGGGGGTAAAAATGATTGAAAGAATAATACTAAGTTTGTAAAAAGCCATATTCATCCTTTCTCTCCTGGTCACAACTACAGAGAGCGACACAAACCCTAATTTTTTTGCAGGTGGCAGCGAGCTTACAGGAGCAGAGAAGGATTGTTGAAAGGAAACATGTTAGTCATTCCTCTAGAGGGGCGCATACACCGTTTTTGTTCTCTGCTGTTGTATTCCCACTTCAGATCTGAGGTGGTTTCCTTCAGTAAAGCCTGATGTACAACATAAAACAATCAAACACGGAGGATGCCAGAAAAAATGAATTATTGATGCAGAAAATTGATTTCTGTGATGAGACGTAATTGAAACAAGTCGCTTTGAAGGAAGGATCTCAAGCAATAAATATAAACACGATCACGTGCTGTGTGTTTATGTGAGTGTGACTCATCTATTAACTGTGATTATACTAATGTCTCAAGCTGTATCGGGAATCATTTGCTACATGTGCCCATGTGTATCTGCATTTTAATTATGGAACTAAGGGGCTAGCTTGAGCAGCTTCGACTGCTCACAACATTATATTAATGCAAACACACACACAGAGCAGTAAGCAATGTAATGTACCCGACACACACACACACACACACACACACACACACACACACACACACACACACACACACACACACACACACACACACACACACACACATTATAGAACCTGCCAAACCACAGTAGATCAGTGTCTTGTATAATGAGCATTGTACTGTAAACATTAGCTGTCTATCAGCACAGCTCAGCATCATTGTGCGCTTCATTCAGCGGGTGTTTGTTTCTGTGGAAGTGTGTTTGTGTGCACTGATAGATGGATTCAGGTATAAACAGCTGGTCCTTTTCAGCTGATTACTTAGAGCTGGACACAAATCAGCTCATTAATAGTGATAGACTTGAGTACCAATGTGATTCTGATTTAACCGTCATCTCTCCAGATCATTCCCCACTGATTCCCCTCTTCCGCCTTTTTGTGTCTTTATTTCTTTAGCAAAGTCCTCACAACACGAGACCTTGATTTACTGCAGCTCTCTGTTAAATCACCATGAGTTCAGGGTCGGTTACTTGACAGTAGGGAAGAAGTTTGAAGAGTAAGACTCCAGCTTGTAGGTACATCAGCCGTTAGAGAGCTAAATGAGCTTCGTGCCCCACACAGACCTTCATACACCTGAGCCTTTGTATCTGCAAGTTCAAAGTAAAATATTAGCTTGTGAGAGCTGTTCAGCGATAGGGCCAGAGGTCAAGACCTGTACCAGCTTAATTTGCATTCAAATGAATTCTTATTGAAGGTAGTTTCAAAAGATGGTGGTAGGAGGTGAGTGGTTTAACAAGTGTGCAATTTCCTGCATGACAGGCTCAGACAGGTGGGGACTTCACATCCAGCTGCCATGTTGCTCAAATGATTACAGCTGCTTTTTAAGTAGTAAGAATAATAACAAAGATGTGAAAAATATGAAATGTGTTTTCATACTGATCAACCCACAGACTTATCACCTACCTGTGCTACTCTCCTTAGCTTTTGGGCGTTTCTCAGCATTTGTCAGCTACATGTAATTTTGGTTGTATGCAGTTTAGTTTAATCATATTCTTCTCATCAACTTCCTGTTCAGCCACAGAAGGCAGCTTTTTTTCAGCTTAAACCTCCAATTTACCCACTCTGTTTCTCTGCTTCAAGTCTTTATAAGCAGAGGAATTAGAATAACTCCAACCAACCCCAATTGGGAGAATAATATCATTACCTCAGTTTCTTGTCCTCCTCTCGCCTTACTTCTTCCTCTCTTTCCTCCCGCAGATAGCAACTTCATCCTGGCCAACGCACAGATGTCAAAGGGCTTCCCCATTGTCTACTGCTCTGATGGCTTCTGTGAGCTCACAGGCTTCTCGCGGGCAGAGGTCATGCAGAAGAGCTGTGCCTGTAAATTCCTGTACGGGCCCGAGACCAGCGAAAGCATCATCCTCAGCATCGACGTGTCGCTGGAGGAGCGGAAGGAGTTTAAGGATGAGATCATGTTCTACAAAAAAACAGGTAAAAATGGACAGATGTTTGGTTTTCATTCGTTCTCAGTTGTTTTGTTTTCCCCTTATTTATCATCAGATTTTGGATCCCTTTTTGCAACAGTGTCTAGTCGCTTTACTGTAAACCACAGAATGTGTTCCTTCCTCTACCGTTTACCAATTAAATGTTGGAACCAAGTCAAGCCATTAGAGAGAGCACAGAGAGAGGGATTACCATACCGGACTCTGCCCGTATATTTCCATCAATGGATGGTGGCTCTCTGTGTCTATGTCTGAGGAAGCCACATTTAAATTGGCATAGATGGACCCATGGACAGATGAAGCAATGACAGTATTTCACGGATGTATAACCTCTATTGGCCCATTCTCATTAAAAGGTGATTAAACAAAGCAATCCTTTACAAAGTCCCCCTCTTATTATTAAAAGTGAGACACATTCAACTTTCATTGCTGTCAGATAGTGTCTCTTTAGCCCTGTCTCCTTCGATTACACTGAGCCAAGTAGGTAGCCGAGGTGCAGTTTGTTTTCATGTGTGCCTCACTGATCAGCCAGCTGGCCGGTGCAGAAATGGAGTCGAAAAATAATGAGCACATCCAGGCATCAGTGGATACATGCTTGCTGTGATGTGGGATTGTGTCATGTGCTGTTGCATGGTAACTGCAGAGTTTGTTTGACATTTTATCTTCATGTTGTCGTGTCTTGAAGTAGTAACAGTTATGTGAATCTATAGCCTTTTTTTGAAATAGTGTGGTGAGGTTTTTTTTTTGCAGCCAATCTGTCACAAATAACGTTTTGTTTCTTGACATTTTGACCTTTAAATCTCTGCCAACTGTTGTTTTTAACAATGGAAAATCCATGACAACTAGAAAAATTCCCTGCCTGATTTGCAACTGAGTTGCCATTTTTTTCTTCACTTTATCCATTCAGCATGACAATGACTTTATGTTATCCAAATCTTTGTTGGTGAGCAGTGTTTCTCAAACTTTGTCAACATAAGAGGGGTGCACGAGTGGTGCAAAACAGTGGCCAGTGACCACTTGAGATCTGACAGCCTACCCAGTTGCCAAACCAAAATGTTTGCTCCTCCAAGGGGGGCATGACAAAATAAACACCACTGTTTTAGAGCATCATCATTTTCAGTTTTTGCACAGTCACATCTTTGTTTTCTACAGTCTACAATCTACACTTTCCCTCATTTCCAGAAAAGTCTGTTTTTAGATCATGATTCTTGTTAGCCTACAAAGTCAAATATTGATTCTGCCATTTCAACTTTGATGGGTTAACAGTTCTTCTAACAGAGTGAACTGTCATCAATAGGCAGATGTATTTATTTGAATTGCAGTTGGGAAATATGTAGAGGGATTCAGAAAAGCAAGATAAAAAAAAGTTCCAAACATGCGCTGAAATGACCTTGTGATGATTTGATAAACAGGGTTTATGAGGGTTGTTCATACTGGAAGGTCTTCTTGAAATGAATCTTGAAGGGATAATGGTGTGTGCATGTGTCAGTTGTGCCACTTTCCTGTAATTTCGCTGTGATTCATGATGCAAATTCAGTAGATGAGTCAGTAAAGTTTGCACAGACTCAGCTTTGCTAATACCATCACAGATGTGAGTGTCTACCCCACTGTGGCTCTCGCTTTGTTGTCTTTCATGTCCCACCCCTCCATCTCCTTCTCCCTTCTGTCCCGTTTTACTGTCCTTTTGTTACATTTCCTCTCTGTTTGCCTCTTTTATATAAATGCCATTTTTTCCGTTCTCCAAGCTCTTTTACCATTTCCACACAACACTGTTTGTGCCAATTTGTCTGCTTGTCTGCCATGCTTATCTCCCTCTTTTTCCCTCCCTGTGTCACTCTTTTCATGTCGTCTCATCCCTCTCTTTCTGTCTGTCACAAAAGTAAACGTCCCTGATTGACTCAGTTTGTCCTCCTGTCTGTCAGCACAAGAAAAAAAGAAAGCTGCCTGTTCGCAATCAGGGGCGCTTTTTCTCTCACTGTGCGCTTGATAGTGCTGCCGTGTCTCCCAGGCATGCAGATATTCACACGCACCCACACATACACACAAACACAAAATGCAAAGACAAGAAAAAAAACCTTCTTGATTCCTCACAAGGCAAGGGATTTGGTGAGAACAGAGGGAACTCCGTTTGAAAATCACACCTGATCAGAAATTCATGTGGGTTCATTTAAAACAGGAGAATGAAGGTAGCTCATGATCTCTAATTTGGAGATCCCTGACTAACAACAGAAGAATCTGCACATAGATATAAAAGATTACACACAGTTTAACTGCCTTTTAATAAAATCAGGAAATAATCAAACTAACATATGAGGACTCCTGGCATGAAAATATACAACATTTTTTGTACATTAAACTACATTTGATGTGATTGGTTAATTTACATTCACAAGAATTAAACCCCAGAGATGTTATAATGCTCAACATAACTTTGCTATTGAACATAAGTGCTGACATTCAAGTTAGTATCAGAGGAAAGGTCCATGCACCCAAATTAAAATCAAGTCTCTTACGTATTAGGGCATTTTTAGCTCATCAGTTTGAGCCCTTTGTTTTCAGGCTAAACTTAACTAAATTATATTTTAGCACAACCCAATTCACCAACAATGTAGCTTGAAATAGTTCTATAATAGACTACAAGGTAGCTTACTGGTGTCTGTGTGCAGACATTAGCCTGGATTTGCCCAAGATTTCTACCTCTTAACAAACTTATGCTAAAATGATGCTAAAGTGCTACGCTCATGACAGATCTTTGTAACATAACAATGAGTTAGGTCTTTTATCTGCTTTTAGAAAAGTGTCTCGAGATAACACTTGTTATGAACTGGTGCTATGAAGATTGATTGATTGATTGATTGATTAGCAGTCATCCTTGTATTAAATACAAAGTTTAGCAATGGCTTATGGGAATTATAAGATGTTAGTTTCAGAGTTGTCTCAGACTCGCTTTTGCATTATTTGCACACCTTAAACCTGCATTGATTCATTTGTTTTGTCATTGAGGCACACCACAACAAGCTGTAAATAAGTCAGACATATAAAGTTCATATGTAAAAGTTAGCATGATAGTGGCCTTTATCCAGCAGATATGGAGCATCGTAAGCATCCATTCGGAGTCATTTTTGTTTTTTTTGGCTATGTGGTGAATTTAAGTGGAATTTTGACTCTCCTTTTAGCTCTGTTATGTTTTCATCCACTTTAGCAGTACCATGACTCAACATGCTCCAATACATTCACTAAGTAATTGAATCTTGTTAAAAAGTATTACAACAAGGTTGATGTAAGCGTTAAGACAATAGATATCAACATCCACATCTATGGTTGACTTTGAACCTAAACTTTGAGCTTAAAGATGCTAAAATGCTACTTACAGAATAGTTCAAGGAGCAGTATGTAAGATATCTACTGAATTGAATCATAAAATGACCTTACTATATCATCTGACATAAAGGAAACATGCTATGTTGAAGTACTGGCATCTCTGATGCAGCCGGTATGTCGTCCTTCTAAGTTTAGATTCAGGTCCAGACAACTCTCTCTGATGTTTTGAATGTGGACTGCAGTACCCATTTTAAACGCTAAGTGCCAGAGTTACATATTGCTCATTATCAGGTTTATTTTATCTGTGGATTTATCACAATAAGAAAGCCTTACACAAACATATAGCCATTTGATCTATTAATGATATAAATATTCAGTAAAGCTGAAGATTAAAATATGGATTGTTGCAATATTCTTGGATATTTCTTAACCAGAAATTGTTCACTGTCCTTAATTGTGCACATGCTTCTTAAAGTGTTATAGTTATTAGCCCGGCAGCATTACACACCTGCAGAATGAACATGCTGAGCTGCAGCTCCTCGGAAAAGCAATCTATTTAACAGGAGACAGGACCTAGGAGATCAGTTCATCTCTAGCAGAACCTGGGGAACAGGGACTTGGTCTATTTAAAGGCTCTGCGTCCCCTGAGGGACTTCCATGTGTAGATAGGCTTTCTAATAAGTCTGAGAACCGCTGAAACTGTTGCTCCTTACATGCTCACACTGGTCATACACACACACACTGTTAATCCACTGTGACCACAATCAGAGATGGTGTGTGTAATAAGGGTGTTTTTTTCCCTCTCAGCCGTGCTGTTCTGGTGCTTGCTGGACATCGTGCCAATTAAGAACGAGAAGGGAGACGTGGTGCTCTTTCTGGCCTCATTTAAGGACATCACTGACACTAAAGCCAAAGCCATCCAAGAGGACAAGAAGGAAGGTCAGTATGTGTTTGTGTGGAAGAGTTGTGTTGCTTTGGTAGAAAATAAAAACATCCTCAGTCTCCATTGTAGCACAAAATCTTTGGGATTATTTTGCATTAAAGCTAAGTGTTTGTTTTGAACCAAATACTGGTAAGATCATCACGTCTTTTCTATGTATTATAATATTTAAACAACAGTTCTGTTGATGAAGTAGGTTTGAGTTTTTTTGGTTGTTGTTTTCCATATGAACCCCCTTGCTTTTCAGTTGCATTTTTTATACTAATTAGTTGTATCAATTGCTTTTTAAGATAATTAAAATTACCTCATGATAACGTTCATGTTGAGCACCAAACGTTTTTCCAGTTGAGTTTTTGATGTATATCAAACAAAACATGGGTTTATTGTTAGTATATAAAAAATTCCCAAAGAAATGTATAAATTCTGTCTCACCGAAGGAAACAATTTATTCCCCAACTTCAGCCAAAAGTGCTTTTGGTGCCTCAACAGAAAATTACAAACGTGAATCCTGCTTAAGTTGTTACGTTAAATTGCACTATAATCACTATAAAAGAAATGTTATCGTAGCACAAGTTAGGGAACAGTGACATTTTAAACAAAGCAAATATCTTAATTCAGATAGTTTGTTGATTATGTTGATACAGTCGACAAGCGTCACCTGTATTTATGAGTGTCTTCCACATTTTTCTTGCTGTTCGATAGCACAACAATTGAGAAACATGAAGTAGTTCCAGAATCTACAGCCTTTCTTTACACAAAGCCTGGAAGTCATTCAAACATGGTTTTACGAGTTATGTGCAGCATGTTGAGCCAACATTTCTGAATCTATTTTAAGACACTTTTTAGTGATATCCAGGCTTTAAAACAATTATAATTGGTTATTTTGCTAATTAGTAAGGACATCTCATATATATTCTCAAGGGATTAAAAAGGCAGCATGGCCGTGATTTTTTTTCAGATACACTTTAGTTAAGAAACTGATGACTCGGGTGTTCAGTGTTCAAATGTTCCTCACGTTCGCCCTTCCATTATTTTAATGATTGTGTCTCACTAAAATCAGTGTCAAAATCAACCTTTAAAACCAATCTTCTCAAAGGATGAAACTTTAGCTTAGGTTACACCTAACCGGAGGTAACACCTACGCTTTAGCCAAAAGCTGCCTACAAAGTAAGAGAGAAGGTCAGTGTGGGCGTGCATGTCTGTTTGCTTTTCTGTTAAGTCAGCAAACCGACTTTTTGCATCTCAGGCCTACCTTCTCTGGATTTGCCTAATTACTCTAATTACTGTAAATAAGCAAGAACAGGACGCAGGAAGCAAAGCTATTTTTGCACAGATAATGAAATGTTTTCATAGAACAGGAAAAAGGCTGATGCAGCATCTCTAAAGACAAAGGACCAGACTCACTATTATGGGTTTGGGTCCAACAAATTTTTCAAATGAAAATATGCCTGCAAAGTCTTGAGGAAAGTCTTCTTGATACCCCACTCAGTGTAGACAAAGGGGGATGTGCTTGTTGAAAGCAAATGCCGAAAAGTTAAAGTGTAAAGTTGGAACTAAAAAGGAACAAGATGAGCAGAAAGAACATTTTAGGGCCAAAAAAAAAAAGAAATAAGGATGCAGAGAGGAGATATCTGGAGCTATGCAGACACTATGACATCAGTGAGGTATTTCAATCCACGCAGGGGAAGCCTTTTAAGGATGGAGGGACAGCTTTGGATGTGACCCAGTTACCCCTGTGTCTGGACAATGTGCAGAGTGTGAGCAAACACAGAAAACCCAGCATTTATCGCCAACAGTTTCCTCCCTTTTGAAGTTTATATCAGTTAAAGTTATTATAGCCAGATACGGCAAGTTGTCTCAGAGGGGTTTGTGCAAAAATAAAGCAAACAAAATAAAAACATGACAGTACAAACAAGTTATTTGGAGTATTATTAATATATTCCATTAATGCCTCTCTTTTCCCTCCCCTACACCTGCTCTCCTCACCTTCTCTACATTATTATTTAAACCTGGAAAATCCCACTCTTCTCTTTTGCTGCTTTGTATATCTCCTTTCCCACCCTCTCTATATGTCCAACACCCAAACGATCTTCTCCCCACCTACTCCCTCTCTTCACCCCATAGAAGAATGGCTGTAAAAGCAGGGGGATATTCATTAGGCCTAGATCTAAAAATACGCACGTCTCCTTCTCTGTGCTCCTGCTGTGTCGCGTCCCCCAAGGCTGCACAGCGTTATGGATGGCCCTGTCTGTTCGCCTCGTCTGGGGTCCGTGCACACACTCACAACACACCGCAGAGCGCACACGCTTTCTAAAGGACACTCAAAAGCAGTTATCACTTCTATTCTTCTGCTTTCTTACTCCCCCCAGCCAATCTGGCCTTGGTCCTTTCCTGTGGGTGCACTGTAGAGAGAATTGGGTCTAAAGTGTCGTCTCCGATTTCCCAACTCCTTGCTTTCAACTCATTACTTACTGCACTATCTACTTTATCTTCACCAATAGATGGAACACAAAAAAAACACTCAAATTAAACAAACAACTCCCTTAAAACACACACTCCAGTTGCGAGCGACCATTGAAAGTCCCGATAAAACATATCAAAAAAATGATCTCTTATCAAAAAATTGCGATGTTTTCTTGGAGATAGTGCTTACGCAATGAGACATGAACAACTAATGTTTGTGGCTGAATAATGTGAATCCAAATAGGTAGCCTAACACACTTATTCAAAAGCAAAATAACAGTAAATATAATTTTTTCCCCACTTCACTTAGAAATTGTGCAATTTGTTTAAAAAGCAAACATTATTTCTATTGCATATTCATGTTTTCCTATTCAGGGCAAATAATTCTGTATTTCATCAGGCATAATTACGGATTCAGTCATCAGTAGTTAACCTCAGGGGGTAAACTATTGTATGTGGGATGTGTGCTAACTTTGTGTGTGTGTGTGTGTGTGTGTGTGTGTGTGTGTGTGTGTGTGTGTGTGTGTGTGTGTGTGTGTGTGTGTGTACAGAGCGACGGCGCGGCAGGGTGAAAGCAGGTCCTCCATTCAGCTCGGCGCGGATGCGGAGCAGCACGGTGCTCTACCACATCTCTGGTCACCTCCACAGCAGAGAGAAGAGCAAGATTAAGCTCAACAAGGTATCATCAGTCAGTTCAAAACATCAGGGCCGGACGGGTAGCATGGTGAAGGGTCCATCGAGAGTGGACAAGAGTGAGAACATTGCTGATGTTATTAAAGCACCGTGGACCATCTCACAGGGCAGGGGCCTGAGGAGAACCACTGTGCCTTTATGGAGAGGGGCTTTCTAGTCAACAAAACTCTTCAAGGAACAACATATTGCACTTTCGAAGCTTGCTCCAAAGGCAACTGGACTTACGCGTAGATCTTGAAGACTGGCATATGCTTTTTACCCAAGTTTACTTTAAATTAGCGAAAGCATTTTTTATCTGTAGCATCAATGTATTCTTAGCTCAAATATTTGTGGGACTTTAGAAGAAAACAGCTGTTACATAAGCAGTATTACTTACTAAAATAAGGGTTGAATCATAAACAATCCAGCTATTATTACTTTATTGTGGCTAACTTTCATTAATAGCTCTGGCTTCCTTTCTTGTATGTGAGCCAACTAGCTTTAATGAACTAACATGTTATCCTCTTTGAAGGTGATATGGCTAACTTGTTAGCATAGAATTGCCTGACATAGTCATAAACATTACCATTAGTTTAGGGTACACAGAATGTATCTGCTAGTTATTAAAATAGTGTGAGGATGCAAAAACAGTAAAGTTTTTTTTTTTTTTTTTTTTTTTTTTGTTTGTTTGTTTTTTTGGGGGGTGATATCGACTAAATGGCCTGACAGTGGATAGAGTCAGAACTCTGGGATAGAGAGAGTGGGATGAGTAGTTGGCCAGGGGCACCAACTACCAGGCCACTGGCAGTTTTATCAAAAGAATGCATGTTTATGTGCTGAATTATGTTTCTTTTCTTTACTGGTCTAGTCCTTTGGTGCATTATTTTCTCCACTACATCAAGACTGCATGATGGGTTGGTCGAACTAAATGGATCTAACAATTTGTGTGTGCTAAATGTTCTCTTATCCTGTCCTCCACAGAATGTGTTCGGGGATCCCCCTGCTCTGCCAGAGTACAAAGTAGCAGATGCCAAGAAGTCCAAATTCATCTTACTTCACTACAGCACGTTCAAAGCCGGCTGGGATTGGCTGATTCTACTTGCCACTTTCTACGTTGCTGTGACGGTACCATACAATGTGTGCTTCATCGGTGACGATGATGACCTGACCCGCAGCACAACTGTCAGTGACATCGCAGTGGAGATTCTCTTCATCATAGGTAAGTGACACGTTTGTCGAGCTGATGACTTTACCTTTCATATACATTACAAATAGTTAACCCTTATGCTGCTCTTTCTTTTTTCCCTGCCAGACATTGTTTTCAATTTTCGCACAACTTATGTCAGCAAGTCAGGCCAGGTGATCTTTAATGCGCGACAGATCTGCGTCCATTACCTGACCACGTGGTTTATCATCGACCTGGTGGCTGCGTTGCCCTTTGACCTGCTCTATGCATTTAAAGTCAGCGTGGTAAGTAGCCTTTGGCTTTTTGCTGGGTTTGATATGGAAAATGAACCCTGAGCTGTTCTACTTGTATTTGTCATTGTTTGTCAGCTGTTGTTTGGAGTACAACTTCTAAAAAAATCAATAAAAAAAACATTTGATTAAAAAAAATTAAGATGTACCGTATATATCTATAGAACTTATTGGTGCCTCTGTAAAAATGATGATTAAATATTCATAAGAAAAGCAGGACTGAAAAAATTAGGAAAGAAAAAAAAACTGCTAAAGGCTTTCAAAACATGACTTAAAGTACTAAAAATCTCAGGATTGATAGATTTCCCCTAAACCTGTCAACACATTGCTGTATAGTGAGTTACATCACCTCCAGCCTATCTGACATTTCATAGGGATGGATTACATGTGAGTGTTTCCAGCGATGCTCCAGCACCCCTTGGATTCTGCGTATTGATTCCACATAGTGTACAAGTGCTGAAAAAACAATCAAAGCTGTATCATTAAAATCCTGTTCTGCTTGAGTCAAATACATGGCCCCCTTAAGAATAGTTGAAGGGAGGAAGAAACAGAGATGTGGAGCAATTAGATAGACTTCTTCCCCAGCTGACTGATACCACACAATGAAAGCACTACACTGCTGGGACGTTTTGATGTGTTGCTGATGGATGTTTTATTCCTATTCGGCCTCTAATTTTAGGAAAGAAATGCTTTGACTGTGCTCTTTGCTGCCTTTCGCCCTCACTCACCCACTGTAACCTGATTTAAAGTGTCAGATTTATAGTATGAGTGCCCAAAAGCTATGTATCCTTAAATAATCTTCATGTAGAGGAAACAAAAGGACACCAAACTTGAGCTTTTTAGTAACAGGACTGAGAATGATAACAGAAAAGGAAGAAAGGAGAGGTAAAAAAAGAGGAGTATCTAGAGAAGGCAAATAAATAAATAAAAAACAACAACTGTAAGAAAGAAGGGGTGGCCAAAAAGTACTGTGAAAGAAGTATAGATTGCTCCAGACGAAGCTTCCAGGTTGGTACAAGACTATTTTAATGGAAATACCAGGCGCTCCTTGTAGGATAGGGATTGGGTGTAAAACTATTGGTACACAAGTTGCCCCGTAGCTGCAGGGATGAGGATGAATGACCAGTAATTGCTGCACATCCTGCGCAATGTCCCCTCTACAGACGGAGAAATCACACACATTGTTCCCCTGCAAAATTAACCAAGTGGCCTCTGTAGTGTGCCTCCCTGGTGTTCTCTAGTTTTTTGTTTTTGTTGTTACTCTCCATTCCTTGTCTTCCTCGTCATTCCTTGTCCTCTTTTGTTAGCATTGTAAACATGACATCTTAGACATGGAATGTGATCTCTTTTTATCCGTTTTCTTTTTTGTTGCTTTTCCTAAAGGTTGTTTGAAGATGCGTCAGTTTCTTCAAACTAAAATGCTTTAAATAGAAATCTATCATCCCACAGCAATATTTACTGTATGTCTGGGATTGATGGGCAACTTTTCAGTAATTCTGGTGGAGCCCATATTTGTGGTAACATCTTAAACTTCTGTGCGCCGAATTGTTTGCAGCCCAATTAGCAATTTGAGAAGTGACTATTTTCTTCAAATCGAAAGTGAAATGAATTTCATCCTTCCAAAATAAATGTTGTCATTTCTTGGTTCAGTGCGTTAACAAGAAGCTTGTTCACCTGAGTGTGCTGAGTCTCAGAAAGAGAAAAACCCTTCAACGATTGTTTGATAAACAGAAGTTCGACCATCACTGTTTCAGGAAATCTAAGCATTGATAGATATTTTTTTTTATCTTGAACAGATTGTTAGCTTCACATGCTATCAGATAACTATTAATCAAGATTATATAATCATATTCACATCACTGCCGATGCTTCTTTAATTCCTTTAGCTGCGCGCTTACTCTCAAATGTGGATACATTCAAATGGCTTAACATCCTTATTGTTAATAAAGAGTTAATACAAAAACCATCTACACAAATTGATTAGCAGGAAGACTGTAAGCACTAGTCTCCTATAGTGATTATATCTTTACTGTCCACAAGGGCCAGATACAGCGGTTTTGTTATTAACTGCTATAAGTGCTACAGTTATTATTAAAGCTGCTAAGAATACCTCTCATGGGCCCAGGGGCATAGTTAGTGTTGGAGAGCAGAGTAGAGTGTATGCATATTGGCCCGTTACAGCCACATCGGTAATATAAAAAACACACAACCAGTCACAGTGTTATGATTGGCTTTTAGCGCTGACGGCGTGACTGCAGGGGGAGAAATAACAAGCACTTCTGTAAAGCTATGTTCTCATGTGCACAAATACCGCCTTAAAGAGCAGAGGGTAGGTAAGCAATCAAGTAGCTGATATCAATTTTTACACCTGACAAGCAAAGGAAATGCAAACGTGAGGGGGAAAAGTTGAAGGGGAAAAAGTAGCAGAAGGTGTGTGTTTGTGTGTGTGTGTCGGGTACATTACATTGCTTACTGCTCATGCTGCTGGAGGAAAATAGGATGTAGCGCACAGTCTGCTCGCTCTATAGGTGGTTTGCTGGTCGGTGATAGATGGTAGAGAGGAGATGGAGCTTCTCCCCTGGGCTTGGTACGAGGCTTCATTACCCCTCGTGCTGTGCCACTTCTCTATTTCTCACAGCAAGAGTTTGGAGGAAAAAAAAAGACATAGAACATACTGGAGACACTTTAGAGGAGCAGCTCTTTCAAGGAATGTCCCCACTTCTCCTCCTCTTTGTTTTGTTTAAGTGCACGCTGTGTAATTCTTTTAACATGCAAACACATTCTCTCTCCTCTCTGTCTTCATCATTCCTTTTCTTGCCTTTATCCTTCCTCCTTCTCCCTGTGGTTATGCCAGTTATTACCTTGTGTACACTTTCTCTTGGCTCTCTGTCTCACTTTCTTAGTCCCACATACACTTAAGTACACACGCTGCACAAATACACATGCAACATACGTCCTCGTAGAAGGGTTACAAATATTCTCCATGTCCTATATACCTCATAATAACGGCTGCTTTATAGGTGTGTGTCTGTCTCTTAAGGGGGGTACACACTCTGGCAAGCAATGAATAATAGGCTGTTGGTGGATATTGCCTGAGGAGCAGGTGCACAATGGGTGACTTTCACATACACAGCACATGAATAGGTGGAGAGGTGTGAAAAGGACAGTTAGGAGTTAACGAGTGGCAGAAAAAAAACACTGGAAAGAATATTTAGAGACACTCAACTAAAACAAACACATACAGTATGTGAGCGAGACCCTGAACCTCTGGGTCTATGAACAGAAGTCGTGATGTTTGGACCCAGTGGTGCCTGTGATGCCCCTCCTATGACCCGGGCTCATTGCACCCATACGTACAGTAAGGCCATTGACTGTATATGAAGTCGGACAGCGCGTCTCCATCTCCACCCCTGTGAAGCCAAAATAGCTTTGTGACATAGCGCTGGTGATGTCATTTGGAACCAGAGTTGGACAGTAGAGACTCTGCTGCTATTAAAAGTCATGTATAAATATGTTGGAATGGATTGATTTTCATTATTGATTATTTTATATTCAACGATCCATTATCAGGAAATCTTCACGTACCGTGTCATCATATTTTTGTTGCACTAACTAGCATGTGTAACACTGTTATTATTGAACCATAAAGCCTTTGAGTGCCTTCAAATCTTTGAGTGGACATGTTTAACAGCTTTTTGTCCATTCAGGCAGATGAATGATGCAACTTTTGATGATTTTTGATGTTAGCATTTGTGTGTGTATTACGCTGGGTTATCTCTTTTTTTTCATGAGATTTTATGTCTGCTCCTCAGTTTCTTCATTTTTTTCACTCTTTTTATTACTTTGTCTGAGTTTTGCTCTCAGCAACACCAGGAGATCTCTCAATTGAAAAGGAGGTTCTGTAGTTGCACTACTTCAATGCTTTGCAAAGTAATTGAACACATGTAGCCTTCAGAAGCAAGTGTTGCAGAGAGGAGGCAGTCATTGATTTAGCTCTGAATGAAGAGTAGGGACAGAGATAAAAATGAGTGAGAAGCCACAATACCAAAAAGTGTGGTTTTTGTAAATGATGCCAATGACAAGCAGGTTATGAAACTGCATGACATTGATCAAACTGCTGTACATGCACCCTTAAATATGTCAAGCTTGTGTCCTTGTTTTTTCATCCCAGGTGTCCGTGGTCCACCTGTTAAAAACAGTCCGTCTGCTCCGTTTGCTGCGGCTGCTCCAGAAGATGGACCGCTACTCGCAGCACAGCACGGTGGTCCTGACCCTGCTCATGTCCATGTTCGCCCTGCTGGCACACTGGATGGCCTGCATCTGGTACATTATTGGCAAGATGGAGATGGAGGCCAACGCCTATAACTGGGATATTGGTGAGTAAAGAAACATGGTGCCACGTTTTATTTTTCAAAGCCAAAAACATGTACAGACTCTGTTAAGGTGAATGTTTTAAAACTAAATGAAGATTTTTAATAATCCATAACATTCATTCGGGGCATTGGAGCTAAAAGGTTCATCTTGAGCGCTGTTGGAGGTTGGAAAGTCCTAATGTAATGTGATAGTGTTTTTTTTATACTTGTAGTATTCCTCTGGCGTAAAGCATCTATGTAATTCCTGAACTTTATTGTTAATTGTCCTGTCTTAAAATTTTATACATTTTATGTCTTTTTTAGCATTCTGCAAATTCTGCTGAGTCATCATAAAACTTGACACATTGTGACACTGCTGATTCTGACTGTAAATGACAAACTTTATTCAATCTAAGGTTACGTCAGAGTTTTCCATAATACACTTGTATTTTCAAACTAAATCTAATCCAACAAATGTATCATTTATGTTTCAACATGTGTCCATTGATTTCAGATATACACATTCTGATGCGAATGAAACAATGTGAAGGCAAACACATGTACTACGATGTGTTCCCATAAAAAAAAACACATTTGAAGATTAGAGCTCAAAGGAGTGTAAAAAGCTTTGCAGATGTGTTCGAGGAGAGAGCACACTACATTAAAGCCTCAGTCCTAAAAGAAACACATCAACAGTGTGAATCTAAGGCAACCCCATACCGCCTGTCCCTGAGGAGAGAGCTGAGCATAGCTGGACATTGGGTTGGGACACAAGGTGAAAACAAGTTTAGGCGTTGAATCAATAAAAATGAGACACTTAGTAGAAAGGGGGGGTGGAGGGGGGGTGCGGTCTAGTTCCTGTCCTTGATTTATGTGTTTGTACAGATACTGTAGTGAGGCTAGATTTCTCTACATGTTTCTTGCTGAGCAAGAACTTTTCTAGCGTTGTCATGCTCAGTGAAAAGTCAAATTTACAGCAACACTTGCGGAATGAATGACTCAGTGTAGCAATCAATTTTTTATTGATCATTGATCATTGATAAAGGAAGTATATTTTTACATTTTACAGCTTTATTTCATGTAGGATGTATTTCTCCTCTTGTCCTCCCTTTCTTAAACTCCAGAGTGTGTCCAGATTTAAGTTCTGCTCTTTATCAACCATCCATCATGCGTTGGGTTTGGTAAACATGTCAGTGCTGTGATGCATTGCAGTTTCATGGCTCGGTTTTTCAGAAAAACAATTGATGCATGAAACATGCAGAGTCTCTTTTTGTCATCAAATCAGATCTGAACGTATGTTTTTCATCATTGACCTCATCTTACCTCGTCAGTTTTTAAGACGTCAAATCCGAAATCCAGCATAATTAAACACTCAAGAAAGGATGCAAAGGTTGTTGTTAAAGCTCTGCAGTAGGGTTAGGGTTATAAATACCTTAATGGATCAATTCAGAAGACACTATAAAGACGTGGGGTTTGAAACACCACTTATTGAACGGAGAGCTTTTTCAAAAAAACGAAATAATGGTCTTATTAAAGTGTTATATTGTAGAGGTTGGGTTTCGCAGTCTATCTACATGTGTCTGCGTCCTGTAATAATTCAGTAAACACTTTAATTAAGTCAATGATTTCCTCATTTATTTCATTGACTCCTAAGTCCCCTTTTCATTGAATGAAAAGTGTGAGTCATCAGTTCAGTGTGTGTGTGTTTGCATGCAGGTGCTGTGTGTGTGTGTGTGTGTGTGTCGTAAAACTGGCTGAGCAAATGGCATGGATCGTCTTGTAATTCCCCCTCAGCCTGCAGGTCCCTGGTATAATGAGGCCTCCTGGGCTGATCTGTGGTCAGTATCGATGAGCTGCTGTGCCTGCAATTACCTCGCACTGGTGTCTCTCTAACTGGTTACGGGTCAGCATTGACTGGGTCATAAGAACAATGCAGATTTCTCTCCACCAATTACTGCATCTCAGTGTCATAAAGTAACAGGTCAGCGCATGAGGCAGGATTAATGTGTTGTATCCTAATTACGCCACACTGATGCTGAACTGAGCGTTGAAGTCAGGCAGCTGTGAGGGGCTTCCATCCAATTACCATTCATCAGTGTCTTGCAGGAGAGTCTCCTGGGATCAGCGGCATGTCTGCACACTGACCAGGGATCAGTGCTGATTCCCTAAAATCTGATCTATTTAACTGTTAAATCCATCGTTCTGAATGGAGCAGCTCTGTCTACCACAATTTTCAGGGCTGGGAAACAGTGCTGTCAGATTTGTCAGCATCTACATGCTCGACTACACCCAGCTTTCATAAACACACTGCAGGTCATGATGTCCTAAAAACAACAATTAGAATCAAAAAGTCCTCTTGCATTCTTCTGGGAGTGTAGAAATGTGTTGAAAGAGTCAAAGCTTGGAGTCTTCTATGAGTCACAGAATACTTATCTTCTAAGTTTGCCTCTTAATGGCCATTCTCTTGTGATGACCAAATATTTTAACTTAACAACTTCTACATCTTCTACCTCTAACCATGTTTTATGTCTTCTAATCAATTAAAAAACAGGATGGCTCCATGAGCTGGGGAAGCGCCTTGAGTCGCCGTACTACTCCATGGAAGGTGTTAACGGGACTGGCAGCGGGCCCTCCATCCGCAGCGTCTACGTCGCCTCGCTCTACTTCACCCTCAGCAGCCTGACCAGCGTGGGCTTCGGTAACGTGTCGGCAAACACAGACACCGAGAAGATCTTCTCGATCTGCGTCATGCTTATCGGAGGTACCCAAAACACACACACCGATGATTACTACGGTGATAGGTTGTCTAAAACAGTTCTTTTTTTGGAAAATTTGTGCAGGTTCACAGTCTCTCACAGTTTCTGACATTGTTAGCATTCAGAAAAATTGTGTCTACAAGTATGTTATTATATTTACAGACTGTTTCTTTCTTGTATTGTTGCAACGGAAGCACATGCATAAAAAACAAGCATCAGTTACAACACAGCCAAGTGGCAAATATAATATATACCAAACAGACCTTTGTAAGATGGCCTGATCCAGTTTAAACTGGATTTGTTGCACTGGGTTTGGTGGTTTTCTGGGGATGAAGAGACCACAGTGGCGGGGTTTTCCCTTTGGACTGTCCTCATGCTGCTTCGCCTAAATGTTAAATGTCTCTCGCTGCCTGGGGGCACAGACAGTCACAGATGCACTACACGCAAACTCATACACACACACACTCAAACAGTCCCTTATGGGTAAACAAAAATGAAAACAAAGCACCTGTTCATTATAGCAATGCAAAGGTCAGGTAAGGTTAGTTTAGGAAAACAATTATTGACTCATCAACTGCTGCTTTTTTTTTCTTCTTCACAGTTTAAAAATCATGAATAAAGAAGGACACTACGTATGATTGAATAAATACAAAGAGAAGGAGAAAGCACTGTATTGATAAGTTTGGATGCCCAAAAAGCTTTCCACAGAATGTATCACCAAGAATCATCAGACTTTGCCGGTGCCAATCACTTCCTCCCAATATCAGACAAAAAATTGTCAAGATTCTTCTGGAATGCAACAATTGAAATATCAAAGGACGAGAGACGCTTGGCACTGCCAAACCTCAAAGAATATCACTGAGCCTCACAACTCAGGCCCTTGATATGTTGGTGTGATGCAAGTTATTCTACAGGATGAGATTGAGTTTGTTAAATATAGAAGGATGCCAGGTTCACTTTGGGAATCTGGTTTAAGTAGTTTAAGCAAAGGTTTAAACAATTGGCTGGGTCACTGTGTCTGACCCCCCGCCATCTACAAGATATGAAGAACTTAACACACACTTTAAGGCGACAACAATCTTCATGCTTTGGAAAATGGAAAAAGTGGATTCACTTTAAAACCCATCACAAAGTCTGAAGAGAAAGGACTGTTTAAAAAGAGGCTCAATAGACTATTGTTAACTCAAACCAAGGTTTATATTCCGGGTTCATTCTTAATGCAACCTCATGATGAAAATAAATAAAACACAAGTTTGAAAAAATCATGATATACTAAATTTTAAAGCAGAATTATTTCGTGTTCTTGTCCTCTTCATTTCAGAAACCTGGACATAATAGCTCACTTTTTGCGACTGACTTGCTAACCTGAAAAAAAAAAAAAAAAAAAGGAGTGAGGGGCAGTCACCACTCAGCATGTGGTCTGTGTGTTTGTTGCTTTCATGTTCAGAGGTGAGCGACACTCCTGCAGGGCAGCTGGAAACTGAATGAGATCAGTAGAATTCTTTTTCTGTAGGCAGGTGTCTGTCACACAAATCAAATCCTCTCCTCTCTGTCCTGATACTGATCTGTTCCTGTCTGGGAGATGCAGAAATACAAGTCATGAATGCAAATACAATATTCTGCATGGCTCACTCAACTGTCTTGTTTGCTTTGATCGTAATTACATAGATGGAAATACTTTTTTTTTTAATTCTCCAAATCTGGTTTGAGACATAATCTTTTATTGAATATAAGTCATTTATTTTTCTTCTTCACCGGTTTATATTTATATATTGCATGTCTAACTTACAGAGAGACAATTAAAGAGTTGTGTCTTTTTAACGGAAATCAAACAAATGTAGCCTGCATTGGCTTTGCATGTTCAGTCTCAAAATTGAATATGAAAGACATTTTGAGGTGAAAATGTTAATCAACTCATATAAATGTATTTATACTGTATAGCAGAACAAAAGTAAACTGACGAAACGTAACATATGAAGCAGGTGTAGACTGTAATTAAAAAGCTTTAAGGGATGAGGTATAATGTATGAGAAGAAGTCTGTTTGAGTGTGAGGACTTCAAAATATGACATTATATGACAACCTCTACTTTTTTTTAAATTCACGGTTGAACTGGTTTGAGCAGGAAGGTGATCTGTGTGCAAATCCCAGTCTTCCCATTAATGCCTCACTGGGCCCCTTTGACTTCTAAACTGTCGAGTCTACACAAAAACATTTCCTTGCTGGCACCGAGCTTCTGCCATGAAAATTGAAAACAAAAGGTGTACTTACAGCTTCCCTGTCTAAACAACCCCTTTAACCCTTTCTCTTCTTCTTCTTCTTTTTCTTCTTCTTCTTCTTCTCTCCCTCTTTACGCCTGCAGCTTTGATGCACGCTCTGGTCTTTGGAAACGTGACAGCCATTATCCAGAGGATGTACTCACGCTGGTCCCAGTACCACACCAGAACCAAAGACCTCAAGGACTTCATACGAGTCCATCACCTGCCGCAGAGCCTCAAGCAGCGGATGTTGGAGTATTTTCAGACCACCTGGTCAGTCAACAACGGCATCGACTGTAACGAGGTATCACAAGCACATGCACATTTCATGTAATTTATTACAGGTTTCAATAATATAATGTGATGTAATATGTGATGTATAACCTGCTGACAGGGGGAGTTCTTTTATAAGGAGACCATTGGCTGGATGTCAACAGAGTAAATATTGGGTTGGACAGCAACTAAAACATGTTTGAATAATATTTTAATGGTTTATGCCAATGTAAAGATGGGAATTATTTCAGGTTGTGTCAGACAGAAAAGTCTTCTAAATGTCAGAAATTGGCGTGTATTCAAAGCCAGTAGAAAGAGCCGGGGTTTGCAGGACAGCTCGGGAAAAAAACACAAACAGAAAAGGAGGCGAGGAGGCGAGGAGGCGGAGAAACACCTTTGGTTGACAGGCCTCAGGAAACAGAGGAAACCAGTCAGTAGTCTAATAGCAACTCGTCCCTCCGGGCTGTGAATGCCTGTGAGACAGCTGTCAGGGCCTAGAGCAGCGCTGAGACGGAGTGATGATGATGAATCCCAGACAGATGAATTATAGATGGGCCTGTTGATTAAAGTCAGCACGGTTCTGACGACTCATTGATCGACAAAGAGTGACGCTGAGCTTCAGATATCTGTACCGACAGGGAGACAGAAAGATAGACGATATGTGTTCCCTTCTTTAACAGTCATCATAATTTGCATACTAAGAATTACCAGTATGTTTCAACATAAACATGTTTTCTTTCTGACGGACGCTTATGGAGTTTAAATCAAGTGTCACCTTTAATTCAAAACAATCTGATGTTAGATTAACTGTGTATTCATCTGGGCACATACAATGACTGTATGCAGGAGATTTGTAGAGGGTCCACGGAGGAGGTTTTCTTATCTAAATCAAGGGGCTTAAGGTAGAGGATGTGTTGTGTTCTTTGCCGATTGTAAACCCCTCTGAAGAAAACTATTGAATTTAGGCCATGTACATAAACTAAACTGCATTTGACACTGATGTTTCCTGTAGTACACTAGCTAAAGAATCAAATCAAAGGTAACCAAGGCTGCAAATGTAATCACTGAGTTACACATGGCTGTGTTTCCACAGCTGCCGTGTCTCACTTCTGCTTACTTTCCCAATCTTTCTCGCTCTCTCTCTCTCTCTCTATCTCTCTCTTTCTTCCTCCCGTCATCTTCGCAGCTGCTGAAGGATTTCCCAGACGAGCTGCGATCTGACATCACCATGCACCTTAACAAGGAGATCCTGGAGCTGTCGCTGTTCGCCTCCGCCAGCCGCGGCTGCCTGCGCTCCCTGTCGCTGCACATCAAGACCACGTTCTGCGCTCCCGGGGAGTACCTCCTGCGACAGGGCGACGCGCTGCAGGCCATCTTCTTCGTCTGCTCGGGGTCCATGGAGGTGCTGAAAGACGGCATGGTGCTGGCCATCCTTGGTACGATTTAAGAATTGGGGATAGAAGAAGTAAGAGGGGTGGTGTGTGGAAGATGTAGAATCCCTCTGGGTCGTCATTATAGTTTTACAAAGAACTCCCATCAGCTGTATGGCTCATTGTGACAAAGATGAGCCTGTAAATGAGCCCATTGTTTGGTAAAAGGAGCATTACAGTGTCCTAAAGGCTACGGCTCATTCTCTGAGTCTAGTGTTAATGAACTCCCATGAAACCAACTCAAATTACATGCCAATATTTCTACAATAGATGCCATTTTCAGCTGTATTTTGGGGGATGAGAGCAACAAAAGGTCTTTGCGGTAGCTGTCTATGGATGTGAAAAAAGGGGATTACAGCAGATTATTAATTTCATGGATCCACTGTAGTAACTGGATTATACCATAGAACACTTAATCATTCAGAAGTACCCTGGATGGTCCAACTTTATACAATTAGAATCACTTAAGTCCAGTGACATGCAGGAGAATATGTCCATGTTTATTCTATAGCATGTAAATGAGACCAGTCCAGCCCATTTCATCAGCCTCATTCAACAGAGTGAGTTTATTATGTTTAGTTCCATAGTCTGCACAGGTCAGGTGAAATCAGTCTTTATCTAAATGTATCTATATGGCACCTTTAGTGATATATTTATATTTCTAAAGAAGTTTTCAATGAATTTTGGATTTGCTAACAGATATTTATATAATATCAGCCGGCAGCCTTTTACTCAACTAAAGGTTAATATAACCTTGTAGATGTATTTAAGGAGCGCTGGTGGCCGAGTGGTTTGGGCGACGTGCCCCATGTACAGAGGCTGTAGTCTTCCCGTATGTCATTCCCCACTCTCTCTTTCCCTGAACTCTATCAACTGTCCTATCTCTTCAATAAAGGCATGAAAAGCCCCAAAAAAATGTTACAGGAAAAAAAAGGTGTATTTCAGTGGTTTGAAAATTAAGCAATACATGAAAAAAAGAGTAGTGATGCTAAAATAGAAATCATTAATTAACGAGGTCCAAAACATTCTCTCAAGCTGCAGTTCAGCTTTTTAAAAAATTATAATTAAAGTAATAACTTTTAAAGAAGAAGTTCTAATGAGAGGAAAACACTTTGAAAAGATGCATAAAAGACGAGAGTGCTCTATGATCTAAGGACAGCAATCTGACCCAGATGAAAAAACTGGTCCAGCAGACACCCTTAGCAGGTGGACTGTGTACACGGTGCTCATTCGACTGGTGTCACCATGGAAACTTCAGCTAAGAGATCCAAATGTTTATTTAAAGTTATACTTTTAATCGCATGATATCCCCACAGTCCATAAGCAGCCCAAAAAATGTCCCTGTATTTACCTTGAAACAGTTAGAACAGATAGAAGCGATAGAAATAAAACCACTCTCCTGCTCGCGTGATAAACATGAAAGAACAACTGTTCGTACAAAGCAGAAGGAACAGCTAGCCTAAAAGTTACCAAAAGGTGACATTACTCCCCTAAAAACCTTTAACCTTCAGTCTTCTTTTCACAAAATGTTAAATTATATATTTGAATCATTATACCCCATTCCTAGCTGCCATTCTTATCATCCTCATCAAAGACCAACTGTGAACTCGGGGACCTTGGGGACCAGGGACTTTAGGGGCTGCTAAGTGTGTGTATAGCAATGGGTACTTTGAGTTAGCCTTGTAGAGCTGAATTGTTGATCTGGTGGAGACACAGACCACAAGGGAGTGTAGGCAGGGGCGATTCTAGAGTCTGTTGGGGCCCCAGGCAAGACATATTTGGGGGGCCCTACAACCTGTATTTATCACCATTATGTCTGCCCTTGTCCCAGCGCTTACTCCGCTTCCCCGTACTTCCTGGTACATTTGTTGACTTTTATTGACAAACTTTGGTTTCCACAGCAATTATGCTGCAACGCTTAGCAGGGCAACGAGAGTGAGTGCTGTCAGATGAGGACCCCTTAGGGCCCTGCCACTCCAGGCAGACGAAAAAAGGACAAAAAGTTGCACTAGAACACATCACAAAGACTACAGCCGACGGCCAACCACCACTCACGTTCTGTGCATACGTTAGAGGAAATAACTCTCCATGCCAGCAGGCGACGGAAGTCCATTGTTATCATACGAGAAGACCATATTCACACCGCTGTACTACTATAGGTACTACTAATCAAGAATAATGTCTGATGAAAAGTTGAAAATGGCACTGGCGTTGTCAGCCCTTGGTCTTTTAGTGAAAAAAGAAAAGAAGAGGCGGAGGCGACAAATAAGGAGAAACCGCACTAATGGGTGAAAGCATGGGTACTACAGCGGCAATTTCAAGGGGCTTTCCTGAACCCGTGTCGAGAGCTGGAGATAAATGAAACCTCCGAACAGCCAATCAGAGAGATCCCTCTCACCCACCGCCGACGCCGATTCAACATGTCGACTCGCCTACGAGTAGCGACAGAGCCGGACACACCAACTAGGGCGACGACCACTCACCGACGGTCCAACTAGGACCGACGGCCGAGGATCTCCTTTGTGTGTCAGGGCCTTCAGGGGCCCCTTACTGGCCTGGGGCCCCAAGCAGTTGCCTGCCTTGCCTGTTGACAAGCAGCACCTCTGAGTGTAGGAATATTTCTGTAGCTTGTGAAGAAGCATGAAGAACTTAAAGGAATAGTTTAAGAAATAGTTCAGATATTTTGATTTCAGTGAGCACTGGCCGTAGCGCTCTCTGCCTTATGTACACAGCATGTGTGAGAATACAAGGCCATTGTGTGGTTCACAACGTTGTCCAAAAAGAAAGGGCTGTTTACGTCAAGGTCCAATCACTAAAAAGTTCCTCAAATAGTATGTACACGTACACTTACACTGAAATGTTATTTTACAGGTAGGACTTTTTAAGTGGCAATGTTGGTGTTCTTCGTGACCCTGCCTGCTTCGCTTCTGTGAAGAAACTCCAGCCGGCTTCCCAGAACAGAGACTGTGCTGTACATGGAACAATTATTATTAATAATTTAGCTTTAGGAGGGGGGGGGGACTTGCATGGCTGAACATCTCTGATTGGTCGATTACTCGCAGCATTCAGACGATCGTTTTGCATGTTAGCACATTTCATAGTTCAGTTGGGAACACAGACATTAATGGACTAGAGAAACATTTGGATCCCTTTAGAAGTAGCCCCTGGGACTAAAAGCACTGGGGCACTGTTGTTGGAAAGCAACTTCATTTAATGCTTCTCATTTTCGCAGATTGTTTAACTCTCCAAACCTTTCCTCAACACACCTGCACATGATTTTCTGCTGCTTTTAAGAGAATTTCCCACTCTAAACTTCTGCTTTAAAAAATGTGTGAAAGTGTGGGGGTGTTTTTGAAAAGCACCAAGGATATTATACATGTCATTTTAGAGAATATCTCTTAAACAAGATGCACGACAAACCCCGAATGCTGCTGTGCTACCAGCCAAGCACATCTGCTGTGTAACACAACCTCTTATCATGAGTGACCTCCGTGGCTTTCACTTTTTTCTAACACAAGGCACAGAGTCATAAACCTATCAGGAACACGTGTTCGGTTGTGTGTGTGTGTGTGTGTGTGTGTGTGTGTGTGTGTGTGTGTGTGTGTTTAGAAGGTGAGTCAGTACAAGAGAGTGAGTTAAAGATATGAATCTGAAACTCATCCGTCACTGTCCCTGTTGATGAGGTACTTAAAACTATTATCTCAATCTCACTTTGTCTGTGTCTGTGTGTGTGTGTGTGTGGGTGTGTGTGTAGTGTAAAGTCTCTATCTGTTGTGTTAGCCTCATCATCTGCATTAAGCACTCCTGGTGAAAAAAAAAGTTTGTGTTTGTTTTGGCGTGTGTGTGTGTGTGTGTGCGTGTTTGTGTGTAGGTGGCATTGTTTACTGGTATACTGAGCAGGGTGTGTGCATGTGGGTGGGTGCATGCACATGTGTGTTTATGTGTGTGTGTTTGTGCGTGTATGTGTGTGTGTGTGTAGGCTTGACAAGTGGAGAGCATTGTCTCTGTGCTTGCCTGCTGACTGTGCAGAAGGTCAGGTTGACATTGAGTGTCTGACTGAATGAGAAAAAAAACCCTCTCTGTATACAGTATATTGCTGTCTCCCTCTCTCTCTCTCTCTCTCTCTACTCACCTCATCACACTACAAGAAAGTAGCCACAGCTCAGTACCTCATCATACAGTCAGTGGGTGAGAGCACGAGAGGCCGTGTTGAAAGATATGAAGCACTGACAGTGAGAGGAGGAGGAGGAGGAACTGGAGCTGATGGAGGGAGAACGTGTGTTGTGGAATAAACAAATGAAACAAACATCAGCGGATGAATGGAAGGCTCGTTCTCCCTTTTTCTGATTAAGCTGGCATGGCTTTTTTGATTACGAAAACTGAAAATTAGGCTGTTTATATATTTGCCAAGGCAGAGTAACAGAAAGAGGATAGGGATAGAGGAAGTAGTAAACAAAGAGTTTAACGTAGAGGGAAAGAGTGAGCAGTGTGGGTAAGAATAAGAGAAGAACAGGATTGAGGCAGGAAAATTCAGGAGCAAGGGCAAACAAATCAAAAAGCAAAAGGGAATAAATCTGACCTGATGTTAGAAAATAGAAAAAAAAAAGAGGATGAAGGAATTGTTTTTTTAAATGGTGAAGACAGTTGCCAGTGCCACCTCTCCAAAAGGAAGAGCCCCCCTAATAACATATACACAGTATTTGACTCAACAACCAGAATCACAATCTAGTATTAAATACTGTTACTGAAACAAAAATAAGTCATGTTGTTTTATGTTGTGGTATTTAATGATGTGCGCTATTATTTGTCATAATATATTTTTTAAAGCGATCATCTTTGTCTATTTTTCACCTGGGTTTAATGTTCCCCTCTGACAACACAACTGGCTCCAGTTTGGCCCCCTCAGTAAAATTGGTCTAGAACCGCAACTGGTGAGAAAAGTGTAAAAGAAGGACAAAAGAATATAATGAATGGAGGAGGGAAGAGACGAAGATGACAGAAAGAAGGAAAGGAGAGAAAAGCAGAAAACCAAGAGGATGGAAAGCAAAAAGATGAGGAAATCTGAGTGAGAGGGGAAGAGAAAGATCGAGGGACGACAAGAGAAGGAAATGAAGAGAATGACTCCTCCTATGCCAATGGTTTTGATATAGGAGGAGTGGTGAGAAATCAGAGAGTGACGGAAAGAGAGAGAGAGAGAGAAGCAGTGACTGTGGTGTGAAGGAGTGAACTCAGACAGTAAGAGAGAGAGAGAAAAAAAAGGTGGGGGGGGGGCAGTCACGACTAGCACTCCATCAGCATGGCTGTAATTGAGCAGCGCTCACAGTTCACAATGACCATAATGAATCATTTATTACTGCTTAAGGGGCATTAACACTAACAGGGTACTTAGCGTTACACTGTATGTATGAACAGGAAACAGCTGTCAGCTACACTTCAAACTGTCACATTTACAGACAGAAGTGAGAAATACGCTGTTGTGTAGTTATAGATTAGTTGTAATATTCATGTTCATCTGTGGTCTCTTTAGTTCTGTGGCTATTTTGTATTGAAAGTAAGTGATAGAAATTAGCTACCTTACATTACCTCATGATACTGACGCATCATAGTTTGCCAAAAAGCAGTATAAGGAGTCTGTGTGTTCATATTACAACTTGTGCATTTTAACTTTTTGAGTTATTGACAGAGTGATGGCAGCTAATGAGCTACAGGCGCTAACGTTAATGTAGAAACAGAGCAGAAAGCTTGTCGTCAGCTCTGTTTATTTTTAGTTGTTCGTTCTACTCTGTTGGTCACAGGAGCAGCAAGGTGGTGATGAAAAAAATGCCGCCGGCCTTCAAAAGCCAGTGACTATAATTAATGTGGGCATAACAGCTTTGTTACCGGTTTTATTTCCTCATGTTTGCCTCAGTTGTAGCTGATTGATGTCAGATGAACAGAAACAGACTCGAGTTAAGGACACAGACTGTATAAAACATGGACGTGGTATCAGTGACATCACCCATTGTGTTTTGAAGAGGCGTTATGAAGCCTGATGATGTCAGTCGCCATATTGGAGAAGCTGATTCCGGCCAACTTGTGGCTAGCAGAGGAGAAGGTGAAGAGGTGGAGTGGAGATGGGTGTATGAATATCTTGGTGCCTGAGACAAGCCCATCTGGCTTTTCAAACTGGTCAACTTAGCATATTCCAAACGATGAAAAAGCACAAAAATAAGCAGACAGTTTACAGTGACTCATAAAGTGAAGGCTAGCCTCCTGGCAAACAACTATAGCTAATGAAGAAATTAGCTATAGGGACCAAAACCATTTTCAGCACAGGACTGTGATCATGGTACATTTTTCAATAAAATTGAAAATCTGATCATGGGCTGGAATGGGGACTTCTTTGTTTTTGGCCCAGCCTCAGGTGGACACCTAAGGAACTGCATTTCTTTGCACTTGTACATTGGCTACATTTTTCAACACTAGAGGTTGCTTCTCGGTTAACAATTTTAACGTTGCTGCCAAAGTGGTCAGAGGTCAACAAAATTGAAATCGTAAAACATTTTCAAGCTTAATATGTCATGAATGCTTTATACATCAGTTTTAAGTGACAAAAGTGTCCACTATAGTATTTGAAATTACTTGAAAAAAACGTTCAGGGCTACTTTTGGTCTTCCTCCCCAGTAACATGTAGGTGTCTTTTTAAACTTTTTAATTCATTATATCATTCTACCACTTAAAGAGAATTGTTACCACAATGTTTGTGGATGTCCAATCTCTTTTAGGGTTCAAGAAGTCAACTGAAGGAATAAATATCCTCCTTTTGTTGATGCTATATTAAGGGAGATTTCTCAATTCCTTTTCCTTTGACTGTAATACTTGGTTCATGTGTTTGTCTAGTCTTAATATTCAAGATAGCTTGAACACTGTAAAAGCTTTCCTCTACCATCACATCCTGTACGCTCATATCTTTGATGTTTATTTCCTCTGCATGGTGTAGTTTCATGGTAGTTTTCTATACAAGCAAAAGCAGAAAAAGTGTGTAGTTCTTGATGGCCCAAAATAAAAAAAACGTTGTTACTAAATTACATTTTGTTTCACCGAGCTGTTCCCAGAGACACAGAGAGCTTCAGCAAAAACTGTGGTTTTTTATTGTTCTTTAACTTGAATGAATAAGGTTTTTTTTTTTTTAAATCAGTTACATTTCTTTTTGATTACATTTTAAAGATGTATTATTTTTTAATTATTAATATAATTATGTATAATATGAAATATATAATCCCTATAGCCTATAGTTGTGGCCAACAGTTGTAGACAGGAGTTCTTATGTTTTAATTCCACTTAGAGATCCCAGGCCGGGGTCAGGTACCAAACAGCACACGATGGTAGAGTTACAGTCAACATGTCTGAACAATGTGTTTGCTGACATGAAGGCTTGGGCAAAAAACCTAACCGTTCAGGTAGTCGTTCTAATGCATCAGAAATACGAATGCTCCAAAACCTTTTTCCACACACTGTAACCTGAGTACTCCCTCGGAAACTCTTTGATAAATGGAACATCTGAAACAGACTCTGCACCCTTTCACCCCTTTCACCAGAGAAAAACACATCATGCTGTGACCTTTAATCTGACCTCCATCATCTTCTCTCTCTCTCTCTCTCTCTCTCTCTCTCTCTCTCTGTGCAGGTAAAGGAGACCTGATCGGGGCGAACCTGTCCTTAGATGACCGAGTGATTAAGACCAACGCAGATGTGAAAGCACTGACCTACTGTGACCTGCAGTGTGTGAACCTGAAGGGACTCTATGAGGTGTTGGACCTTTACCCTGAGTACTCGCATCACTTTGTGCAGGACATCCAGCAAGACCTCACGTACAACCTGAGGGAGGGACACGAGACACATGTGAGTCCATCTGAGTCCTTAAGGTGCTGCCATCGCTCCTGGGTGTTATAAAAGTCAGACTTAGTCCATTGCTTTGTTTTTCTTTTTTGCAGGCTTCACCAAAAAAATACATAACTTCTACATAACGTCTTATAAATGAGCAGACTGGCTTTAATGAATTTGACTTTGATTTAGTGTCCCAGTGTGTCGAAAAGTTTTTTAGTTTTGTGCTGCAAGAGAACACTGGTTATTGTAGTTTATATTAATGAGGCCCTCTTACGCTCACACTAATAGAAAGTAAGGGGTAGGAAACCTAATGAGGGGTGGATTTGGACCAGAGTGCCTCAAAGAGATAAAAAACAAATTAAAATCTAGTTGTTTTTTTTAACTCACATTTTGACTCAGTTTTTAGAAGTACCTTTTTTATCAGCTCTTTTGCTTTGTTTTAATAAACTGCATTACTCTCCATAGTTTTGGATAGTTTTAATAGAATAATAATAATGGAAAAGAGGAACAAAAAAAGTTGGTGTTGGAAGGGTAAGAAGGGGATTTTTTAGGGTGACTGGAGGGGAGAGAGGATTATGTATCGTATTAGACAAGTAAAGAGAGAGAGAGTGTGTGTTAGTGTGTATGTGTACGTGCCTGAGAAAATAGCCGGGCCACTCTGATGAGCTCTGCTGCTGTAATTACACTCAGGTGTTTCTGTTGCTTGCACTCAAACGCTACTGGCGCACTTACACACACACATTCACACTCACACTTCTTGCTGCAGGGCTTTTAGGGGCCTAGACCTCCAGACTGAGTGGAGTTAAAATGAAGACAGGGAAAAAGGAGCTGGCTCAGGATGGAGGATGCGAGTGTGAGCGGGAGAAGATTGCCGGAGATTACTGTTTGGATATTACTGCACTGTTACCCGTGTGCGTATCAGTCTGTTAAAGTGAATTCTTTTCAATCATAGGAATATGATCACCTCGTGCCACGCAGTCATTTTTTTACTTCCTTGAGGACACTAAATAAAATGAAACTGCTGATTGTTGTGGAAAAGGCCACATCTTGATTGCTCTGTCGTGCAGTTCATTTACCGTGTTTCCTCTCTTTTCCAGGTGAAGGCCAGACTGACTACAACAACTGTAGATATTCAGGTAATGGACCACACTCACACTGCAACTCACTGATTGATGATTTAACAATCTAAAGGCAAGAACGTGCCCCTCTTTGTTTCAGCCCGCCCAGAACGTTTTAATCAGCCGCATTAGAAAATAATGAAACTCAAATGAAGTTCAACAGCAGATCTATTTCTCTATCCTGACATATAAGAAGTCTGCAGGGCGACCTCCAACACTGATAATGGAGTCGATCACTCTTTTACCCTTAATGATTCTAATGATGGGGAGAGATTTTTTTAAAACTTTTTTTTTTAGGCGAGAAGGTCGGCAAAGGAGAAAAGATCAATCCCTCGCAGAATGAGCTAGCAGCATCATTAAAACACAGCAGGCCCAGAAAAGACGGCGATGAAATTCTCCACATGCTGTCAGGCTGCTCTTTGAATGCTGAGAATCTGCAACAAAAAAAAAAAAATATATATATATAATCTGCTGTCAGGTATTTTACAGAGAAATCAATCCGGCTTTGTCGTAGCCATTAACCTCGCTCTCACTTGGAAGTGAGGTCACAGGCTGCTGATCAGTAGGGTACCTTTTCGGATATAACTTCTGTTATTGTGTCCTCTTCTTAAGGTTGATCAGCGTCACTGCTGAGGTCTTTCTGTTTGTTCAAAGGGATGTCAGAATTCACCAGTGTAGCCTTCATTAATCTGCAGGTCACATTTTTTGCTCTTAAATGTTTACAGGGGATTTTTCTGCTCAACCTCGTCAATCATAAATCCAGCTGAGTGGTCTGCTTTTTGCACATAGATGTCATTAGTGCATATTGAAATCACCCCAGGGTCATGGTATTAACCAAACAAATACAGATAAGTGTATTCAGCATCTTCAGAAGGAGCAGAAAACATGAGGATGGCAACATTTGCTCTGACAAAATATGAAGAATTGCAGTTTTTTTTTTTTAAAGAGGCATTTAAGCAAAATTGACATCAAGGCTAATGCTTCAGATGAGTCAAATCAACATGAATAGATGTTGATGATAAGCTCTCATTTTCTTTCATTATGAAACCTCAAAAATGTCTAATATCAAATCAAAGGCCAAAGATATTCATATCAAACATGTCATCATGTGTTTGTGTTGTTTTTTTTCTTTCCAGCCCAGGGTGGGAAGAAATGGACGAGTGGTTCAGGGTTTTCCGCCCATCATCGAGGGGCAGGAGAAACAGGAGCAATACGAGGAGGAGGAAGAGGAGGAGGAGGAGGAGGAGGAAGAGGAAGACGTGGGCATGTCTGTACCTCTGTCATCAGAGCGGAACAAAGCGGGACACCTCAGGGACTCAGGTGGGAAGTCTCCACTGAGCCGACCCAGCCAGAACTCCAGGAGGTCCCGGAGGAAGATCCAGGAAATTACACTCACCACATTAGACCCGTCCAACCTCAGCCCGAGGTAAGTGTGAGAGGTATTGATTTGCCTGTGTTGGCCTGTGTCCCTGTTTCTATGTGTTACGTCTGTTTCTGTCAATCTTTTATAAGTCGATGCGGTGCAAACCAGAGCTGGGATCTTCTGACAATTCAAAAGTTTAGTTTAAAGAAAGAAAAATACTTTTATGAACTTTTGTTGGTACTTTCACTCAGCCCAGTTACTTATCTTCTATAATTTGAGCCTTTGGGTGGGGTTGAACAGATTAAACAAATGAGATGAAACAAGAAAACTGTTTGTATTTTTACAAAGTTCGGAAAACTCTTTCCCTCTTTTTTTTACCAGTGTTTCTGATACAACTTTACTTTACTTAACTTAACTTTTACTTTATAACTTTAAAAACACAAACACAAATATATTAACTATATGACAGTTTTCCAATTAACATATTTATTATTTTTAATATTGATGTTGTTCATACATTTCCTTCAGTTATTACAGTATCAGTAACAAATCGTTTCTTTCTTGCACACACTTCTGTCTCTCTGCAGGATAGTGGACGGTACAGAGGACAGCCAAGGAAGGGAAAGTTCCCCGGCCTTCTCCTTCTCTCCTGGACTAGGTTGTCCCGGCAATGAACCAAACAGTGCCTCAGCATTCACCACAGGTCCTCTCATCCTTCATCCTCCTTAATCACAGCAGTTCGCCTCTCAAATGTGATCCAAAACTATTTACATTCTCATAAACTTCCGACATGCTGGGAAGTGAGAAAAGCTCACTTCCAAATCCATGAAGTTCGCTCATATAATGAGGATGATTAATGTAACGTTGTCTGTCAGAGGCCTACATTCATCAGCTGCCCCCATGCAATAACTGCTGGGTGCACATTTTTATTTCTTAATCTGCTGTTGAAGCAATCTTTGTAACGTTCAAATTTGTGTCACAGATATGCTGCAGATCAGCACAGCAGAGCTTGCGGCGAAAGCCGAGGAGACGAGAGGACAACTGCGAAACCTCGACCAGCAGGTAGGACTCTGTGTGTTTGTGTGTACAAGTTCAAAAAGTGAAAGAAACTGTGTGTGTGTGCGTGAGAGAGAGAGAGAGAGAGAGAGAGAGAGAGAGAGAGAGCGAGAGAGAGAGTGAGGGAGAGTGAGGGGGAGAGGCAGGTGGGCCCAGGTAAGCACTAGCCATATGGCTATAACAGCATGTCAGGTTCAAACCAGGTGAAGCAAAATCAAAGTTGTGATATAAAAATTACCGTGCCAGAAGAAGTAATACTATCAATGCTAAGTAATGCTAATGCTAGGTGCCATTTCTAAACCATCTAAATCCTGCATTCATTGGGTTTTAAATGAGCAGTACAACACATTTGCCACTTTATACTAGTTGGAATATGTGAGTATTATTACATTGTGTTATATTTTTAATGTTGTATGGACTTTAATGGTCAATTTTTCATCTTGAAACAATCCCTTCACACACAAATACACACACAGACCATCGTGCCGTACCCTATGGTTTTGATTGGCGGGTGGCTAAATTGGCATTAGACTTTTTGGCAGGTGAGGAGAAGTGTTTGCTTCCTCCTGCTAAGCCTCAGTCTGGATCAGCGCTTGGATTAAAAAGAAAAAGAGACCTGAAGAGAGAGAAATTGAAAAGAGAGAAAGGAAAATTACAGAAAACAAAAAGAGAAACAAATAGGGAGCGATGGAAAAAATGGAGTGTGAAAGACAATTGAACAGCATCCTCACAGTTATACAAGCCCCTTCTGTTGTCCTGATCCTATGTCTCTGTGGGTTGCCCGTGTTTGACAGGAAGTATCCCAGCGTGGTCTTGTAGGTTGTTAATCCTCACTCGCATCCAGCCATTCAGATCACCATAGGAGATGAAAGCAGGGTGCTGGTTTACAGCCTTTCTGCTCTCTCCACAAACACAAGTACAAAATACGAATGAAAGCATTGTTTTCTTTTTATGCAGTGCACGCTGGATTTTTTCCAATTTGTTTTCAAAAACAGGATTTATTATCAACAAATAAAAAATGTGTATTCATGCTTGTATGAACCCATTTGCTCAGTGTTCAGTTTGTACACTGATTCAGTGGTGTGATCAACTCATGCACATTTCCTCATACAGTGCGATGAAAATAAGGTCAAGTAGTTGTTGTTGCATTATAGCTAGAGGATTTATATTCACTGGAGAGCATCTAAAAACCAATGATAAGTCATTTAACCGTGAAAATAAATGCATACTGTGCTGTACAGCAATTCGTAATCATTCATTTTGCTGATTTTGACCTGACTCGCGCAGATGTGGCAACAATTTTAATGAACTACAAATTGTGTGAACAGTAACAAACTGGTCCTGACCTCTCATCTCTGAACTTTACCCTTTAATCCTTATACTTCAGCATGTCCACAGAAGGGCTCGTTCAAATGGGAGCTGAAAGTCATTAATATGCTGAAAGGGAGACCTTTGTGCCCTGTCATCAAAATCACAAGAAGGAGGGCTGGAACAAACAGATTTCTGAGTAATTGCACTTATAATTACTTGAGCTGCTGCCATAAAACACTTAAAGATCACCAATACACATACACTTGAAAGAAACGGTGTGAACATACTATAGACTGTAAATAGGAATGGAGGAAGCCTGAGTGACGTCACCCATCTGCTACTGCACGGGGCTCTGGATGCTCATCAGCAGCAGGCAATCAGTTCAGACACAATCCTAACTCTTCACAACTCGTATCATTCATGAAACCAAAACTGATGCAGTATAAAAAACATCACGGTGTGTGCCCATGAGGACAATAACTAATCAGACAGATATCGTTTTTGCACCAGGATGTAAACATGTTGTGTATGTGATCTACAGGGCTCCAGGATCTACAAACTCCAGGATTTTTGCACTTCTGCATTGGCTTCATTTTTCAACACCAGAGTTTGCTGCTTGGTACATACACATGTATGCACAGCAGTGGCGATTCTAGAGTCTGGCAAAAATTCAATGGGGGAACCAGCGTGTATCCCTATTATGTCAACCAGTTTCCTGACGCTTATTCTCTTTCTCTCTCTTCTTTTTTCACTCCCCAGATGGATAATTCCTCTTCATTTTCGTTCAAAAACTTTTAATACGTTTTTGATACGTCATGGCGAAATGACGAAATTTTGAGCCACTGCTTGGGTTTAAAGTTAGTCAGCCCTTGGGGTCCCCCTACTGGCTTGGGGCCCCAAGTAGTTGCCTGCCTTGCCTATTGACAAACAGTGTCTCTGATGCACTGCAGTAGTGATCTTCTTAAGTTAAAGCGAGTTAACAGTGCATACATGTTAAAGTGGTATAAATAGATTGTAGGGCCACTTTGGGAAGGTAACGAGACATTAATGTTTTATTTTTAACAAATACATACACAGAGCAGCAGTAGTATGTATTTGTTGGTGTGAATTGATTTTGGATTAAAAAGAATGAAAAGTTAAATTGATCCCGATAGAAACTTGTTTTCAGACGTTTATCAGCACTTGTCTGCTGTCTCTGTCTTGCAGAGCGCTGACAGTGAAACAGGAAATTAGGGATTAAGTGGAGACAGGAGGGGAGGGATGAGGGAGGTGTGTCTGAAGAGAAAGTTTGTTTTGGTCTGGAAAATCTGCTCTGATAGCCACATAGTAAGCCTTTAAACACTCAAAGCTGAGGGAAACTGCAATGCCAGATGTTACTTCTCTGTAAACTGGTCACTATGTGCAGGATATTACCATTCAATACACACAACGCTCATTACAATGGCTGCTGCAGGGTTGGTGTTAGACAAAGTGGTTTAGAGCACACTGCAGAAACAGCCTTATTTTACATTTTTGCACAACAAAGATTCTTGATAATTGATACATCTGACTGTTAAAAAAAGGCAGAATGAGATGTTCATTGTCAAAAAGATTACTTACACAGCACAGGACAAAATCAGCAAAGACATGAGAGGAACCACTTACTCAACAGGGGGCGCCAAAACTTACAGAAAGTGAACGTTCCTCACAGGAGCTTCACTTACACATTCTAAATTCATTGATATATATTTCAGCATAGCCTGTTATATAGACTGTTAAAACTGCATCTATGACACATACTCTAACTTGCTTGTGCTCATTAAAACATGTTCAATCAATCAATCAGACTTTGTTTAATAAGCTCATTGCAGACAAATTAAATTGCAGAAAAAGTGATAGACGAAAAAGTAGATTGTAAAATCATTGAGAGATGAATGCACACCAATAAGATTTTGATAAAAAGGTGGGTAAAAAAGAAATACAAAGACAAGACATAGAAGAATGTTGTACATGTTGCGTGCAGTTAATTATTATAGTAAAATACTGACTGAAACTTACTGAAATTGAAAGGGAGGTTTATTTGTTCAGGCGTTTTAAAACACAACAAATTAAATAATTAATGTAAAAAATCCTTGAAAACTAAACTAAAGTAAAATGTGTAAAAGATCAACCAAGCAGGAGCAGTTGGCAATTAATGAACTGCTGATTATATTTGATGACTGTATTTATGCACTGCACTTACAACTTCAACACATTAATCCAGACTGAGACATTAACTGGTTTATTAAGTATCAGCATCGTATGATTAATGTTGTTTAGGTTTAACATGTACCTGCAATGGTTTATAGCCGTCCATGGCTGCTGGTTTTGTCTGATTGTTCTCACAGATGGTTGTCTCGGAGGTAGGAGAACTGGAATTATGTTGACAGCGTTTCAGATTGGACTGTCCTGACACTCTCTGCTTTTTCTATTTTTATCAGAGCCAGAGTTTAGACCGGGGCTTTTATCAGCCACTCCAGAGAGGGAGAGAGATGGCAGAGATGTGACAATTGTAGAAGAGGGAGAGGGGAAATATTTTTCTCTGTTAAAACTATTGTCAGAAGGGACTCAGAGTGATAGATCAAAGTCAAACAACTGCAGTGTTTAAAGGAAAAGTAAGTATTTCATATATAAAAATAGATAAATTGACATTCGGAGTGGTTTCTAAGAAAAATCATTTCTACCAAATTTTTAATTTTACATTCGCACATAAATGTTGTATTCATAACATCAATTCTTTATCCATATTACCCAGAGAATAATCATGAACACCCAGCCATATTTGTTTTGAAGAGATCACAATATACTCAAACACACACACACACGGCCTGATCCCCTCTACATGTGTTCACATGAGGTCTGCAGCAGTTTCCACCTGCAGTGTGTGTGTCCTGCTGAGGGGCTGATGTTACTCCAGTAGCACTGATGTGCATGATCGGCCTGATGAACATGGCGAGTGCTTTGACTGGCAGAAGCAGATGGCACGTTGGCAGGGCTTCATGGCTGTGCCCTCTGTGGAAATGCCTCATGCAGAGAGCAGCTAATCACCACCCCGCCCTCATCATAGGAATGACCAATTATAGCAGCACGATGCTACATGCAAAACGGCAGGCAGGAGACGAAAATAAGAAATACAAATTTGACCTAAAATGACTGACCTGAAAATATCAAATTCATATTTCTTTTCTGTATCTAACCATGGCCCGGTTACTTGTACAGTATATCCTGGGACTCTTTGATCCTGGTAAAGAGTTTGTATCTCTTAGAAAGTTCATCTTAAATCTATAATCCAGTAGAGTGTTGTTAAATTGTTGCTAAGTTGTTAAAAATCTCTATTTGTAATGCTAAGCTTCAATACTTCAGTAAAAATTGTTGAGCTGCCTCTATGCCAAAAGGAGAATTATTGTTAAATGTTTCATGCAGCCAAAATTTTTTTTGTTGTGTTTGTTGTTGTTGTTGTTGTGTTGTTGTGGAGAAGCAGTTAAATTTATTTTAAACTGCAATCTGATTTAAGGCTGTACATGACCTGAGTTATATTGGACACACCAGCAGGACATTGTAAAGTTGTTGTTTTTTGAACTTCATGCAGTCTTACCTGAAACCTGAAAGCTACTGTAGCTAAATGCACACTGTGGTTGCTCCTTTCATTACGTCACTCCCCTGGTAAATAACCCATTCAATGTTTTACCAGTTAAATGCTTTTAATGTTAAGAAGTGGCTGCAATTAATATTTGGATAGCATTACCAGATTTGACACGGCTTAAATGGCTTGAATTAAAAATGGTGGCCATCATCAATGAGATCAAATGTCCCTTGATCACATGCTCGCTCTGTGTCCTGTGAACACCTTGCAAATTAAAACCCATAGGTTCAAATCTAGAGCTCATTCTAACCCTATGAGACAAAAATTAGAATCTAATTTTCAACTTATTCTGTCTTATTTATGTCTGATTCGTTGCTCAGGACCCTTTGGAGCAATGAAAAGACAAGTCTTTAATGAAAAATACGACTGAAAAAGGAAAATATATTCAAGCAGCAATTGAAAGATGTATGTCTAATTTTTGTCTCAAGAAAATTTCATGAGATCTAATGGAGATCTCACCTCTGTTTATACAATGTCTGGTGATTTTCTGAGTGATCACTCTTACTCATTTGGCTGCTGGCTGAGGGGAAGAGTTGCTAACCTCTACACTACAGACTCCAAATTTTATTTAGTGTTGATCATGAAGATCAAGGAAACAAAGTTAATTCATTTTCAAAAATTGAAAGATCTATCTACAAGTATGAAAAATGAAAAAAAAACGAAAAAAAAACAAAACATTTCCGCACACATAAAGAGCTGGAACCATAATGATGTTTATGCTTGAAAAGTAAATCAAACAATTATTCAGTTAAAAAAAGCAAGAACAAATCATTGCCTTTCTCTTGTTTAAGTGGTCTAGTTGACTTAAAGTTTCCACTCTATGGGAATTTTTTGGAATGATATGAATGTGTGTGAAAATAACTTTTGATTAAAACATACTAAATGTAAATAAAACATGTATCTTGTACATCCCATGAAGTCATTGCCCCGAGTCTTAATATGGCAAAGTGGAGCTAAGATTTGTATGATACGATGTATATAAAATATGCCTAAAGTGTTTGTTTTTTTAAACTGTTGAGATTAAATTGAGACCTCTTGTCTAATTTTTCTAAAAAGGAGACAACTGTAAGACACTCGTACGGACTCAAACTGCATCGCGCACTATTCTCGTCTTTTTCTTGGCTACGGTTTGGATGAGACACAAGGCAATTCAAAACATAGACTGTGAACCTTCATAGTGAGACCTCACACTAGTCTAATTGTTCCTCTAGCTGAAATCTTGGATTAAGATTTATAAGAAATGCAAGACAATTCACTCAGAGCTCAAGTCGAGATATCAAATAACTAATGTTCTTCATGCAGACATGAAGATCTTTAGATGGTTGTGTTACTTAACACCGTAGGATAACTGTTTTTTTGGACATGTTTTCATATTTGAGTTTTTTTTTTCTTTTTTTTTGAAACAACTGATGGTTTTCGTTTGTGTTTGCAGGTGGGCACCCTCGGGAGAGAAGTAGCTGACCTTGGACGAGTGATGAACAGGATGGCCCACCTCATGGAGACCCTTATGTCATCAGTGCCCAAGCCTACACTAGTCTGCCCCGCTCACTACTCTCCAGGACAGCACACATACCTGCCCCACCCTAACCCTCCTCAATCCCACTCTTCACCCTCCTCCTCTCAGACTGCCTCCATCTGGATGGACACGCCAATGTCGCTGCCCTCCTCACCCCTCACTTTCCCCCAGGGCTGTGGAGGAATATACCATCAGGACCCCCTCACACATATACCCCAGGAACTCCAACTGCGGTACACTGCTTCCCCCAGCTCAAATTTACCCATAACTCCCAACTTATCAGAGCTGCAACTACAGCCAATCATCACGAGTCTCACATGCTTTCCTCGCCCCTCAGCTCACCAGAGAGCTCCCACTTCACAGACAGGGTTTCTGGCTTACACAGTTCGAGGGTGCACAGTCCAGCTTCACAAGACGGGGGAGACGAGGACCCTAATCTGAGCATTGAGTGCTTTCCGCAAACTGGACTTGGGGGGACATACCCTAGCCCACCGAAGGGTTTGTAGCAGCCTTCACTCTGAAACTTTTTCTGGATTCAGCAGGACTTTTTCCAGGTTATTTTTAGAATATGTATGTTGAACTAGAGCACATTGAATAACTTTGGTCCCCCGTATCATTCAAAGAGATTGCAGGGATGCAACTCTTTTGTTTAAAAGGCACGTGTTAAAAAATCATGTTGCATGAAGCAAGTAAAGAAGGATTAGGTGTGTTAGCTTTACCGTATAAAAACGTAGATGTTAGACATGATGATGAGGTTCAGGTCATCTCTCTGGACACAGATCAGCCCTTTACCCACGACTGTGGTCTTTACCTGGGGGCGGGGTTATACATAACGGAGGACAAGAGCGATACAGAGGAGGAGAGAGCTCTTTCTGACCTCTCTTTTTTTTGCTCCTGGCGTGATGGTTTCAGGTCAACTAGGCTGGTTGGAGCAAGACAAAGCAAGAGTGCTGGAGGTGAGATTTGGAGAAAAGGAGGGGAGATACATACAGTAGGCAGTTACCATTCGTCCCCTAATCCCCCTATCTCCACCATTTGTTGTCCTTTTATCCCTTCTTTTCTTGCTCACTCAACCTGCACCCGATGCTCTGGATTGCATGGACCAGTGTGTGACTGGTGGGGGCTGGTCGGACTGGGAGCACAGAATGGTGTGAGAGGAGAGATATGGGATGTATTGTGCTCTTTACCCCAAGCCCCCTAGGGAACTGAAGAAAGTTGGTTATGGAATCGGGAAGTAGGGTGGGGGGTTATGTTATGCCTCGGGCAGCACAACCCCTGCTGTCATCTGTCACACCGAGCACGGGGACTCTTTCTCCCTCTTTGTCCTTTCTTTTCTCCTCAAACCTCTCTCTGGCGCTCTCTTTCCTCTTTCTCTCGCTCTGTGCATGCCTTTCTGAGCCTTTTGAGTAGTGCCTGTAGACACAAATTAACATGCTGCATGTCACCCAGTGGAAATCCAGCTTGCCATTTATCTATCTATTTAAAGGAAACATGGTTCAATCTTTTAATAACCGAACCTGGCATTTACTGATGCATATTTATTGGATGTTGGGTAATTTTTGACTAAAGGAAGTCGCCCCCCCTTGTGAAGAGGCCTGGAGGAAAACTGCCAATATTGAATTGGTTTATGGTCCATGATGTCGGCCTTTTCCCCGTTTGTCACCCGGGGTTTTCAGCTCTGAGGTCCATTTTCCCAGCTGGTCCGAGTGAAGGCAATATTCCCTTAAAGAAAAAAGCACAACAAGGACATAAAGACACTTTTATATTTCTATGAATGTATCAATACAAAAAAATGTATTTTTTTACCTCAAATAATGCAAGAGTGTGGGATGGCAGTAAATGATGCTACTGTATATGAGGTTATGGCAGTGCTGTTTGCTGGCCAATGCAATCTTAAACCAGGAAAATGGTCCGAACTATTGTCCACACAGATCTACGGTTTCTCTTTTGAATTCATGTGGGTTTGACTCTGCTTCTCTGCAAATGGAATGTACTGTAATGGAACATCTTTATTTCCCTTAACATTTTGATATTTAATAGATACAAAAACAATGTTATGCTAATAAAAGACAAATATGACTGTTATGTCCTGGCCTTTGCTTATGCTCAGTGTTCAAATATATTTTCATTAAAGCTGGACAGACGTTATCGAGGTTATGGCATCAAGGAACTCTGTCTTCTCTTAATATACATTATAATCTTTACGACCACCATAGAAAATACATTGATGATAATGGCTTTCAAATATCTAGTAAGCTCAAATTTTAGGTGCAGATAAAATGGCATCATTACACTCTTCTCCAGGCCTGAAGTTCAGGAAATAAATATTTCTGATCGGTTACATGGACATTTGTTTTTGTTTTTTAAAATATGCATTGTTTTGTCACAAACACAATTTTCCAGATGTAACCTATGTATTTTTTGTGTGTAGGTTGATACAATATCCTGTTGACAATGTAGGCCTAGGCCTACATATATTTTGTTTGTGAAGCATAGCAAAACCAGCCATAGCTTATGCTAAACCACATCAAAGCGCCATGTTGTAAACACTTTGAGCTAAATGCTAACATCAAGACGCTAACTAATTTACAATTGCTTAAGTTAAGATACTGCATTTAGGCATTTATTCTGTGTATCATCTCTGTCTATTATGTTAGCATGCTAGCATTTGCTAATTAGCGCCAAACAGCTAAGCCCAAAAAAAGGCCAAATGGGAGATTTGAAAGAGAGAATAAATGAGTAACTTTACTAAAATTATGACTTTTAACACCTGAAATGTCTAACAGTATCATCTTCCGGACAACTGCCAGCATTGCAAAGCAACACAGCTTCATGTTAGCATTATGGCATTAAAACACAGACAGGTTTTAAGGGTATTAAATATCCTAAGATGTAGCTTCTTATTATCTTATTCTGCAGCTTTACGGCTTACACTTTTATACACAAACACAAAGTGGTTATAGTGCAAGCTCTCTTGTCATGCGCGACTATTGTGTGTCCACACTGTGTTGATGACAGCAATGTGTATTTGTCTTTTGTATGCTTGTTTGTCTTTCTTTTGTATCGTGCTGCTCCGGTTCATCTGAGGTGAAAGCGCTGCAGTCGTCATGTTTCACAGGTGACGTAGGCGGGGGATTGAAAACTGTGTGTGTGTGTGTGTGTGTGTGTGTGTGTGTGTGTGTGTGTGTGTGTGTGTGTGTGTGTGTGTGTGTGTACGTGTGATGTGTATTACATTGACACATCTGTCAGAGGTCCAGCTGCTCTAACCTAGCAAGGTTTTGCTCATGTGGGTCCATGAATGTATGCATGTGTGTAAATACTTTTAGAGGGGGGTAATGTGTGACTTTAAAGAAAATATCAAAATAGCCCCCACTTTGACAATTTCTCACATGTTTTACTGAGTAGTTACAGGTGGTAGTGTGTGTGTTTGCACTGAGGAAGATTATTTGTGTATTTAGCAGCGCCTCCAGCACATCTGTGGGAATGCTGTTATAGCCTGGGGTCTTAAAGGCCCATCCATATTTAATGGTGTACAGACAATCCCACCCTGGCTGTTTATGCATCGTTCTATCCACCTGCTAGCAAGCTCATCTTTAATTCACAACTTACCACAATCTGTCATTAGCAAACGGAGGCCCATCTGCCTTCCCCTTTTGCACCCTTGCTTTGCTCTTTCCCAACAGTCATGATTTTCAATTAAAGTTGAGTCTGACTTTGATGGATGGAGTGAAAAAACTGAGTAACATTGGGGAAAATAGGGAAAAGTGCAAAAACAATGCTAATGGGTTTTTAGAAAAGTTGGGATGAAGGATGATGATGCAGTTGATCACCGGATGATTTTCCTTCAATGTCTAGCTCAGGATGAGAAGCTCAAATGGTGCTTTATTGTCATGCTACTATGTTTCAGTTCTGAAAATGTCACAAACATTGAGATCTATAAAGTCACCATTTCACTGCACAACTACTACTGAAAATAAAATCTATATAAACAATCCGAAGGGCAACTCATTAGATACTGTCAGACAACAGCTAACATTTAGCATTTCATTTTTCTAAGGTTTATTTTTTTACAGGAAGCTGTGTAGGGACTGCTCAATTATAATGATTGGCATTAATAGTGGCTAATAACCTAGGCTTAATATGAGAACAAGCAGATATCCATGCTGCTATCCAGCTAGCTTAAATGTATTATGTGCCATGTGGGAGAGGCAAAAACAAGCGAAAGTGCTTCTTTGAACAAGTGTGTTCACTGTTTCTATGACTATACCTGTCATAGAAACAGAGATTACATGCCTTTGAGTGCAGGAAAAGCTTTTTCAGAATTTCGTTTTGAAGGAAAATTCAAACTCCAAAATATCGTGAAAATATCTAGGCCTATGTCCACTATTTCTGTCATGTTAGGGCCAGATAGTAGCTTACAGACGGCAGAAAGAGCTTCAAATGTATTTTGATTCTAACACTGAAACACATTTAAAGCCGTGTTTCATAGTCCCTCTGCTGCTTTATGTCTTTCAAACCCACTCTTTTCACATTGTTAAATACTGGCCCTGACAGAAATACAACAACTATTCATCACTATCCACTCTATCTGAGCACACACAGAAATGCTGTGCATTTAAACACACACATGCAAACACACACACACTCACTCTTCCATTCAAATAGCACTTCATCCTGGTGAAAAGAGCCTCTTCAGTTGTGTGTCGCCACAGATTGCACTACTGAAAAACTCCATGGCTGTGCAGGAGGTGAGAAATTCTCTCCCAGGTAATACAAATCTGTCCGTTTCTCTCTTTTCATCTCTGCAGATAATAGAGATATGTTGAAATCTGCCAGCTGTGGTGAGGTGTTTCCATTAGTGTTAAAGAAAAAGAGGCAGAGCTGTGAGCTGAACCAAGGACACATTTATTATTGTGTCTGATTGGTTGTGCTTCTACTTTTGAGTATGTCTGTATAGATCTGGTTTCTCTGCCATGTATTAATTTGAGATTGAACATGCACATAAAATACAGAGAACACCTTCTACCTAAGGGCTTTACATTTTTCTGTCCCACTTTGGGTGAGACAGCAGCCATTGTTGTACATTCAAATGGTTTCATTTGCATTGGCGTAGAGCAGGAAAGAGGGGAGGGGGGACTCTTGCAGGACACTTTGTGTGTTTGATAAATGACTTCGCTGCTCCCGTAGGTGCTATGGTTGAAGTGATGGTGTTGGTGGGAGGATATGCAGAACAATGCGCATGTCAGAAGCAGAGATTAATAGTGGTTCCCTCTCTAAGAAGTGCAGGTCTGACTATACCCGTCATAGAAACAGAACCGGTTGCTAAATGACCTCTTTTGTTGCTCACCTGTCACTGAGGCGTCTGGCATTTAAAAGCAGCATATGGATCATCACCATGTAGAGCTCTTGCTAAATTGTTGTCTTCTATTGTGTTGATGTTACAGTGATTTAGGTGTCCCTGCTGAATAGTCTGGACCAAATCGTTCCCTCATTCTAAGGAGGCAGACTTTTTTCTTTCTTCTATTTGTGAACATCTGGCAGCTTCAAACACTGTTAGGCTGCTGTTTGTGATGTTCTTTTGCATTCTGCTGTCAAAGTAGATTTTTATAGGATAAATTGCCAAAATGAGGTTAAGAAAGTCACCGGAGTCGTGCAGCTTTTCATTGAAGTCATCTATTCAGAGAGAGCAAAACATTCAGCTGTGTGTTCTTATGCTATTGGTAGGGTTCTGTCTTTGTCTTTGTCATTTGTCTGTGTTAGGGCTTAAAAGAACAAAACTATTTATTTGGGAAACAACGTGACAAAGTGAAAGGCGTTGCTGATAAATATACAGAGACATATCACTTGAATCTAAAGCTGCCCTGTGGCTATGTGGAGCTTTAAAGTGTGTTTCAGCTTGTTTTGCTCTTTGGCTCGGTACATTACCTGTGTGATTAACTTGAACCACTCTCATGGAGTCATTGTTTTTTTTTGCTGCAGCAGACATCAGCAAAATAACTCTAGAGAGAAAGACAACCAATAACGTCATGGGTCATTTAGCATCTAAACAACTAGATATTTCCCCCCCATAGTTGGTAGATACTTAAAGCATAAATAAAGAAAATGACAGTCCATTTGTTTACAACTTTTATATTTGAGACTACATGTCATTATGTAAGTTAAACTTCATGAGTAAGATTGCTGCTTTACCATCAGAAAAATACCATTTGTAATTATATTTTTTTTATCTGGCAGGCCTGTTTTGAAGTATTTGATGTAATACATAAATGCACGTATCATTAGAGCACCACTTTATTTGAAGGCTTCCTGTATAAAGTGTTTCAGCTGGAACTTTCTAAAAGAGATATTCAAACGCTGTTTTTGTGTCTTTGACCTTAATTGCTGCTCTAAGCCAAGTTTTCCGTCACATTTTAAAGCACTTAATCTCTGCTCAGTGTCAGCCCCGGCTCCTGAGGACCATCCACACAGACCTAATTGTACAACAAGCACATTACAAATCACTTGAAAACAACAACGGTGTGCATGTACAGAAGACCCAAGGCTCTTTAAGGCATGCATCGTAAGGACAAGCCACCTCCATCAAGGGTTGAAATAGCCACCATGGATCTTCATAAAGAAGGCAAAGTGTCCGGCAGCTGACATCCATCTGAGTCTCCCAGGGTCCCCAGAAGATGTGTTTGTGTGATTGTGTCATTTGTGGCTGTACTTTGCGTGGTGGCAGGTAACAAGAAGGGTGGAAAAGAGTCTGGTGAGAATGCAACATGCCCTGAAACCAATAGAGTTTGTATTTAGCTGTTCACTTGATTTTTCATTACATTTTGAGTGCAGACAGAGGGATATATCTGCAATAAAACGAGAAGGAGATGCATGATTTGCACACAGGACATAAAATAAAACACTGAGATACATATTCAGATGGGTTCTGATTACTGCATGGTGATAGCTCTTTTAAGTTGCCAAAGTCTCCAACACGTATTGCATTCCCTCCCAGACAGGTATATGTCTTAAAGGGTGCTACTTCTACCAGCACGCTCGACTTCACCGGTTATTGCAGGGAGAGCACAGTGAATGACTGTCATTACTCTATGTGGACGAGTATATCCTCTACTGAGACGTATACACAGCAGAGTTCCTCAGAGGATTACAGTCATAAAATAGGCAGTCACATGAGTTTTGAACGGTGTGTCATTCCCTCAGACTCTCACTTCTTGTCTCCATTCATGCTCTTTTTTATACATGTTATTACATTTGTAGGTCAAGTTTGATGCATGAACACTATAACTCAGTGCTCTCTCTTTTTAAAATGAACAGTGTTTTAACCTAAGATTTGAGTTTCTTTTATTAGGACCATATAATTCGAGATGTTCTAATACTAGCTTTACCTTCTTGATGCAGATTCACAACAATGGGGTGACCGTATTCTAGCGATAAGTGCGTGCGCCCCATGTAGAGAGGCTAAAGTCCTCCAGAGCAGGCGGCCCCGGATCAAGTCCAACCTGTGGCTCCTTTCCTGCATGTTGTTCCCCACTCTCCCTCTCTCCCTCTCTCTCCCTCTCTCTCTCTCTCTCTCTCTCGCTCGCTTGCTCTCTCCCTGAGTCTCTGACTCTGCCCACTGTCTTATCTCTAAAATAAAGGCATAAAAAGCCCAAAAATATAGCTATAGAAAAAAGATTCAGAACAAAATTAGACAACAAACAACAAATATACCCTACATAGTATTATTTTACAGCTGTGTGTCTATAATAACAACTCTGTATGGCAACCCCTCCTCGAACTCTTTTACTGTGTTGAATATTGCCAATCTGCTTTTTACTAACTATGACTAACTCTCACATGTACTGCTAACACTACATACACTACATGTTGTTAGCTATCATACAACTAATGACTTGAGATGAATTCCTTATCAGTGCTCTAAAACTGTCCTTTTAGAGGCAGGCACAACAAATCCATGATAGTACAACAGAACAATTCATTGTGTTGACTACTGTATTGATAGGAAAATAAGTTATCCATGCTATTTTCAAGGTTAATCAATTATGGTATTATTGTTCTTGATTGGAGTACTTTAGGATACAAATCACTTTTTTTTGTATTTGTTTTTTAAAGATTCTTTTTTTGGCCCTTTTTGTCTTGAAAGGGAAAGTACAGCTGAAGAGAAACAAGACATCTTGGGGGAGTTGGGTATGGCCCTTATCAAAACCGAATTTATCTCAGGACCCTTTACAAAAAGAGCTGCTGTAGACTTTGATCGTTGTTGTTTCATTTAGAAGGACCCAACATGAATCCACCGTGAGCAAGCACTTGGCAACAGCAGCAAAGAAAAAACTTTATTTTACAGTCGGAAATGTTGGACGGAACCAGACTCGCAGTGAACACCTTTCTGCAATTACTGGATGGCGACTCGCAGAAAAGGCCTAGGGTCTGAGTTACAAACTGTGAATGGGGCACTCATTTCACCAACTGAGCCAAACCAGCGCCAAGCTCCAACAGTTATCTGAGCTGTGAGAGTGGGTATACAACTTCTCAGAATCCTTAATGTAGAAATTCATTAGACTAGTGATCCTTCCTTTTGTTATCAGCTGAGCTTGCACATGTGATTATGAGATGCAAACACTAAATTAACCCTCAAACATTGTTTAAAAAAATAAGCAAATGTATCAGTATGGGCTTGAGCATCCTTTTTTATGTTCTTCTAAAACTAAGCAAAGTCTGTAAATCTACATAAAAGGTAGAGTACTTGCAGCAGTGAGAGAGGTCGTGTGGATCATTTGGTTGACTTTATAGCCTACCTCCAGCATGTCCTCAATCTTTAGCTGTTGCTTTCACAGAGAGTCTGTGACCTCTTGCCATCCTCGGAAAAACTTCCACTTCTTCTGTAGCTCAGCAGACTGGAGTTACATAACTGAGAGCAGACATACTAATCAACAACATCATGTTGTTTGTGCAAGTGTTTGACCTATGGCTCCGAGCCTCAGACATACCATATGACTGGTCTTATTGAAAAGGTGCCGTGAACTCCACTGGGCTGAGTGCACTATGGGTTAAGATGAGCATTAGAGAGTCAGAGAATAGGAGGTTATTAGCTTTAAATGCCTGGAGGCAAGAAGAGAGGTACAGGGGCGAGCTCAGAGTGTTTTCCGCCTGCTATAGATTCCATGTTTAACCCTCATAACTTCACCTTATCTTTTGGCTTTGAGTTACAGTGAACACTTGGACGTAAAAAGTCATGACACGGTCGTGTGTATGTTAATTAAAGGTTTGCTGTTCAGTCATGTGCTCATTGGGTCTTTGCAGTCACATGGTATGCTAGCTGTGCTGCATTATAACGTTATAGCTCCAGCCTCAAAAAAATTCAAATGAGAACATGTTTATGGAAATTCCCCTCTCTGTAAAAAAAAAAAAGAAAATGGAGGCTATTGATGTGTAACAAAAAGAAAGTGATCAGTTGGAGCGTTGGGAGGATTAGGAAGGTGGATGGCTCCCTCTGCTGTTGACTAGTGATAAGGTTTGACTTCACTTCTTTATTTTGGACAGAGTCAGTCAGAAAACATCACTTTGAGGGTTCACTCCCAGGTGTTTCCACTTATTTAGCTTGATTTGGTTTCTTCTCATGACTGTGTGAGTGTTCAGACCGCTTGTTTGTCCTCTTGCTCTCCTGTTAGTTATTTTGCACCTATGGGTGTTCTACAGGTGAAGTTTTGGCATGTCACAGAGGACAAAAACTTTGGCAAATTTCCATTAAGCGGCTTTGGTTCCAGTATGCTGAAGGCATTATTAATGTTATCTCTAACACCTGTGCTTTTTCTACTTTGACTGATCACAATCTGACCAATCTGATTAACTGAGACATTGAAAACCACTCAGGGTTTGCAGGCGGATCATGCAGCGCTCCCTGTAGAACTACAAAACTTGCACAGAAGTATACCGACACCTGAATATTAAACTCTTATATGATTTTTAAACATCTTTGGACTCGTCCATTTGCGTTAACCCCTCAACTATAACAGTAGCCACTCTCCTGAAAGAGCTTTTTTAAGACGTTGGCACTACTCTGAAGAGATTTGGTCGTGAAGGAGTTAAAGTTTGGAGTCAGGACAGATTCCATCCAAAAGATCAAGATCTAGTTCATAGACCAAGGGAAAATGGGAAGATTGCAGACGATAGATTTGAAGTGAATGCACACGTAAAGATTTTCGATTCAGTCCTCTAAATTACCAGCACTCATATAAAATGTCATTATTTCTGTCCAATTGGAGGCCTTCTCACCGAGATCTGTTAGTTTTTAATGTGTTTCTGTTTGCTGAATACATTCATACCTTTCAGGAATGTGCAAAATACATTAACACATGCATTTAGAGCATTTACTGAAGTCAGAGTTCTTTTTACATGTAATAATATGCATCTAAATAAATACAACCATATATTTTACTACACAAGCAGTGTAAAATAGACTTTTTTTTTTTTTTACATATTATTTCTTATTTGACTATTTGCAATCCTTAAAACAGGAACAAAAAAGCAGAGTGGCAGAGTGAAGCAAATATATCATATTCTGTAGATTGACTGTAAAGGTTCACTACTTCAGCCACTATTTATAGTACATTTAGGATGCCCTGGCTTTACGTCTTTTCTATGCATTAATCAGGCACCTTTAGGAGCTACTAGTTGCTCAAAGTGCCACTGTTGTCGGGGTTGATGGGTGCAGGGACGCAGGAGCAGACCTGCTGGGCTGGTGTGGGTGCTATGTGTGACTCCTCCTTCTTTTACAGCCTCCACACATAACTGTGACTGCTGGTGGACAAGTTGACCGCTCAGCTGAAAGAGAAAAACAGACTCACTGAGTTACACAAACAGCCACTGAGATCATGCGTACAGAGTTTAAAACAGAAACTTCTCTGACGTGCCTTTATGAACTTCCACTGAAGTCTGCTGCTGGTCGGTCGTTGTTTGGCGCACGGAGACGCCACCACCCGCTCTCCATCTACGTCAAGACACAGAGCCCCCATTGGACCGAAGCGCACCTCAGAGTCAGAGTTCAGATCGCAGTGCTGCAGTGACAAGAGAGATTTTCTTTTCAACTGTGCTCCATCTACGTTTCTGCAACTGTTGTGATAGTTACCTGGCTGCCTGTCCCGCTGCAGGGTGCTATAACCATGACCCCACCATGCAGATCATGACCTCGAGGAAGGTCTGCACAGCTGCTCGTGCCCACATTGTACAGCTTCAGACAAGGACAGGTGGGACACATAAGTCTGTCATGTCCATCAATTGTGGAAAAGTATAAATTGTGTGTTAGTGTGTGTGTGTTTGTTACCTCTCCTGACAGAGCAGGTCTGTCCTGAGGGATGTAAAGCTGTGGATAAACCGTTGTCAGGTACCAGTGGAAGTTCCTGCACCCCAGACTCCTTTTAAGTCTCAGACGCTCTGTGATGTTCGGACTCTCAGACTGATTTAAAAAAAAAAGAAAAAGAAAAAGAAAGAACAATCAGGTCCTTTTGTTCCCTTTCCCCTCATCCTCTAAATAATCTTTTAAGCGAATCCAAACTTACACACCTGCCTAATGAAATGAGCGAGAGTGTCCCTCCTGTAGAAGATCTTCCTGAAAGCATCCATCCAAGTGTCTGCGACCCGGATTTTGTTCCTCTGGAGAACCTCCTGATCCGGGAGGAGGTAAGGCAGATGGTGGTGGCCTACGTGAGCCACACGGGAGCAGGGGACCACCTCCATGGAACCCCCGCAGGACCACACCTAGGATTTCAGGGAAGCTTTAGCAAAAGTTTGACTGTTCAATTAATATCACGAGAGAGGTTTGAATCGTCTTCATGTTTTCCAGAACATGCTACAATAACACATCGTGAGTTTTCAGAATCAGAATTTTTTTTTTTTTTTTTAATGTTTTCAGAGGGAAACGAGTGGTCAAGTAACATTTTCCTCTCACACTTGAGCTTTTGACAACTGGCCCAGAAATTCCAAGACCTTTATTCAACCTGAGATTTCCATTTGTAAAAGGCATCGCGTACCAAAACAACATTCCTGAGGACCTGACAGAAGGCAACTTAATCACTCTCTCACAAAAGCATGGCTACAAAAAGAGCTAACAGGACGTCTCTTTGTCTGTTTGACCCAAAAGGTTTTTGAAAGTGGACATTCAAAAGTGTTTTATCTACCCTGATTGACAGCTCAATTTGCTCTCCTCCCCACAGAAGTATCCCTGGGTCATAGGCTCCCACGCTGTGGAAGAAATGTCTGTCCATGGCCACAACTCCTCCTCCTAATGCTGGACTCCTGAAAGGACAGAATGCTTTGTGATGTTTTCTGGCTTGTGACCTTTGAATGAAAAATTAAGTTGCGATTTCTTCTCAAAGGTTTGCTATTCTAGTAAGCAGTTGAAGCACAGAGTGAAGAGATGAAATCCAGGAAAGAATGACTAATGGTTTTGATAAATAGGGGTGGGACAAAATATCAGTACGGCAATAAAGCGTCACCCTGACTTATGGGGAACTATTATTGAATCACTGGTGCCAAATATCGATTTTAATTTGTCAAAAAATGGAAAAAATGTGGCAATTTAAACAGATTGCCACGGCAATTTGCCTCAACGCGTCACTACCTCATGACTCCTCTCAGTGGCACTTAAGCAATAAAAAGGGGAAGAAGAAGTTGACAGCAAGATCAAGAATAAGAAGTCAGTGGGCCATGTCGAAGAGGAGGAAAAAAAAGTGAAGAGATGTAGCTTGAAAAGATATCAAACTGACACTAAATTGCAGAAAATTAATACATTAATCCAGCACTTTATCTTTTTAGGGGAATTTTTATAGATTCCAGTGCTTCTCAAACTGTGGGGTGCAGAACATGAAAGGGGGGGGAAGGGGGGCTTGCACAGGGGTGTGGCCAAAAAGGATGGGCTGGTACCCATTGAAATAGTAATTTGTCACCCCAGGTTCCAAGCCATAATCCTAAACTATGATCACCTATTTGACCTGTCAGAGGCAGGGTTTATGTTCAAACTAACGACTTGGGCTGTTTCACAACAGACTTTCTTTGTTTTTCCATGTTGCACATTACATTTTAATTTTTTAGACACATATCTTTTCGAGTCCTCAAAGAAATGAGCCTAGAAGATTTTAATGATGCTACTCTGTTGTCTTACTTTTGAAGTATAAAAAATATATATCAAATCTTTTAAAGTATTTCAAGTAGATATGATTATTTGATAGAGAAATGGAAAACAATGTTATTTCTTTCTGTGTTTGCAAACACATACATAATGGAGAAATAATGTTCACAATTTTGATGGTATTTCAAAACATTGGAACTGGCCCTTTTAGTTATCATTTTGTTCCGGTAATGTAAGTAGTTACTTATCACAGAATCCCTGTAGCATGATATCATCGTTATCATGGTTCATGTATTGCTATCTTATTGTATCGTATCACATCGTATCACATCATATCATTAGTTACTCTGCGACTCCCACGCCATTAGTAAATAAATATTTTACTTTCTTTTTTTCATCTTTTTTTAACATCAAGTAAATTATTTGGTCTACCTTGCAAGCCTTTGGGGTCTCAGTGCTCACAATGGGAGTCATTGGGCGACAAGAAGACACCTTTATTGCAGTTTTGAAAAAACTGAATATCTGAATGAATATCTAATTTACATTTCTCTTAAATTTCCTCTAAGTTGCAGGTCATCATATCTGCACCTTTAGATGAGATTAAGATAAAGCTAAATGTAACAGTGCTTTTTCTCAGGCTTCACTAAGCTTTGGAAAAAAGTTTAAAGTATTATAACTCAAGTCATAAAAACTTGAGGGCCTCTAAACTCACGACACAGGTTGAACAGCTGAGTCTTGTTCTTTATCTGGCAGATGATGATAAGATTCCCAGTGGAAGTCAAGCCTCCAGTCGAAAACTCCCCTCACTGGCCACTGGGTGGCGTTGTACTGAAAGGTCTGCCAGTCAATCACATCCATGATGGGGGACACCACTCTGGTCCTGCACAGAAATACACCACATTCATCTGAACATACATTTTAATATGCAAATATCTGTTTTTCTTCTTGTCAGTTATGCCGATTAAAAATTAAACGTCATGAATAGGAAGTGCATGTCTGTCTATCAAAGATCTGGGTGAATAAGGAGATTTAACATTCTTGACTAGAGTTTCTTTGTTTACTTTTCTCTCAGTATTCATTGCCTTCAACAGTGATATTAGTCCTGAAAAATAGGGGTGGGGGGCCCAAGTCAGTGCTCATGTCAGTCAAGTTCAGAGACTAGACACTCACTGTCCTTTGTTGGCTTCTGTTCTGGTACACCTTTGTTATCTGAGATATTTCCCCTAAATGCCACGTGTGATGTGATTCTCGCAGTGAACAAATTAAAGGAGGGAAGACAGAGAAGAAGAAGGATCGGGGTCAGACATGTGGCTGAGTGTTTACAGATTCCAGCTCTGAGAGTTCAGCCTAATTAGCCAGACTGATCAGAGCCACGCTGCAGGCAGCCTCAGACACAAGACCTGAGCCAAATCTCGAGAGCACACATGCAACATGTATCCTCTGTTTTACTAATGAAGGAGGACAGGTTATAAATGACAGCCCTCCATCCTCTCACTCACGTCAAGTGCTTCTGTCAAACATTTGAAAACAACAGCTTTATCCTATTTTTCCATTATAAGTCTACAGAAATCTCTTGCTTGGGATTTTTTTTTTTTGCATTTAACCAACAGAGCAGTTAACAAAATCATTGTGATTTAACAGAACTTATCTGAAGAGGAATTTTGTACTGCTGTTTATTATAAGCAGGGACGTATCAGGGTGCAGCCCTGGGTGGCATGGGCACCCCAGAAATCCGTTTTGCCATTTTATGAAGTATGATTGGCTATCTGTTCAATCGGAGGAGAGACTAAGGTTCAAACATTTCCAGGCAACTTTTGAGGCATTAAAATATAGAACATTGTGTTTTCTTAGAATTTTTACTGTGCCTTTTGGCAATATATCTTTTTTATTGAGTCATTAAATAATTCATATCATGCAACTGTGTTGCTTTTTTTAATTTAAAAAAACATTCAGGGATGTAACAACTTTAAAATAAGACCGGGTAGATACAAGCTTTTTGGAAAGTATGAGTAAATACAATTCATTTATGTGATCCTTCATAACTAAGTGCCCACTTGGCCGACATGGCCAGACATGATTAGATTAGAGTACCTGTCCTGAGCTATTCTTTCCAGAAGTGGTTCCAGCCATCCCTTCTGACATTCACAGTGGGAGTCCACGAACACCAACACCTCCCCTGCAGCTCGAGCAGCTCCCAGAGATCGGCACCCTCCCACGCCCAGGCGCTTGGTGCTGCGAATCAAACGCACCCCGTCCAAATGAGACACATACTCACTGAGCACGCTCTTCAGGTGTCCTGAGGAGTGAACACAAACATTAACGTGAGATCAGCACTGGTAACGTGTACGTTTGGGGTCCAATAAGAGAGACTCACCGTGCTGGCTGAGGTCGTCCACCAGCAGAATCTCTTGCAGATACTGTTTGGGTGCTGAATCCAGCACGGTGTGCACAGTGCGCAGCAACGTGGACCAAGCCTCGTCGTGGAAGCAGATAATAACACTGGCTGACGGCAGAGCCTCGCTGTACTGCTCCCCTAAACACCTGGCAAATGTTTGAAATAAATGCACATTAGTCAAAGCGACGTCTTCATTTGATATATTAAAAAGGGCATTTTCAGAGCGATGTCATGGTTTTGGTCGTGCGCCACTCACTCAGGATGGCGCACCTCGGGAAACCTGCGATGCAGTGAAATACTCTCACTGATCACCTCGTTGAAACCAAACTTTTGGACATCAGACAGCTCCACCTTCTTCTCAGAATCCCTCAGTTGTGTCTGCACTTCTTTCCCAACTTCGCCGTGCGTCGGCGGCGCAGGGGTGGTGGAATCCTTATTTGACCCGGTTAGAATCACCTTATAACTCCCCTTCCTCTTCGGCGGATTCTTTATGCCTTGCGTCGATGGCACAAATAAGAGCTGGTCTTCTTGAAGAGATTTTAGTGGGGCAATATTCAATCCAAGCTCTAACGCAGGGTCCCTTGAGTCCACGATGATCTCCAGGTCTGGTCTGGGTATTCTCTGGAGGGGGCGGCGGGGAGGACTGGGGTTCTGATGACTTTGATCCTGGTCCCGGTTTAAGAGGTCCGACAGCGCCAGAGTGACCAGGGCGAAGCCTAGGAGCAGCAGCCAGAGGCAGAGCACCCTCCTCCTTACAGCTGCGGCTCTGATCCACAGCCTCATTACGAAGAGCGAGTACAAGGAGTACTTAAAAGTCTGCCCAGTGCTGTCTTGACTTTCCCATGTTTGAGCTTTCACTCCACCGTGAAGTCATTTCACACAGGTGACACCTTTGGATTCATCCAGAAAGTAGAAAAAGAAATGAATCACCCATCAGTCCTCTGAAGGGAAGTGCAGCATCCATGGAGAAACAGACTTGGAAGAGGAGTGGCAGACCAAGAAGGTTCAGGACAAACCCCTAAACTTGCAAAAGAGAGGTGAGCCCACTATGTCTCTCATCCAGCTCATCCCACGGTCCTAAAGCCTGCAAGAATGTTTTTTAAGCTCACATCTTTAAGATGCACCTGACTCATCAACGTGCTCCACATCGACTGGAACCAAAACAAAACCCCACAAAGATATGATTAGAAGTATTAGAAAATATTTTTACTCCTACCCGAACTTTAAAGCGAGTATAGTGAAACAGTAACTGAGACTACTTTTTACACATTACATCATAGTCTATTTGGAGTTTTTGGGTTTCTGTAGGATATAGAAAATCGCTTAATTGTCATGCTGTGCCAATACTACTGTCATGACTTGTACATTATTCGAACATTTAGGATATTAAATGATACTTTTCCCCACAAAACTCGTATTTTCCACCAGAAACAACAGTTATTATATAACCAAAGTCACATTTTAGTAGAATTGGACAGTGTTTTTATGTTTCCTCTAGTGAGAGAGAGAGAGAGAGAGAGAGAGAGAGAGAGAGAGAGTGACGCCCGGTGCGTCCCACGTCAAAGCTGCTCTCTGCGGCCAGCTGGCGGCGCGCCCCGCAGTCCCATGACCGGCAGTCAGTGCCTGGGAGTGGGGGGGTCGAGGCTTCGATCTTCCCGGATCTCTTGGCAGCTCAGGCTGCTGTTTTCAGCCGAATGAAAACAAACACGTTTTTCTTTTCCTTCTTGTGTTATGTCTTCTACATCCTTTTCTTTTTCTTTTTATAAGTAGACATATTCATTTATCAGTTTTGTCAGAACATGTTATTCCTACATTGCACATTCATGCATTTTACATAATAACCCAAATTAGATTTTGAAAAATGAGTTTAATGGGGGGAAGGCCCAAACGTCATGTAAGTAATATCAGTGGTTTTAGTTTGATGACCAACTGGTGGTCTGTGGACAATTTCTCTTCACCACATCAGTAGGAATAAAGACCTTCTGCTTCAAACTGCTTCACATGCTCTGTTCTGTGGACTATTTCTGGCTGACTGGAGATGTGTTAGGTCTCATGCAACCTGGAGGAGCAGACCGTGGAGTTCTGAAGCTGTAGGTCGGCTGCAGTCAGTGGCACCACCAGTGCTGCTCCCGGAGGAGGCCCTTGGGTTTAACTGAGTAAGTGGGATTCCTCCAATTAAACAAATAGACCCTCGGCTCCTCTGTGCTCAGGATGACAGGGCAAAATGTCTTCTGATGATTCTGATTACAGCACACTGACAAGGGAGGGGACACCTGCTGACAAAGAAAGAAAAGGGTGTCGTAAGAGGGTGGAAATGAGAGAGAGACATGAAAGAGCAGAGCCAAGGGGAGAAGTGACTTGTGTGTTCTTCTGGGAAAATGTTTTTAAGCCTCAAGACTGAAAGGAAAGAAGCCCCTTCATGTATTTCCAGTTTGCACAGTGAACACTCCCATATGTGTCCATCCTGCAGCCAAAGCACACACTCACTCAGAATGATTTTCCACTGCCAGTACATTTGAAGACACACATAAACACTAAAGGATCTTCGACACACAGATACACACAAACACACACACACACACACACACACTCAAGCATCCAGTCCACATTCTGGGGAATGATCCTGCATTCCTCAAACTGACTAGAAGCCAGAGCTCTAAATGATAAGGCACGACAAGCACATGCATGCATCCCTCTGTCACACACACACACACACACACACACACACACACACACACACACACACACACACACACACACACACACACACACACACACACACACACACACACACACACACACACACACACACACACACACACACACACACAAGAAAGAAAGAAAGAAAGAAAGAAAACTGTCTGTTGGCAGTTTAGGATACATTTCTGGGTTATTGTTCATTCATATTTCTGGGAGCAGTGATGTCTTCTTCCCATGTGCAGAAAACAATGAAAAGTCTGCGAGACAAAGCTGTCACTTTACAATAGATTCATTGCTTAAGGCTGTTTAAATGTAGCCTAGCAATGCCAACTATTAACTAGTTCAAGCTTCTTCTAAGCACTAAAAACCTGCTGCTTTTGGTTATCTTCCATGATCTTCTTTTTGAGTTGAGAAGGATTCTTGGATACTGAGATTGACTTTCTGCACTGTTTTGTGAATATATTTTTTAAGGATCATAAACAAGAAGAATTAGAAATCAAAGACAAAAGGTAGGACTAATGAGCAAACTATTACAAAATGTAAATGAACGTTGATGTATTATAGTATAGTTAAAGTAATATATATATTTAGTGATGTAGCCTATGATTGAGCTTTAGCATCAATGCGGCATCAACATTGATGAGACAGAGAGAGAGAGAGAGGGGGAGAGAGAGAGAGAAACCTCAGTCACAGCCAGCAAAACAAAGACGTCAACCTTGTTTATTTTATCAGGAGAGAGCGAGAGAGAGAGAGAGAGAGAGAGAGAGCGAGAGCGAGAGCGAGAGCGAGAGAGAGCGAGAGCGAGAGAGAGAGAGAGAGAGAGAGAGAGAGCGAGAGCGAGAGAGAGAGAGAGAGAGAGAGAGATAGAGCGAGAGCGAGAGAGAGAGAGAGAGAGAGAGAGAGAGAGAGCGAGAGCGAGAGAGAGAGAGAGAGAGAGAGAGAGAGAGAGCGAGAGAGAGAGAGAGAGAGAGAGAGAGAGAGAGAGAGAGAGAGAGATAGAGCGAGAGCGAGAGAGAGAGAGAGAGAGAGAGAGAGATAGAGAGAGAGAGAGAGAGAGAGCGAGACTTCTCAAAGATTTTTTTTCCATCAGGCTGTGAGAAGTTGCGGAGAGGTGCTGCCCTCTAATGGAGGAGGAGAGGTATAGTCGTTCACTCGTGTGTTTTTTCATCTTTTCCTTAAAAAAAATGAAATAAAAGCACAATGCTTCCATCTGAAAGAATTCTCCCACAGCTTTCAGTCCCATCCTTTCTGGTGTACCGTTCTGGTGTCCGACTGTGATGTAGAAGGAACAAATAGCCACATTGAAAGATTAGACCTGAAGATCCATGTCATAATGTTTCATGATGACATGGCATGACGATTGCAGACGTTATGCTATGAGGCCTGAATGATAATGTGACCGCATACTATTAAAATTCTGATTAGGCCTACTTGTATGTTTGTTGGATTATAACGAAAGACATGTCGCTGAAATACCAGCATCAGAGTCTATTTAATCTTCCTCTCTTTTATCATATTTATTCGAGTTGTTTCAAGTACTATTTGACTAATGAGCGCGAGGCTGTAGGAAATATTTTAAATTGCTCTATTATGAAGCAAAACCTTTTGGGGTTCTTTTATTGTGTTTTTTTTTTTGACATAATAGGATATTACAAACCAGCTAGGGAGTTAGAATTTATACCAATTAATCTTGTAAATCAATCACTGCAGATAGGCTATTTGATTATTTCCCCCCATTTGTAATTCACATCCGCAGCATTTATTGTAGATCCTCTTTAATTCACGTATTGTAAATCAATTATTGTGATATGTTCGTTTATCTCTTCGTGTTGATGAATTTGTCCATGCCTTCTGAGCAGGAAATTACTTTTTTTGAGTGAGACAGTTCTCAGTTTGTCAGTCCTTTGTTACAGTTTCCAAACTCTCCTTGTGACAGCAGAAGAGCCGCACAAGTAAAGATGTTTATCACATGTTGGATTATGTTGAAAACGAGCACAATTGTCTGCATGCTCATCACGCCTTCTTCTGCTTTTCTTTTTTTTTTTTCTTTCTTTTTTTCCAGCGTGCCCGGACATCCAGTCTCACGCGCTCAATCAGAGCGTGTCACCGTGACACAGCTCCATCTCCATCTACTGTATCTAATAATATGGTCAGGAGCTCAGCTGTCACGCGTGGACATTTAAAGTATTAAGGCAACGAAAACATAAATCACAATCTAAATAAACGTTCACAACGCAATTCAGAAATGCATTTAAATTCCTTGTGTAATGTGTTTTCGGATCATGTGGGTAAGTGAAGGACGAAAAGGGCCACAATTTTTAAAGATTAAAGTTTGGAAATACATTTTGGAACTTTTTTAAAAAGAGTTTTAACTTTGTTTGTTTATAGATATTATTATCTGAACTTGGATTGTATTATCAATTGTATAGTAAAACAGCTTTACACTATAAATGTTGTCTTTCATGCACTTAGCAGCGTAATAAGTCGTTATTGTTGGGAGGATAAACGCTCTATTAACATTGAAGCTTGTTTTTAGGGCAGAGGGCAAGGCGCGTGCGCACACTGGCACGTCCAGGCGCATCTCTCGTGGTACCTAAATCCAGGACACTAATAAGGGATGAGATGCGTCTTGTTAAAAAACATCACATGTTTGTGTGCTCATCGGCCCCAGATTAAATTACTGAACATCAGGAGAGACTGGGAGAAGAGCTGCGAGAGCTGGACCAGCAGGGAGAGAAAGCAGACTCTGTCCGAGAACACAAAATAGTTTGGGGTGGTCGACAGGTTTTTTCTTTCTTTTTCTTTTACAATCTACGTTACTTATCTTTCTGAAAAGTGGAAATGGAATCCCTGCGATTTGTTTTTCTCCTATTTTGTGCCTTTTTAGTTTATCAAGCAGATGGACGCAGAAGTAAGTGATGCTACTTAAAATATCTTGTTATGCTTGTTGTATAATTGAAAGGGCTGTTTGGAAATATTAACTGTCACATGTTTTATCATAAATGTTTTCTTGTCTGCTGAAATTGAAATATTTATACCAGAAGTGATATAAACGATTTCATTCTACAAGTCTTGAAGTGAAAACAGTCTTGGTGCATTAGCTATTAAGTTTTAAATGTATTTTGATTTTGTATTTTTCTAGTAGTTTGTGTATCCCTCCTATTGTTGTCAGCTCTCTGTATCAGAGTCCCATGAGCTCAATTAAGGCGTGTGCTCTGACTGACAGTTTGTGCTCACATAGAAAATAATAGAGGATTTTTATATGAATTGCTGGAATATGTATTTACCTTTGAAACGTATTTAATGTACACTAATGTCCTGTTTGGCACACAGAGGAAGTTTTTTTTTTAAAACTTCATATGAATGCAAAAACATGTGGATATTTGATTAATAATGTTGGTTTTAATTAAGCCAGCAGCCAGAAACAAAGGACATAAAACAGAACAAGATACTTAATAAATAAAAGGCGTTATGTTATAGAATTTAATCAATTCCTCAAAAAAAGTTAGCCAAGAGATATTCTTATCAGCGATCAAAATGTATCATCTCCTCCCCCACATACAAAGAATGTTTTTTGAATTGATAGAAAAAAAGAAGTGAAGGCTGTTATGTTTGCAAAAATAAACAGAAAACCTTAAAATGGAAAAGAAGATATTTGCTTTGATGTTTTATTTAAAAAAAAAAAAAGAGTGGTGGGAACAATTACAAGCATTCAATGTGCAGAACTTATTAACAAAACTTGATTTTTCATTGGGGATCATCTGTGAACATTTTTTGTGGGATTTGAGTATTAAAATGTGCTTTCGTCATCTGTTTTCAGCTTATGGTGAAATTTTCCCCCACAAGCATGAATTAGCTAAGAAGCTTCCATTTCCAATTCCACCAATCCCTGGCTGGGATCCGGACACCAACCCATGGGATGATTACCTCTACCCTCCACTCAACCCAAAGCCAAAGGAGCTCATGCACCACAAAGGTTAGTAGAGTCACTGTCACTGTCTGAGTTCTTACTGGGATGCTTAGTTTTATTTCACCTTGAAACTACTGCTTTCCTGCAGGTAAACCCAAGGTTCGTCTGACCAGCGATAGTCCGGCTCTCAACGGCTCGTGCATCTCCTTCACTGCAAAGCTGGAGTATCCTCCGTGCCAGAAGGAGGATGTTAATGGAAACCTTGTTTGGGATGAGCACTGTGAGGATGGTACGGAGCTGGAGGCCTCAGGTGCTGCCAAAAAGCCCGGCCAGGCCATGCACCCCAGACATTTTACACCACTGTCCACCAAAGAAACAACCTTGCACCATATCAGAAAACCATTTTACACAAAACATGAAAGAAAAAAGATATCACAGGTGTTTTGAGATTTTTTTAAAAAAAGTGGTTAAACAAACTAACTTCGAGTTTGGCCCCAATTAACCCAACATTTACATACATTCACATACAGAATTATGCATTATGCATTTTCACCTATTGCCCAGCTGACAAGCAGACATTAAGCATTTATTCTAAATTGTGTGTTTGACTACCTGGTGACTGAGTTTCCTATAGTCACTCAGTTTTACCTCAGTTTTGTTTTCCACCAAACTGTTAATTTGCTGAACGCTCCACTATGCTCTCCATGTAGTAGTACATTGTCTGCTGGAAGCTGTTTGGCTGAAACTTCTGTTTGCTTCTGCAAGGGTCAAGTGTAGTAAACCATCTCCATATTTCTCACATATTTTGACATCATCATGAATTTTGATATGCTTAATAATATACTTTTATCTCTTCTCATCCAAACAGCTAATGGACAGGTGCGTTCTGGCTACGTGTACAACTGGACTTCCTGGATCGATGATTATGGCTTTGGAAAGTGTACAGACTTAAAGAAGTGCAATGTGTTTCCTGATGGGAAGCCATTCCCTCAGAGCAATGACTGGAGTCGCAAGAGCTATGTCTATGTGTGGCACGCGATGGGTGAGAACACACAAATGTACTGCTTTGCTCACACACAGAAAAAGAAGAAAAACCAAAAGTCAGTTTTGATTTTCATTTTCCATATTCACATGACTGGAATTTCTTCTGACTTCAAGCTAAGTGTGGGGAAATCAGAAATCTAATGTTGTTATAATCTAATCCTCTTGTGTTCCAGCATGAAAACCATGTAAACATAGGGAATATAAAAGAGTTGTTGTATCTTCACAAACTTTTATTTGATAGAAAGAATGAAACTGTACAGGATGGTGATTAGCTTAATTTCAAGGTGAAACCAAATTTCAGAACTCATGAGCTGCTGGCAGCTAGGTCACAACAGCTATTATTAGCTAACGATATAATTAGCTAGCACAGGACATATGAAATGGCCATCAGCTAGTAATAACACATTTTGTATTGTATCTTCAAACACCATCAAACAGAAATACGAGCTAAAAGTGGTTGCAGTAACTAAAGGATGTTGTTTCATTTTTATTACGGCCTTATTCCCTTCCAGATTCACTTTTCTCTCCGTTGTCTTTTATTGTTTCGATATTTCGACTTGTGCGATTCCCTTTAATTAAATGATATTCCAGCGTGGAACACAACATTTCAAAGACATTTTAGCATCCCACCATGAGAGGAACATTTGGGTGAAAATGGGTGCCATGTGAATATGGTGAATTGGTCTTCTTTGTGCGTCACAGGCCAGTACTATGAGACATGTGACGGCTCCTCCTCGAGTGTGACCATCAACACCACCACCATCCCTATCGGGGCAGAGGTCATGGAGGTCATGGTCTACAGGAAACGTGAGCGTAGGAAGTACAGCCCCCTCTCCACCGACAACACCGTCTTCTACGTCACAGGTGGAGACAAACAGACCCTTTCAGCTTGTACAGGTTTATATGTCAGCATGTTTCAGCAACCTGCTGAAGGAATTATTTATGCGCCCTCCCTCTCCACACACTCGCTCTCTCTTAGATAAGATCCCAGTGGCGGTCAGCATCTCCCAGAAGGCTGCGGTCAACGAGTCCGACAATGTTTTCTTTCGTGGTGAGGACGTGGTCTTCAAAGTCCAGCTCCATGACCCCAGTGGGTACCTCAAAACCGCTGCCTCCATCGACTACATCTGGGACTTCAGAGATGGCAACCAGGTGGTGACACACCGCGACCTGACCACACACACCTACAGCAGACTGGGGAACATGAGTGTGAAGCTGGTGGTGGAGGCTGCATTCCCTGCAGAGTGTCCTCCACCTGCTGTCACCACAGCTCATAAGAGCACCTCTTCTCCACCTCCCACAGGTACTAGACACATAGATATAGATGCAAACTGTGCAAGGTGTTAGATATCCATAGAGTCTCTAAATGTATGTCTTAAATAAAAGATGGATTTGGATTCTGGATTCAAATGCAATAGCTTTTAATCTGCAATCTGGGGACACTCCACTAGTTGCAAGAATTTGTCAGATTTTTCAGGAGATGAGCCCAAAATGATATTGTCATTTTAAGCTTAGGAAAATAGGACTTTGATTCAACAGTTGCAGCTTTTAAAACCAGAGTTTCCTATTTAAACCTCTGCTGGGGTTTTGATGTCAAGCCCCTTTCCCTTATTAAAAACACACATGGATGAATTGGATGAATTACAAGAGTTATATATATATTTTTTTTAAAAAGAGGAAAAAAAAGTATAAAACAAAGGCTTAGATACCCTGATTTTTAGTCAATCATAGGGGACAAAATGTAAAGTTGCTGGTTCCTGCAATTCCATATGAAACCTGACAGCATAGCCTATTAAAGTTCCCATCCAAAACTTAAGATTCTCACTGCACCACTATTGGCATTGCTTTGAATATCTCCCACCACACCCACAGTAAAACATGATACAGCAGTTTTACGTTGGCAGAGTTTAGTAGACAAAGATCTTGTGATTTGGATGAGCTGACCAAAGAAAGCATTAACCCTGCTAACCTCAGATACAAATCTGGACCTTGGAGAAGAAATATACAGAACAGATCATACATAGAATTGTTTGCCTATAGAAAACGACATGTGTCATATCGTTTTTTTGTGCCTCCCCCTCCAGAGGCTCCAACAGCTCCGCCAGGTACTCATGCTGTCAAGATGGAGACCACACGGGGTGAGTCCAACCACCAATATTGTGTTTGTGTGTATGTGTGGAAGAGAGAAAGTAAGCGAGAGAGACAGAAGAATATCAAGTGCACGTTAAATATTAATAAAGAGTCTAGCAAGAATTTAAAACACAGTTTTTTTTATCAAATACACACTCTTGTCCATTGAGCCTTTCTTTCTTGTTTCAGCACCACCCAGCACCAGTCGGGCCCTCCCCTCCACCTCCTCCTCCCCCTCCACCTCCTCCTCTTCTACAAGTGCCATGCCAACCACAGAGTCCTTACCCCCTTCTGTAGCCAGCTCGACCCCAGAGTACGACCCCACCATGTCCTGGCTCCGCACCAGACGCCTCAACAGCAACGAGTGCTTCCGCTACGTTCACGGCACCTTCATGGGCAACATCACCATTGTTGGTAGGAGGCTCCTGCCATTTTCAGATTCAAATCTTCATCAGCCTTTTCAAACTAGTCTGTGATATTGTCTATCCGGGTCCCGACGTGACAACCACTGGATGGCGCCAAAGTCAGATATTTTTAGTCGTATACTGAGCACTAAGAGACCGTAATGCCTCGTGGTCAGTGAGTCCTCCAGATTGAAATAACACAACAACTTTAGAATAACATTTCTATTTAGTAGTACAGACATTTAAGGTACCAAGAGGATGAATCATACCAACGTACACACAAAAAAAGGTTTGTGTGATATTGTATTATTAATGTTATGCACAGCTAATCATAGGATCATAAGAAAAATCCTACGTTTCTCATACAGGTGAATTAGGCAGTGGCTTTTTAAATTCTGCACTCTTGCTTTCTAACAAAGTTTTTGCATTGTATTTATTTTTGGCTTCTTGCCTTATTAGATAGGACAGCTGAAGAGAAACACAAAACTGAATCAGCAACAAATGTGTCAAGGACTTCTCTACTCGGGATGCCCGAGCTAAACCAGTGCATGAATTCATTTTTAAACTGTCTGTTTGGTTCAATCAAATTGCTACAAACACTGCTCGGTTAATCAAAGGAAACACATCTTGGTGTTGGTTTGTTTCACACATAAATTGAACTCAGGTCTCAAAGGTAAACTCATGCATTGTTTGACCTACCCATCATGTGACTTCTCACATGCTATGCGGCTGGAGCAATTGCACTGAGAGTTTATGATTGATTGGTTCAAACTGGTTCACAATTAGGTGGGTTTGGGTTAGTTCATTAGTTAAGTATGGACAGTGAATGAGAACAGCCTGACCCTAATGACTTTGGCAATCACTGACCCCCTCCTCCACTTCCATCACAAGGTTCAAATTTGTAGATTCAGGTGAAACGTCTCGAAATAAATGGAATGGATTCTCGTGAGGACTTGTACTGAAGTTCATGTCCCCTTCTTCGGGATGATTTATAACAACTGCAGTGATTCATTGACTTTTCATCTTGCACCGTCATGACGTCAACATTACTTTTCCAATGATCTGGTGCAGAACGAATTGCTGCAGTTTGTGTTTATTGTTAATAAGTAAATGTTAGCATGATAACCCCAAGCTAAAATATTAATTATGGTAAGCATTACAACTGCTTGACTTCAGGTGCTTTTACCATAAGAAAAAACTATTTCATTTCTGAACTATTAATGAAAGGACTTAAGAATATTTGCAGGTGGGATTTGAAGAGCATCTTTTTTTCTTTTGCCATATTAGGTCAGGGTTACCTTTCTCTTTTCCCTCTTATTTTGTGATGTATTTTATGTGGGTAATGTTTAAGTTATGTTTGTCTTTTTTTGGTATGTGCTTTATCGGTTTACATATGGATTGTTATATTGTTCTTATCTGTTGAATCTTCTGTGGAGGCTGGTTTATGTGTGCAGCTCTGGACTAGGATAATGTAAAACACCTTCAGGAGTTTTTATTCACATTTTTACATGATTGAACAAATGTAGTTTGATGTCAAAATAATGTTTCTTTATTAGAAATAGTTTTTCACCCTCAAACTCTGGAAGACGCAAACACACACGTTAGTCTCCACTAGAAAGTTTTGAGCTTCATCAGTTGAATTTTGTTGGTATCCATTTATGCATCAAAAACATCTAAAACTGACTTTATTAATTTGCTGTCCGCAGAGCCCAAACACCCCCTGAACAGCCAGCCAAACAGTCGCATCATAGATGTGTCCACCTCGAGACTGACCAACACAGATATCAGCTTCCTGGTCAAATGTCTGGGCAGGTGAGCATGAATAAATATGAACAATATTGTGAGTGAAATTTAAAGGGAATGAGTGTGTTTGACTTTTCCTCTTTGTATAACCAGAAAGGTCACATAAAGGATTCATTTACTTCTGTAGCTCTTAAAAGGAAAATCAATAATAAAATAAATAAAATCAAACAGAGACATGACTGGTTTCCAGTTTAATTGGCATTAAGTAGTTTATCTGTTGGTAAAATGAAATTGTGTTAAAAAAACACAACATTGAAAATTAAATGACAGATTAGAGACTTATTAGATGAACTAGTTAGTGTAATATATTTTTCTTGTTATTTTCTCATTTGCTTAAGAACAAATTGTCCTGCAGAATAATCTGCTTTATCTCTATTTGGCTGTGGCTCAGTTGGAAGGGAGACGGTTGTTTCTCAACCAGAAGGTCGGGAGTTCGATCCCCAGTTCCTGCAGCTACATGGCCGATGTGTCCTTGGGCAAGACACTTAACCCCAAGTTGCTTCCGCAGTTTCGTCAGTGGCCTGTGAATGTGTATGAATGGATGAGTTAATACTGATGGTCACTTTACAAACAGCTTCTACCATCAGTGTGTGAATGTGTATGAATGGATGAGTTAATACTGATGGTCACTTTACAAACAGCCTCTTCCATCAGTTGTGAATGTGTAGGTGTGACCTGCGGTGTAAAAGTGCAACAAGCTGAAGTCCATTAACCATTTATTTAGAGCTAAAGATAAATCCACATGTATATGACGTTTGTTGATATATTTAAAAAAAGGGGAAAAAAAATCGATAAAGAATTGTTTTGATACTTTAATTTAAACCTTCACCTTTCGTGCCTTTTCCTCAGCATCCCCACCTCGGCCTGCACCATCGTGTCAGACCCCAGCTGCACCCGAGTGAGTAACATCATGTGTGATGACGTCCCGCTGTCCAAACAGTGTGAGGTGCGTCTCAGGCGGACATTTCTGGAGCCGGGCACCTACTGTGTCAACATCACGCTGGAGGACTCCAGCAGCTTGGCACTGACCAGCACAACCATCACCATCAACAAGTCCCAGGATGCACCCGGTCGGTTACAAAGGGACACCTGCATATTCATAAATGACTTTTTTTTTAATTATTATTGAGCACTTTTACAAAATTCTGTCTGTCTGATTATGTTTCCTCTGTAGTGTCTAAGAAGTCTCACGCTGCAGAGGTGGTGCTCTCCTCCAGCGCCGTTCTGGCTGCCGTCTTTGCATTTGTCGCCTTCATGGTCTGCAGGTGATGTACAGCTGTTTTTAAGAATTGCAGCATCATCCAGCTCTGTCTTTTCACATATCAAGACCATATCTTGACTATTATACTACTTATTACTTATTATTATACTTATATCTCCCTTATGTTTTTTCCCCCCTCCCAGACGTTACAAGGTGTACCGACCAATTCGGAGGTCACTGGTTGAGGATGCCAGCGGACATGCTGGATTCAAAGGCCGTGCGGTCCGTCTGAGGGAGGCGCTGTTCCCCTCCAGTGAGGAGAGCCATCACTTGCTGACTGAGCGACGCCCAATGTAGGCCTGAAGAAGCTACATCAAAGCATATTTGTCTTACACGGCAAAAATACTGGAGAACAAAATCATGACCGACATATTCAAATTCAGGCTGAAGGTTCAACAATGAAGATCACAGGAACTCATTTATGTCTGTAGAGAAATAAAACGTATTAATACTGTGTTTTTGAGACTTAAATTGTAACAAGAATTAAGTTTGTTTTTCTTTATTGTTGGATAAAATGTGCCTGATTAGTTGTGCACAAGTTGTGATTTATGTGTAATGTCAGTTCCAGGACCTTCTTGATAATACCTTATACTGTAATTGTAATAATCTTTATGGATTTCTCTGATAAAATCTACATTTGTATGCTCTTTATAGGTTGAATTACAAATTGAAACTGTAACACTCTTACACTAATTGAAGGAATTCAATGGAGACTCGACACGAGGATTTTAATAAAGATTGTGAACTAACTGCTCATCTTTTCAACACATCTGTCTCCATGTTCTAATAATATGAACTTTTTAAACAGTGTTTTGATACAATTACAAAGGACATTAAGATTCTCTACATATGTAACGGTGACACTGGGATCTTTTTACAACCTAAACTGATGACCCCAGTATGAGCACCCTTATTAGCCCAACACATTCAATATAGCTGTGTGCCAAATCCATTTAGGTCAACGTCAGACCTCTACTCCACCATATCTCAGAGACAAATAGTGTAATGTTTAACTCCACTATAGGACTTAAGCTTAAACTAAAATCTTTTTTTTTTTAAGATTATGCTGAATTAATTTCCTGCTTGACAAAGACAAACATTTGCCTTTAGATCAGAGGATTTTTAATAGTCTGGCAAACAGGACAATTGAAACTTTTGAGAAACGGAAACAATTTACCATAATTTCTTGAAGGGAAATGTTCTCTTTATGAAGTAACGTTCAAGGGGTGGAATTCCTGTGACATTAACTAAATATCTAGTGTGACAGTCCTTTTGTCAGGCTATGTTTGTTCTTTAAATGGCTTTGTTATTGCTTCTATATCCTCAGAACACAGTTAGGACATGACTGCCTGTGTTGGTGTGCAACTATAAAACATAAACCCAAACACAGCAGCAACTCTAAGACCAGAAAAAGGACAAGTGCAACCAAACTTGATTATTTTTATTTTATTCAGAGGCATTTGACAAGTGGAGCTGTGTGTGAAGGGGAGGTGATGGGGCACAAGCATGGTTGCAGAGAGGGGGAGGAGGGAATATCATGCTGAAGTCAGATAACTTTTCCAAAAAAAAACTCAGAGACCCAGTCCCTCAAATCTGTCTCATACCAGGAGGATGTTTCACGTTACACAGCCAAGAAATGCTAACAGAAGAAACGAGCTACTAAATCAGCGAGTGAGTGTAGCATCAGTGAAAGAGAGAGAAAGGGAAAAAAAAGACAGGACTTAATACCTATTTTGAAGTCTTACAAATCAGAAACAAAAAAAAAAGCCAGGCCCTGTTTTAAGAAAAAGTATTTTTCTCATTTAACTACTGAATGCAAAAATCAAACATGTGATTTGACCTTTTTTTTCCACACAAAAAAAAAAAAAAAAACCAAGCAAAAGTTCAAATACATGTAAGCCACACCACCAAAAAATTAGAAAGCAGAAAAAGAGAAAAATCGTTTGAGGATTTCAATTAAGCCAAAAGGAGTATATATAAACACTGGCAAAAATTACATTTTTGATCAATTTTTCTCTCAAGTCTAAATAGTACATAATTTTAGTGTCATTTTTTTTTTTTATTCATTTCTGGGGAAGCATGGGGAGTCATAAAGGAGGGGCGGGGGGCTAAATTCTAACAAATAGAAGAATGCCTCTACTTCAAATACATTTCTAAAGAGGTAGATCAAAACAAACTGCAGAGGAGGAGAGAAGGGCAGGTGGAGGGATGGCGGGAGGGAGGGAGGGAGGGGGGGGGATTGGCAGGAAGGAGGCAGGGGAGCAGGAGGTGTTGGGGAGAATTTAAGTATCACTTGTGCCCCTCAGTTAAGCGCGGTCTTCGGATGGCGCGCCCATGTAGAAAGAAGTGTTCAGGGAGGACTGAGGTATCAGTGCGCGCTGGCGCTCAGTGGGGGCAGGGTGGGGTGCCTAGTGCCACAACAACCCCTCACCCCCTCAGCTGAGGTAGACGGCGTTCTACTGTGGAAGCATGGATACACTCAAGCACTTTTACCACAATCAACATATTTACATTCGGCATGAAGAGACAATGAAATAAATTGTATATTTGTAAGTTTTGGATTCTTTTCCTCCTTTCTTAGCCCTGGAGAGAGGTTCATTCAGGGTTTTAGGGGGCCTTTTCTGGCTCGTTATCCCCGTTTGAAATTAAAATTGCATTTGTGGGTTTCAGAGAATGTTTAAATCATTTGTTTCTTCTATAGCGCAAAAAAAACCAAAAAAACCTTGCGTCTATCAGTGTGCCTCCCCCTACCCTCACCATGCAGTGAAAGACGTTTACATTGACTCTGACGGCCACTTCAAGCTGACGTAGCTTGCTCAATGAAAATAAACCTAGTCAGGCCTGGACCTTGATAGAAACCATCGTGAAGAAGGTAACAGATGATCTGGGAACAAATAGACAAAAAACAGATGCTCTGCAGGACTGTTACAGTCCCCACTGCCCTGACCACAGCCCTCGCAGGAAGTCATTAAGTATTTATTTCTGACAAATTAAAGTACCATTACCTAGAACAATGTCAATCCCAAAACTAAATGGCATTGCTGCAATTATGTACGGTTGGCAATATTTGCATGTCTTGGTTGCTTTGTAGTTTTTTTTTTTTATATTCAGAAGATGGTGGACCTCAGGGGAAAAACTGAGGCGATTTTCTCTAGATACTCCTGTCAGCCGCCAGCTGAGGGGGCGCCAACTCGTGCTTTCGGAGGCTGCTATGTACAAATAGACTCTATGTACAGGGTCATCTCAAGTCACACATACACATCAACATCGCCGCCTAAAGCACCAGAGTTGAAGGCAAGGTCAGTTGGCAGCTGACCAAATTTTAAATTTTCTTAAAAAAATAAAAATGTTCAAAGACTATCAGCTTTATAAAGTATACAAAATACCACAAAAGCAAAATAAAAAAAGAAAGGAACATTTTTTTCATATATATATATAATCATTTTCTTTTCTCTTCTGAGGTACTAGATCCTGAGGTAGTTAAGTAAAATGCATATTAAATTGGTTTTCCTGGGCAGCAGCAGTTCGGCACCATTTCCCCAAGTGTCAGTCATAGCGCTGCCCTCACCTCTAAATATATATTCATCTATGTATATAGGTCTATCTATAAAATGCATCCAAATTTATAAAATGCCATTATCATTACAAGGGCAGGACGCCCAATATAATCCACCCTTTCAGGTGTCCTGTCCTGAAACAAGAATCTTTCCCCTAAACATGGCCCACCCAATCTGAGCCAACCCGCCCCACAAAATAAACCTCTCTGTTGGTCCAACTAGGACCTTGATAGCAATGCCTTTCCTTTCCACAGAAAAAAACAACTCATGAGAAAGCTTCATCAACCAATTAAACACTAAAAAAAGAGTTTCAACTAAATCTGAAGTCAACCAAAACATCTTGTCAGGTTTGAAGTACCACACCGGGGAGGTGATAGGAGGGGGGGGGGGGGGGGGATCCTTATTTCTTCTGTTTGTAGTGTCAAAAGAGGACAAAAATTAATTGAACACACCCGTGGTGGAGGGGAGAGGAGAGCGGTCGAGGGGTGTGTATGTGTGAGGGCGGGTGACGTTGTTGGGAGCCCTCAGAAGTACATTCTCACAGAGATGCAGAGAGGTGAGGTGGGGCGGAGGGCTTAGAGGCCTAGGGTCTCTTATCAGCCCCACTTGAAAGTTCTTCATATACGACAAAGAGGGGCGGGTGTTTGGTTGGGTTTCCGATAACCTTTGACCCCTGAGATGAGCGCTACACAACCCCTTGTCGTCTTCTCGTTCTCCCCCCTTGGACTCCGCTGCATCTGTCCAATCTGTCGAGGCTTCTGGCAGATTCGGTCACCGTTCCTCCAGGTCCGCTGGATCCTTACTTCCTGCGGGGGATTGGAGTTTGGGCTCCAGATGAAGGCTTGGGCTGCTGCTGCCTTCTCACCTGAGCCAGGATCTCCTGAATCTTCCTCTGGGCCAACTGGAAGACAGGACAAACACAAATTCGTCAGATTAAGGAGTCATTTACCCAGTAAGAGCTGGTTGTAGATTTCACTTAAATACATGGCTGCAATACACATTTGTGATTGGTCAATTACAACACTTAAGGTATGCTATATATACACACCTCACAAAAAAAATTAAGGGACACCTAATCTTCATGGTAAAGAAAGTCAATTAAACATCAGGGATATCAGTATGTCCTTTAAGGAAGCACAGGGGATTGTGAATCAATCTTATTTGTGTTGGTACAAAGGACAGTGACAACAGGTGCAATGGTTCGGCAAATGCAAGACTACCCCCTAACAAACGATGGTCTTGCAGGTCTTGCATGTGGTGGCCATGTTACTTTCCTCATCCTTCCGACACAATTATTCTCCAGTTTTGTGTTCCGATAGTGTCCTTGTCCCTACTGGTAGCTTGAGGCAGAACATGCCACCCATTCAGACGACACAGGAAGTTTCCAGCTCCTCCAGAATGGCAAATCTACACATGCGGTGGCAAGGCCGTGTCGCCCCGCATACTCAAGAGAATACCAGGAGACCGGGCAGATACACAAGGAGAGCTGGACAGTGTCGTAGGTTGGCATCAACTCAGCAGGAGGTGGGTATCTACTCCTTTAGCGGTGTTCCTCCTCACACAGAGCTTCAGAAAATGTCAGTGTGCCCACACCCTCTTAGTGGGACCTGTGCTCCTGCTGCTCGAGTAGCATTCACCAGAGAACTCCAGAATTGTCAGGTCTGACATTGTCACCCCGTTCTCTTCACAGGTGAGCGCAGGTTCACACTGAGCAGACGCGAGAGAAGGAAAAGAGTCTGGAGAAGATGCTATGCTGCCTTGGAAGGTATATCCTTGAAGGGTCGCACAAAACTTCTTCCCTGACTGCTGTTGGGTACTGAAATCCTTAGATTGATTGCCTGATCATACATTCCTCCCGCTGCAGGACAATGCCCAGCCTCATGTGGCAAGAGAGCGTGTAGGCAGTTCCTGGATGACGAAGACATTGACGCCATTGACTGGCCCTCACCTTCCCAGGATCTAAATCAAATTGAACACCTATGGGATGCCATGTATCGGTGAATCCGACATCGCCAAGTACTGCAAAACTTTCCAGAAGCTAACAGATGCCTGTAGCAGGTCTGGGAGGAGATCCCCACCCCCCAGGACACCATCCGCCGACTCATCAGGAGCATGCCCAGACATTGTTGGGAGTGCAAACAGGCACACAGGGGCCATAAACACCACAGAGTCACATATGAGTTGATGTGATAGAATTCATCCAAGTTGAATCAGCCTGTGAGTTGGATCCAGTCCTCAGTGGGTTGATGATTTTGGTTTCCTTTGAATGTCATCAGTAGAGTTTATCAACTTGAAACATTTGTTCATCAAGATCTGATGTGCGGTTGAAGTGTTCTTTTAATTTTTTTTTGAGCAGTGTAGAACATAGCTAGCTAGGGACATGGCTCTAATCACAGATTTAGAAGGAACTGTATTCAATCTACAGAAAGAAGAAGGAGGAGTTGAAGCCAACAGAGAGAAGGCAAGAGAAGTGAAGTGAACAAACATTTTGCATTGTGCTGGTGTCTTAAGGGTTAAATAGAAATCAGTCCTGGGTCAATCCAAGAACTTTACAAGCCCCCTTTTTTTTTTCAAACCCACCTGGCATGCAAAGAAGTGTCCACTGATCTTTACTATAACTTGGTCGTTCTCATCGGGCGTCTGGTCTCTGGGCACCACCACTTCTGCACAAGTCAGGTTCTGAAGCTCATTTACCTGCAGAAACAAAAGATCATTTAAACCTGTGGGTTTTTTTTTTTTTTCTTTGAAAAAAAACTTGTTTTGCCCAAGTCAAGCATTGCAAAAATTCTGGCTTGGGTCAACTTGTGCAGTGATTAATTAATCCATGTCCTCGTTTACCGTTTTTCCTCCTTTCCCGATGACTCGTCCAGCAGCGAAGGAGGGAACCTTGATGTGCGCCTCCAGCTTCACCTCCTCCTTGGGTCCAAAGAAATTCTCCTCTTTCAGCTTGCCAAAGAGGCGACACTGAGCCTGTAGCCGGACAAGTACAGATTACTCATGATGCAGAGAAGAAATGAGACAGATTTTCCAGAGAAGAAGCAAACACATTACTGGAGCGGCTCTAAAAAAGAGTCACACACCCTTATAAAAACCATAAATAAAAAAGGAAAATCAGACCGCAAAGGGAATACAAGAGCTACAATCATATTTTACTATGTGGCTCTTTTTTATTTCTACCAGTAGAGTCTTTATATGGCTGTGATGAGGTACAACACCTTAAACTGAGCCTCTGGTGGACCCACGATGATAACCATCCTCTGTTTGGGATCCAGTCCTTCTGCAGGGGCAATCTGAAGGAAGGCAGACATCAAGCATTAAAAACAAACCGCTCAGTCAAACTTAAAGCAGGTGGACAGCTGGGAAAATGTTATCGTTGAGATGCAGAACTTCGCCTCCTGTCCATCACTCACTTTGATTGAGGCTCCGGCAAAGTGTGATAGCTGTTTGATGTGTTGACCCTGTTTTCCGATGATGGCTCCTACCGCGAGGGCCGGGATGAAAAGGTGAACCGTCTCCGACTCCGGTTGTCCCTGCTGAGCAAAAAAAATAAATCAATAAATGTAAGAACTATTGTGACCAGGCTCCAATTCACACCACCACTGGGGAAAATGCAGACGGTGGTTCTAGCTAAAGTTGTTCTAATCTCTCAGCTACGTTAGAGCTCATGCCCCTCACTTTAAAATCAGCTGGTTAGAAGACACACCTGCTCAGCAGAAACACAAACACTTGTTTTTAAGAGAGTGTGATTGACTTGAGCTCAGTCAGGGAAGGCTGTCGCATAGTTAAAGAGGACCAACAAGTAGCACTGTTGATTTTGGATGGAGCCCAATAATCCAATCAATGAGTCACCTGAGGGCACACTAACATCTTGCTTTGGCAGCCTCTGAATCTCAAGACAGCCTTTCAGCACTGAGGATGTATTACTCGCCGTTAGAGAAACATTTACCTCGGACAAAAAATACTAACGCGACATGTTTGACACAAGCGTCACTGAAATATCTAGTGAAGCTGATGTATGCTGAGGGTCTTTTTGTCTTCCCATGCACCAGATTCAGAACCGCACACAGATTAGGGCCTCCAAAAAAGGTCACAGACTGAGGGGCAGCTGGAGAACAACTTTTATGTAGCAGACCCTGCCCCCTAATCCCGCAGCGAGCAGCCACAAGCCGTGCAAAGCACTTCGGGACGGGTGACTTACAGCGAGGGGCTGGCTGCTCGCCGACAGCATAGAAGCCCAAAATGGCCCCTCGCCCCCATAAGGACTGCACTAAAGGAAAAAGGAAACGTCAAACTGAGATGCTAAAGATCGGCTTTTCTTTTGTAGCCTGACCCAGGAGTTGCAGAACGAAGGTTAAATACAAAAAATACATCCGGTTCTGGGTTTTTATTGGTAATCTCTGGGGTGCACCACTGAGCTGTAAATGATAATGAGGCCGCCACTTACTCCAAATGACGGGCATCCACCGTGGGCTCCAGGAGGTGGGACGCTGGGCATTGATGGACCCATGCCTGGTCCTCCACCAGGAAACAAACCTAGAGCGTTCAGATTCAAGCCGGGGATCAGGTTGGACTGGAGCTGCACAGAAAGGAGAACATTTCTATTAACACAATACACAAGGCCTCTTGAATCGAAAGCCAGCCTGTTGTGATTCTTCTGTGCCCTACAAGACACGGCCTACATCTGCAATAGGATAAATATTATTGAGACTATGAACATGCAATGTTTCTCACACAGACTTCATCCAGATTGCAAACCAAAGGCATATATTTGGCGACCAATTTGAGCATCTAATTTTTCAATATTTATTTTGCAAGCTGCAACAAGCAACAATTCAAGACATTTATAGTTGATGTAAAATGTAATTGGTTTCTTTCATTGTACTTGAAATTGAATTATTCTGCAAATATAGCAGCTACCTGTAGCCAAGTATTCTTTGTAACCTGCAAACCCCCATCAACATATCTGAAACACACTTGAGGTTAAAGTAGAAAGGCCCTGCAGTACATACTACTACAAGATGTGGACTCGCTCTCTATCACCTTTATATTTAAAACAAAACAAGTCTCGGGGCACCGGTTGACCTAGCGGTTAAGTCCCGCCCCATGTAGGCTATAGTCCTCCCAGTGGGCAGGCCAGGTTCAAGTCTGATCTGTGGCCCCCTACCCACATTCCCCACTGTCTCATCCAGATATCCTACTCTCTCTACTGTCCTGTCAAACTGAATTCTCACAAGTCTGGACTTGTAGTTAGACTTCTTTAATAAATCAAGCAGAAATCAGGCAGAAATCAGCCTTATTTAATCAAGCATGCTTTTAAAATCTTAGGCAGTCCAAATTGTTTAAAACGTGAACATCTCTTACCAGGTTAAACACACTCTGTATAATATGTGTTTATAACATGTATAACAAAGAATTCTTATCCTTTCTATTTTAAGATGCTACTGAGACGTATTCCAACATTTACTCAAGTAACACAGAAGTTTTGATCATTCTGCAACGGGTCAACTTTCCACAAAGAAAATGAATCTTTCTTCAAACTAAAGGCGCAAACAATAGGGAAAACAAGTTTTCTCAATTTCTATGCGTGTATATCAATTCAGGATAGGAAAGTGCTGATATGACAGATGAGGTCGCAGATTCCTGTTTTTGCATATCAACATTATCTGATTCATGTTTTAATCTACACTGATGTTATTTAGACAGTTTGCTTAACAGAATATTACCAACTTTTTAGTTAGTCAATTAATGAAAAGTAGGGCTGTAACAGATCACGTCTCACGGTTTGGATCAGATTACAGATTTTATCAATTCTCAGATTGTCAAACAGTCAACCATGAAAACTGTGCATTTTCAAGCACAACAAACCACAGTGGCAATCAACTTCCTTCACTATAAAAAATCCAATGATTCCAACAAGCAGTCGGGTAAACCTGAACGCCCTCTTTCTATAGACAATAATTCATTAGTGTTACATTATGGAATGTGTGGCTACGACTAAATTGACAGCTACAGACTACAGCAGGCTGAGAGATACTGATTTCTGTGACACACAACCAGCAGATACTTGCATGATAAACACAGACAGGCATGTCACGGCACAGCACCAAAAAACATCAACACATTTCTTTTGTGTGAGACAGTTTGTGAAAAACTTGCATAACCATATTTAAAAAACTGGACCGTCTTCATATTTGTACTGAGAATCTACATGGTGCCTGTAAGCACTATTCAAACACTACTTCCTCTCACTGATACTGCACGGGGATGCATTTGCAATACATTTAAGAGAAGATCTGAACTGTGTGGGGTGATCCCTAGCACAACACCATCATGCAACAGAATGATTTTCTTTGTTTGAGCAAAGGCCGAGTGTCCTTACGTTCATAGCAGCCATGTCACTATCATACGATTCCCTGATCTTCTTCATCACCTCCTCCTCGGCTCTTGAGCACGCCTCGATGGAGCCCTTCAATGTGATGGTCCGCTCAGGGTTGTACAGAGTCAAGTCCTGCAGACTAGACAAAAAAGAAAAACACAAGAACAGTTGTCAGATCATAAATTCTGATACCAGAGTAAATACTACAACATTAAATATTCATTGTGTAGCAGGCGTCACTTTTACAAATATGCTGCAGGAGCTACAAACAGTCAATATAAACGAGCCTTCAGTGAACGTAAAACAGTCTTACGGTGAAATTGTGATCTTGCATCCCGTATCCAGCTCGATTTTCTTCAGGTTGCGTCCTTCCTTCCCAATTAATCTTCCGACGAAGTTGTTGTGTGCAAGTATCTTCAGTGGGATCTCCTCAGTACTGAGCCAAACAGAACTGAGGGTTAGCTACATTTTCCTTCATTCAGACAAGACCTCCCCTTCCAATGTTTAGCGTCTTATGTTTCACAGGCCTGACAACAGAGTCATTGGCTTTAATCTTACACAATAATCTTCACCCATGTATTGGGCCACAAACTCACAACTTTGTGTCGACGGCCTCCTTCTGCATGATCTCCATGATGGTCGTACAAGCGCTCGAACAGCCTTCAGGGGTCGAGTGAATCGTGATGGGCTTCTCTGCTGCGCCAGCGTTCTCTTTCCTATGGATGTCGATCCTGGAGAAAAAGTTTAAAGCAGATTATGGCACCTTTCAACTACAATACAATTCAAAGTGCTTTTATAAAATGATTGCAAAAGTTATGTATATATGTAATGTATCTTTGCCCCAAATCTTCTGTTGAGAGCCCCGTTTTAAAAGAACGGACAGTTTGAGCAGACGTCTGTTTTTTTTTGAGGGTTTAGTCCAGGTAAGTGGTGCAGATATACTGACCGGTTTTTATATTTCTTCATTTTTGACTCTAAAGACAAGTCGTTGATCTGGACCGGTGTGTAGTTCCCAACAACAACAAAAAAGCAGGAAGTGGGGTTGGGTCAGGGTTTTAGTAGGAGACACAGTACACTGAACAAGAGTAACTCACAACACAGCGTCCCTATATACAGTAGGATGGGGCCGATTTTCTAATTTTGGCGTCCAAAATCTGGACTTCTGTGATGTCGAAGTTGGTTAAAGTCTTCTTTATGAAGACACGCAGAAACAAAGTGCTAATCCAAGCTGAATCACAATTAACACAACATCGTTTGCTGTGCCATTAGCTGTCGGCTAACTGTAAACATGGACAGCTAACATTGCTATAAAGAGTTTTAGGGCCAATGAGATGTTGCCAACTTGAAAGTCATTTCAATAAATTTACAAAAGAGGGGCTCAATATACATCTACACATAGTCCATTAACAAGTGCGCTGGACTGTTTTTTTTCCTCCAAGCCTGGCCTACTAACTGCAGAGATTCAGTTAAAATACACTGGATACAAGGAAGATAATTTACTATGGCACAAATTCCTCCAAGGTGTTATGGTGACAGGATCAAACTGTATCATGCTCATTGGTTTTAAGTGGATACAGACCATATATATAAGATCTGAGCTCTTGTTGAATTTGATGAATTCTGTCTGAAGACAACAAATACACTCGAGTGAATAACAGTTACTGATCACTGACATAAGAGCTTTCGAAGTTTAATTTTTATATACAAGACATCATCATTGTGTTCGACAACTGTCAGACAGTGACTGGTTAGCACTTATTTCTAAATGATTATTATCATACACAAATACAATAAAATCTCAGGATGTCATATCAGATTTTTTTTTATAGCAGTGTTATGCTTTTCAATTTCAACAAGCAAAGCAACTTTTATGCTGCCATTTGCTTACCAAAGACTTTCCTTCATTAGTAGGAGGTAAGAAATAAGACGGACTTACACTAGGTAAAGTTGCCCCATACTGTGCCGAAGCACAATGGTCCCCCCTCCCCAGTCTCCCGCTGGCCTGCACTGATGTAGCCTGAGTACTGTTACCTCTTGAGCATAATTCATCACCATGCGTGTCATGCTGCTGGAGCGCACCGTACGGCGCTCTGGGACAATTTTTTCTCCAAGTGAGGAAATAGAATATTTGCAGTTTACATAATCCAGTAAAAATTCATGTCCACTTTTTTGAGTGCTTCAAGATCCGACCATCAATAAAGTGCATGTTATGCAAGAGAGACCATGAAAACAAACTCAATGCTCAGTTACAATTTTGACAGTTGGCTAGACTGATTCATGACGTCCACTGTTGCACTGAGCAACATGAAAGAAAGCACTCCACCGTAACACTCCCAGCAGCAGTCAAATAGCAGACATAGACTTTATGATAGCGACACAGTGACTTTTCTCTAGTCTAATGGAGAACTCGACTGCAACATTGTTGAATTTATGGGTTAATTTGAGTCATTTTTGTCATATGGAACTCTTACACTCCTGGATTATGCAAGGTGTTGATAGATTAAACATCATCCCTACATGGCTTTCCTGTACTTGTGCATGAGTAACCAAACCGTGCTGAGGCACACCATTTCCATCCGTGCGTGGGCCAAAGACGTGTACTGCGCTTGAGCAGGGTATTGAGCACTCACTAGTTAAACAAACTGGCCTTTGGGGGTTTAACATGCTTGGGCACAGTGAGGATTTCCTAGTGTTAGTGTGCACTAAATAAACAGTACAGAAAAATTCAAGGACATAGCACACTGGCAATGTTCAACATAAATCCTGACCTCTGCTTACGTACTTTGAGTGGGTCTGTTTGGTGATGTTGCGGATTGTGGCGCCCTCCTTGCCGATGATTGCCCCCACAAACTGCGTGGGAACAAGCATGCGCAGCGGGATGTCTGACTGCACTTTGGGCCGGGCTCCCAGACCTGGAGAACCAGAACGAGGGGGTCCACGAGCGTTAAAGCCTCTCCTGCCTCCTGCTGAAGGACCTTCTTGGACAGCGGTCTCATCTGGGATATAAGATACTTTCAAGGCATAGTTCTCCATCATAGATCCATTAAGCTTCTCCATCGACCTAGAGAGTAAAGAGGACATATTTTTTAAACTCCTGATCACTCCCCAAGGGGTATGATTAAATGTAGAATGGCTTTAAGGAAAAGGATTTCAGCTTCATGTCCAATCTCCTTATAAGTGGGAGTATCCAATGTGAATGAACATTTAAACAAATTAAAAAGGGAATGGTTCAAGTTTACACAGGTTATGCCCATCACGATGGCCAAAAGAGCGCTTATGCACTCAGCAGCAGAAAGGCATCATCCAATGATCACTTCTCATGGGCTAGAAAAAATTCACTCCAACCTCAAGGGGCATTCAGACTTGAAACACGTATGCCATGTCAGCTTTGAGGATTTAGATTTGCACTGAAACTATCAAATATGCCTGGGGACTACTACAAACACTCGTGCAGAGAGCAACTTTGTAGTAAGATTCATCTACACCAGGGGGCACCAGATGGCTAATTTAACCCCCTCCCTGTCCAATAAAAAAAAAAAAAAGAAAAGGCACACACCCACAGTTCCCCCCTCCTCCCCATCATCATTGCATGTCAAAACAAACTGGACTGGTTTTTGGATGGAGGAAATCAGGTGCAGTTTAAGAACACTGGACAGAGGAAGGTGGTGCCAATTCCAGCAGAAGATGCTGGTTAAAAAAAAAAAACTTCTGCAGATCCATGTCCAAGACAGCCAGAGAGATGAGCACGAGTTTATGGCGTGAATTCACTGCATATGTGTGTGTGTGTGTGTGTGTGTGTGTGTGTGTGTGTACTCACAGCCTGGCCTGGTCCTTGGCTGCATATCGAACATTGACTACTGCAGTCTCTGTGTCAGTGTTTACTGCGGGAGATCACACAGCAAAGTCAATTTACACACAATCAGTGAGGGACACATTTTACGACCATGGACTACTTTTGTATGGCTAAACAATTGAAATGATCTGCATTATTCATTTTCTTTAAATAATCTAAATTAAACAATTTAAATAAATAAAAATAATAATTAAAAAAAAAAAAAAAAAAAAAAAGTATAACAGCAAGGTGGTGGAATTCTATTAAAAGCAAAATTGTGACACTCGAGAAGGTTTATTTACCTTGTTCACAGCTCTCTACTGTCCCATACTGAGCAAGCATACCATCCAAAACCTTTGAGACAAGAGAAAGAAAAGCCATGATTATGGGACACTTTGACTAGAACCTGTTAAGAGCTCATCTGTGGGAACTAGCTCCTGCGCCCTGCCAGGACACAGTCCATTAATTCTGAACCCCAGAGTTCAGTTTTGAGATACATTTGCTGCCTTCTTGTAAAACACTTTCTACCTCAAATTATGACTTTGTGCTATGGGAACCTACAGGGAGTTCTGAGGGCCGAGACAGTTATTTAAAAGTCTATTTTTAAAAGCGTTTGTGTATTCCTGGTAAGAACATACTTCCAAAATATAAAATGTGTTTAAGAAAACAACCCCTCAGTCTTTGCTTTGTATTGTTGTAGTGATTTGAAACACAGTGCAAAAGATTGTTAAATTAAATAACTCAAATGTGCAGCATGTTGAATTATATAGCCTATTAAATGGCGAGGACCAAAGAAGTGGGATTTAATGGAAAATGAATGCAAAAATTCCCAAAATGCTGGACAATTGCCCAAATCTGGAGACAGTTTTTCACATGATTTCAATTTATAGATGTGATCAAATGTAGGCGAGAGGGGGAGCGAGGGTTCTAAGCTAAGCTAAGACATCCGACCATGCTCAGTCCCAACGCAAGGCCACACCCCCAAGAGCTCAAGCCCACTTTCTGGCCAACAAGACTGCGTCCCTGCCCCCCCCCCCCCCAACTCAACCAACCCACCAACCAAGCAACGTCCCGCCTCCCTGCCATCTCCTCTCCAATCATTGGCTGCTTCAGCACAGCTCTGACTTTCCTCAGGCCAAGAGTGGCCGGCTGCTTGCTGGATTTTCTGTCTGTCCGTCTACCAAGCCTGGCCAATGGGAATCCAGGCCATTCAGGAAAGGGTGGGGTACATTCCAGCAGGAAGCAGGGGCTGGGGGAGGGGTGCAAGCTCATGCTACACATTCTGTGAATCGGCGCACATGGAGGGGAAGGGGAAACCGTCCAGGCCCACCCACCCACTACGGCTTGTGAACACGGCACTACTCTCGCCACTATTCTCTCGCTGCAGGGCTTCACACACACACACACACACACACACACACTCTGACCCATTGTCTTATCTACCTGATAAGATACATACAAGGCCTTTGCATCAATAGAGCCTTTTTCTATTCTATTCCTCAATTCTTCCAAGCCCTCGCCCTCCTTAGGGGCAGAAACCTCCATGTCACCTTTTGAAAAGGCAAACAGCTTGCTCGCTACATACTACGATCATGGGTGGATGTGGAGCTGCAGTTGAGGGACATGCGTAGGCAAAGCGAGCCCACCATTACAGAACACTGAGCCCGTCTGAAGCCATTTGGTCACAACAAGTGAGTTTTTAGGCTGAAAGCGTTGTATTTAACTCAGAATTCGTGACAATACTGTACACAATAGTTTTTAACTCAGGAGGAAAATTCCCATTAGGCTTCAATGCTCATTAAGGGAAAGAAAATAAACAGTAACCCTACAAGCACATGCTACCAAGCTAAACCTCTGCAGAGGAGGGAAAAAAAAAAAAAAAAAAAAAGTCACGGAAAGCTGTGTTAGTGACACGTAAGATCTCACATGGAGGTTAACAATAGGATCTAAAGTTTGACACAAATCATTTCTGAAAAAAAATATTCTGTGAATTTTGTAAGCGCGCATATACATTCCCATGAAACTAGCAGATGAGAAAATCAGAGGAGAGTGTGAGGCTGAATACAAAAGAGTTTTGAATTAAACTCTTATCACACAGAAAAAAAAAAGACACGCAAAGCACACACACACACACACACACACACACTACTGTTGCTCAACACTCATTTCTCCCTAATCAGGCAGTGGCCTTGAAATCTGACCATGTAACAGCTTCACAGTTCTTTAAAAATGTTCATTTTTTACATGACATTTTTTTTGCCCTTTAATCCTTCATGAAAAAACAACAACAAGTGGACAGAATGTGACCTTGAGCGTCAGTTTCACTGCTTCGACTTAAATCCCCAGTGGAAAACCTCGACCATCCAATGAACTCAAGTGAGTTGCATTTATCTAGCACAGACAGTGTACATGATCAATTCCAACGTGGCTTTCTGAAGAATTTGTCACAGAAAATGTGGAGGATTGTTTCTCCCCCCCCCAACAAAAACACAAAAAGGTTCTCTTCCATGATAAATCCAAAAAGTGAAATTATTCATGCAGTTTAAAATTAAACGTTTGAATAAAGTGTGTATGCATCGTTTGAGACTTATTAACAGGGAGTTTTTAATTTCAGTTATTTTTGCCATCATACACATACCATAAGCTGTCTTCCAAAAAAAAAAGATAGGTAAACTTTTATTGAAAGTGTCAGAATTTTAACTATTTCATCTTCAAATATTGAGCTATTTTGCATGGCAAGTGATTGATAACATAAAATTGCTTCAATTAGGACCGGGTAATTAATCCTTATTTTATTGTTTTCACAACATGAGCATTTGCAACAGACAAAATGGCAAAGTACATTTTATCGCAGGGGAAAAACTAACTTTTAATGAAGTCTAGTGTACATGTGTGAAGGCATGTGTACATTTGACTAGTTCATAGTGGTCTGTGTTTAGTGGCTATGCTTTCACACCATTTTGATGCAGTCAGATGACGCTAACGCTAACCATCAGCTACTCTCTGATTAACTCGTGCTAATTTAGTGGAGAAAGAAAAACTGTTTTTTTATTTTATATTTTGGCTTTAGAAGGAACAGTTTGCAAACTCAGGTGTTCTGTAAAACATGAACAGCAGACAGACTGAAAGTAAGACTGAGTTAAAGCTAATATTCACTCTATATGTTTCTGTGTTTATTGCATTCATATTGTTATCGCAATAACGCACAATATTATTTCACATTGCATATATTCCTTCATATTGTGCAGGCCTAGCTGCAATTTTATTTTGGAATACACACACACTGACACATGTGCACCACTGATCAGTAACAAAATAAATGTCATTTTTAGATATATTTTACAAAAGCAACAAAAAAACTACAGCAACACTGTACTACTAAATCTGCTAATTAAGAAAACTGAATGTGGCTTCATAAATTAGATTTGAAAGGCTGAGGAGCCACACTAAACCTCTGGTCTAATAAATGTTTTCACAATTCAGTAGCAAAACCCTTAACTGTGTTTTTTTATTTTTATTTAAATATGACTTTCTAGCAAGAAAACACACAGATCCCTACAAGCTGCATGAAGACCTAATAATACCATGTTGAAAGACACCCTGACCCTTTCCATGAATCAAATCATGTGTAGATTCAATTCAAATCATCATCAAGGTTTGTTTTGAATGCTTTAAAAACAAGACTTACTGTAGCCAACACAGGAAGCTACCCAAGTCTCCAAAGACCATGTGACTGCTTATCACCTTTCTTGTCTATCTCCCCAATTCCTCAGATGTCCACCTATCCTGGATCCGCTGTGCCACAACATTTTTAAATGAAACCCTACATTGTTCATTATCAAATTTCCAACTTGTTTTTGTAATCAGCTCGGGTCTACCAATCACAGTTCCACCCACTGGTGGGTGTGGTACACCTGCCTGCAGCCTTGTTCAAAATACATCCACAACTTTTGCTCAACTGAATCCCAAAAAGGAGGAAAGGTGACTCCAGTGGCCACTAAAGGAGAGCCCGATTGGGCTGCCCGATGGGTGCCCCACCCTGGAAGCAGTCAAAGGCCTGTCAGCACTCACCTCCCACTGCATGTGAGGCGGGATGTTCCTGATCTGCAGCTTACAGCTCCTGGAGGGAGAACAAGCGAGGAGGAGGAGGGTGGGGGATGGATAAAGGAGGAGGGAGACAAAAGGAATTGATGAAGGTAGATGGGAGAAAAAAAAAAAAGAGAAGAGGGGAGAAAGAGTTAGTAGCTGACAATACCAAAAGGCACAGTGATACAAATGACTGTAAAAGGTGTCTTTTTAAAGTGGAAAAAAAAAAAAAAATGCAGTCCATTCTTCTCTCCACTTTTTCAGTCAAACAAATCGGGGTGGGGAAGCCGCAGACATGACTTCTGCTTTAATTCCATTCCCAGCCCAGCAGGTGCACTGAGGCACTCTGGGTAATACGTTGGAGGAAGTGATGGCAGAAAAAGCAGGTGAAGGGGGCGATTTGGAATCACCCCTGGGTGGCCTAAATTGAGTTGAGGGTTCTTCAAATTAAAATTTAGCTAAAAACGCACCACGCCCTTTATCCCAAATGATGTCACACACACACACAGCGAGAATACGAAGATAAGCAAGAAACGGGACAGAGAAAGGAGCGCTAAGAGAGCCGAGTGGGGGAAAACGGACTGAAAAAGACAAGATATGCTGTATCAGAATGTTTTGTCTACATACTTTGAGTCAAGGATGAGCTGTGTAGCATTGCGTCATGAGGATTCAACCACTGCAAGGCTCAAGCCCTCTTTTTTAAAATCAATATAGAAACCTATCCAGGATCACCCAGCTGTTGTATCAAAAATGGGTGTTTTTTTGGGGGGGGGGGGGGGGCTGGCAGTGTCACATTTAAATAGGAAGAATTCAAAATTGAGTGTTTGTTTGCGGAGTGTGTGCGCACAGCAGAAGCAAGTGGAGACCAGCATTCACAATGGTGCTGCTGTGCTTCTACAAGCAGGACAAATGTCCCCAATTCACCCGTTTTAGAATGAAGGTTCCCCATTTACTCAAGTTTATGTACAGCGGGGATGTTATGAATGCGTACGAGTATACTGGCTGTGCTGTGGAGGTCATGCAGACAATGGAACTTGTGGATCAATGAGTCAGAGTTTCACAAGTGTCTGTCTGCATGTGGACGTTGTATTCAAATGTGAGAAGAGTGCAGGCCACTCCAAAGTCCCCCTGCACACTGACACGCACACAAACCTTAAGGAACAAAATGTACATATGGCTGAGAGAGAGCTCGAGCGTGAACACACACAATGTGGCATCACAAACTCTGACCCCCTCAACCCATTACCACACCAGCCTTACGCTCGCATGCACGTAGGCTACTTGATACTTATACAGCTGATTTAAGTTATACAGTTTGTGGACACAATATTCCGTCTTCTGTGTAAAAACTCGCACTGCTAACACTCCACACGTCTCTTGTTCTTTCCCTCAAGCTTCACTGAGCTGTTAAATGATGTCTAAAAATGCAGCTCATCTACTTGCTCCACTTGTAATGGTTGTTTTGTAATCTGCTGTGTAGAAGATAACACCTTCCAACGTGAAGCATTTATAAACTATTTATACCATGAACCCAAATTTATCAAAGAAAGACTGTAAGAAAGGTTATTTAAACAAGAATCTCACACACACACACACACACACACACACACACACACACACACACAAGCAGATCTCTATACGCAGGGAAACACACTGAACATGTGCAACAAGATTTGTTGCAGCAGTTGAGATTCCTCCATTTCACCGCTACAACCGTAATCAAGCCAACAGCAGCTCAACAACGTACTTCATTTGAGACATTAAGGAAGTCCTTCATTCCAAATGGGCAAATTGTACAGAAAATTCCCAAATAACTTTCAAGAGGAATTCCAGCCCTTTCTGGCCCACTATGCCATTCCCGACTGATTCCCCCCCCCCCCCACCACCGCCTCACATTCTGTATGCTCTGCATTGCGGTGGGAACGCCATGCGAAATGTGCAAATGCACCGAGCACTTCCAGTCGGATTAACCTATAGCTCCACACACAGAAGAAGTCAGCTTGGCTGTGGAGCGGGGTGGGGGTTGGGGGTGGTATACATTCCCCAGTCCCAGCCTTTGATTTAGGGAAGGGGGGTGGCGACTAGTCCTGCTAGCCCTGGTTTCAGGCAAGGGTAACAAGGGCCCTCTCTGCCCTGTGGGGGTGGGGCCCTGTTGCTATGGACACGGACAAGACCACTGACAGGAACATGTAGAGCGGGGGTTAAAAGTGGGAGGGGGAGGAAAGGAGGGGAGGGCCAGAAGTGACTAGGGTTGGCTCGTCATGTGATGGCCAGGAGGAAGCCTGGCTCCTTATTTACTTTTAAGAATGGACCAAATATTCTACACGGTCGCCCCCATCTCGCACCGCTCAGATGACACCAACGGGCCTCCATCAAGAGGGCACAAGCTAGTGTTTAGACACGTATGCAAGCACAGACATGTGACAAGAAGACTCACAAAATAAGCACAAGACTTCTACCTCTACACCAGCATCATTAGGGACAGCGTGGGACACTCGGGATCTGTGTGCATTGCCCCCCCCATCCACACTCATTGACTATTCAGCCTGCAGAGGTTCTCAATGACTCAACTCCACACAGTCTGGTTTCCGCTGCCCCTCTCACAGGCCTTAAATTCACCCAATAAGCTACGTTCAACACGTTTTGGTGGTTCATTTTGTATTCCCTTTAGAGAATCCAGGAAGTTGAACGCCACCAGTTTGAAATGACCCAACTTCTGCATCAAAAACACGCCTCTACCCCCCCACCACAAAGAAAAACTTTAAAATAATGTAGTTTAGAGTAAGATAGTAACACAATGACACAGATTTGACTCGAGTAGGAGGGAAAGCTAAGGAAGCTTTGCCTGCGGTCCGGATTAAACAAGGGGGCCACATTCATAATTCTCCAGCACCCCATAGTATTTGACTAAATCTGTTTTTTTTTTTCTTCCAGGTGGGGGCCCACAGTGACCCCATGACCCCAGCATTCTTGAAATAAGAGCCAGGAGTTGGTTCTACAAAGCACTTGGATACAATCTGTATATTATGGTCTCCATTTAAAGGTGTTCTGTGGTGCTTGCTTTATAAAAACAAACAAAAACGCTAAATTAGTGCAACTTCACCAAACTAACTGAAAATAGTATATATTCCATATGTTGTAAAAAAAAAAAAAATGTGTGCAGTGCACGCATGTTCAGTGTCCATTTCCACATTGCTCTCTCATTGCTGACACACATACACATGCTTGAGGCCACCCCTCCTATAGCCATGCCTTTTTCTCTCTTTCCGTACATGTGACTGCATGAGTATATACATGTGGGGAAGGGCAGGCTTTGTTTATTTTATCCAACGAGGGGAACATAATCTGACCCAGGAAGTCAAGTCACAGTCTACACAAAAAAGGCACTTCTGAAACACTTGGAATTAAATTCTACATTCAAAGAAAAAAAAAAAAAACTGCTCAGTAAGGGTTCAGCTAGCAGTAATTCATTCATGGAGCCACGGTGAACTTCTGTTTAATTGGGTCAAATAAAAAACAGCAATTTTAATCAGTTCACTAAATTGTGGCAATTAAGTGTTTTTAAAATGTAAATGCACCTGTAAGATTCTGATATATACACTGCATTTCTTATTTTATAATTTACTTGCCTTCTCAGAATAAATATATAAAATTGCAGGACACTGTCAAGAACAAGCAAGCGTGATCTTCAAATGCCAGATTTTAATAGAAGCCGAGCTTTTAACATTTTCAGAAGTAATGCAAAGTGGAAAGTAAATGTCCAGAAGTTGGCTGAAAGATTTTATAACCATTAAAATAATATTATCACAACAGACAAAAGTGGTTAATTGAACTGAATTTTATTCTATTGTGCCATTTTTTTTTGGAGTTACCACAGAACGCAGCAGATGTTTTGCAAATACACTGGGATCATTTTTGTAGGCTTTGGGCCACAAGCATCTCACATTTTGAAGGAATGTATATCAGGAAGTATTTTTGCCAACACAAAGCACAACACCCAGTGGAACGTCAGCCTGCACAGCTCTGTCTTCAAGAGCCCCAAAACTGCAGCCGGCTCACCTTGATCTCTGTCAGCTATAGCACTTCCCCTTCCTGGAGGGTTCAAAGGTTAAGCCAGAATGATTGGCCCAGCCCCCAGTTGATATTCGCAGTTGGAATGCAAAGAGGGGCACCAGTGTACGAGTGTGTAGCATATACCCAAGAATAATGTTCCCATTGACTAATACTATGTTCCATGGAGAACAGGGTGGGCACGTTTGACTTTTTTTTGAAGTGTGGCTGAAACTCGACTCTGTTGCTGCCATAGCCACACAGCGGGCTGCATTAAATCACACAGCAACGTCACCAGCTTTTCGTGATGAGGAAAATGTGGAGGAAGGCGTCAAGATTTGACGCAAAATTCCATACGTGTCTCCCCTGGTTTATTTTAGTCAACTTCAATTTAAACAAACAGCCTACACGCTTAAAACAGGAAGCTTACATGACCTTCAAGTGGAAAACACATCTCAATTAAAGATGGTTTAAAATAAAAAATAAAAAAACCCCAGCTTCACCCAAATTCAGATTCCAGTAGGCCTATCTTCAAATAATTTGAAGCTCACGTTTCACCTCGACGTTTAAAATAGGGTATTTTACTTTTTTTTTTTAAATCAGAAGATAATTTAATCTAACTATACACAAACCATTGCATATTACGTGTAATGCCTCGTAGAAACCATTACACCAATTACCAAGCGTGAGACATTTTAATTTAATTCACGAAAGGGATTATTTGTGAGCAAAATGCATCACCACCAAAAACGATCCCCGCCACAGAGCCATATCACGTTACGTAGACCTAAAAAATCATATTTAGGCGACACGTAACGTAAACCATGGAGTGATACAACACAGCCCGGTGTGTTTACCGGGGTGCTAACTTGGGAGCTCAGTTTTTCCGTGACTTGGGCCCCAAACCTCCCATTTCAGTCGCGTTTGGGAGTCCATCTCATGCAACAGCAGCAAAGTGTGCAGAAGAGGGCGGAAGCGCAGGACAAGCAGAGAGAATGACGGGCAGAGCCTTCTCAAATGGACGACTCCAAAAGGCCTCTACGCCTTCACACATTGAAGCCAGCACACCCAGGCTTGAAGTCGTCGCCCTAAGGTTTCGAGCTCGTTTAAGGTCAAAATACAAAAACGTATACAAGATATAGTAAGGGGTGGGCGACGTGATACAGGCATGTGCACGACGGTTTTAAGGAGCACCCCACAGTCATGGCGAGAGGAGGGAGTACACCATCATACGCCCCTTTCATTTGACCCCACAGCATTCAGGAAAAGAAACCCTCACCACATATCTCCAAAAAGAAAACACTCACATCCCTGTATTAACTGTGTTCAAATGCAACATGAAACATATTTCGGGCAAATACGAGTTGGTGTCAAAAATAAATAAAAAAAATAAAAAATAAAAAACCTGTAGAAAGAATTTTTTTTTTTAAAACCCAGCAAGATACAGTTCCCACGAGTTAAAGCAGGCACTATAAAATAAAACTCGACCTACCTTAGACGTTTAGGGACAGAGTAGTCCACTTCGATAAGTTTCCCATGAAGTTCAACTTTACCTAAAAAAAAAACAAAAAAAACAGCTATTTATTTCATCACGCCATTAACCCCTACACATGCCTACTTTCTCGCCTTTATGGAGTGTATTTAGGCTTAGTGTTTACAGCTAATTTTATGCAGTGTGTTCAAATTTACATGGTTTCGTCCTGGATATTTTTATACGTAGTGTAATGTTGGCAACACGTATTTCTTAGAGTGTGCGAGCAACTCACAGCACGAGGACACAACTAGATAGGTTTGAGCCCAATACGTAAAAATTACAAGTTAAACTGCATGTGTAATTTATGAACATGCTTTACTATAATATAATAACAACCCACGATAAGTAGTGAATAATCCAGCAAGCAAATAGACGTATCGTGTGTCTCTGTTAGTTGGCCTACATTTGACCAACACAATTAAACCACCTGGTGTGTCAGCATGGGCGAAATGGCTTCACAATGTAGCGAGTTGTGACCACAGCAGAAGGCCTGTAGTTTGAAACCTGGACAAGAGTGTAAGTTCAAACTAAGGCTGGTAAAAGCAACTAACACACGACAGCATCTGCCCATGTTGTGCCAAAGTGGGCTGTGTGATAAAGCCCACAATATGGTTCACTTCACGGCGTTCACATCCCACTGCCTAGTCGCCCCACTGCCCTGCACGGCGCATAACCTGCTTTGGAAAAAGCCTTACAGTATTCTCATCGTCAGGGTTGTGTTTACTCTACCATTTTACCAAGAAACTACATTTATCAAGGAATTACATGAGCAGAATTCACTCAAACCCAGGGTATCTATTTGCCTGAGCCCACGGTGTCAAAAGGCCAAGTAGAGGTTGTGTGAGAGAAAGAATCGCTTGGATACACCCCCACCCTATAGGAACTACCGAAGTAAAGGCAATCTCCACACAATTTCAGCTGTGCGTCTTTTCAAATGCCACTTTTTTTTTGTACCAACCTGATAGAATATCGATGGCCTTCATTGCAGCCTTCTCGTCCGGGCAATCCACAAACGCATAGCCAGTTTTGACAAGAAATGGACCACTGTGCGGAATCTTCCACTGCTCAAAGACAGTTTCGAAGTCCTCCTCGCTCGCCTCGGCGCTCACGTTGCCAATGTATAGCTTATTCATGTTGTGCGCCGAAAAGGGACAATCTTTACGCTGAGGGAGAGATAGTTAGTTGCACTCACGGACGTGCAGTGTTTGGAGTAGCCTAAATCGCCTTTACTACTACGGAGTGGCTGTGGCGTGCTTCCCGGTCGTTCAAGCCACAGATAGATTTAAACTGGCAGCCTCACAGTGCGTTCGCTCTCACTCGCCCCTCTGTCTCTATCGCGCAATAAATAAATGCTCAATTATTAATCTGGTGTCTCCAAACGATGGCGGGCTGGGTGAAAAGGAGGAGAAACTACTTTGTGTCTTCCTCCAAACCCCTTGGCAAAGAGACAGAGAATGTCACACACGGTAAGGCTGGCGCCCGCCTCTAAGTCTAGAGCCTAGAATAAGAAGAAGAAGAAGGGGGGAGAAAAAAATCCTCCGCTATTCCGGCTTTTTTGAATGAGCCACGTGTTCAAACTACAAATCAGCCCACACGTGAGGAATCCCAATTGCTCAATTAAGTGTTTGGGATTGGGGAAAATTGCACGGGAATCTGGGGTGGGGACAGCAGAGGGGAGTGGAGAAAAAAGGGGAAGAGTGGATTGGTGTTGGGAAAAAACCTGGCGAGCTTTGTGCGTAAAGGGATTCCGTGAGAACCCAGTGTATCTTTACTAGAATCACATTCGTGTGCCTTTCTCTGTTAAGGCTCGATTCTCATTGGTCGGTTGAGGAATAGTAAAGCGGCAGTGCGCTCACGCACGCACATAACAGGGAGACGCTGATATTGCGTGGGCTTGTGCGCACGGCTGTGTTAAGTGCGCTGCACTGATGACACACAAGGAGGAAAAGGGGGTGGGGCCGGTCATAAATGATGTTGCACTACATTGTTAAATTGCATAAAGGATATTTTTAATTTGCAAAATGTTGACCGAGGAGGGCCGTGTGCCCGCTCAGTGGGCCCTCGCGCAATGTGAGAATGACACGTAGGCCTACTAGTATCCACATGACGGCATCCATCTTCTACAGCTAGAGTGGAACCATGCCCTCCCTGATCCACAACTCAAAGTCCAACAGCAGGCCCAACTTGCCCGTGGTCACTAAAGCGGCTGTGAGGGTGTGTTTGGGCGAGACTGGTGCCGCCATGCCACTTGATTGATCCAACTTTGAGGCCAAAAGCGTCGAAAACAAGAAACCTTTCACCATGTGGTCCGAATGCACATGGCGAATCCTCCCTCACTAAACCCCGTGCATGGACTTCTGTTAAGAGGGAGGGGTCTCCTACACTAAAGTGCCCCTAGCGTCCTATGTAACGCACAGCCAGACTCAAACACGTGTGGAATACATGTCTAAAATATTATTACACAACTGTGTTTAAGATGAAGCCGAAATCACAGGCAAAGGCTGATTGTGTACGTGAAGAGCAGTCAGCAGAGAGCCGCCATGTGTACAGGACTGCTGGTTAGAGGAGCTGAATCCGTATTGTGTATGTCCCAAAAACTAGAAGAATTTGTTTAGATCTATCCATCTATCTATCTATCTATCTGCACAAATCTAAAAGTATCTAAAACAACAGAACTGCATTAAAATCTACCTTTAAAAAGGTAACAATATTGTTGTTTTTATTTTAACTGTATACAAATCATTACATTAACATTATGGGAAGTTTGGAGGCAGTTATTTTTCTTGCTGATGAAGCATAAAGTCTTCTTGGTTTCTAAACACAGGTCATCAAATGACATAAACTTGAAAACAAAGGCAAGGTCAGGTGTGTTGTAATACTAATGTGATCTGGTGCATTAGTTGCAGATTTGAGTTTATCTAATTACACGATAGCACAATCCTTATATTAGGTTTTATCCGACTTTATTCTCAACCTATTCAGAATACGCATTCTAGCTCTACGAGTGTAATATGCGCAATACACATTACATGTGACAGTGAAATTTGTCTTGTGGGATTTGTAATAAAATGTGTCAGGCAGTTTTACTTCCTATCATTAAGCCTATGAGCTGTCTTTTTTGAGTTAGGCTATACGTTGTAAATCAAAGTAGGAAGAACAGCCTAGAAGTACCACTGTAAACTACAAAAAAAAAAAAAAAAAAAAAGGTAGGCTACATTGAAACATAGAGATTTCATTTTCCAGTAGTCTACATGTTTTCATTGCAACTTATATTTGGTAACTCAATGAGACTTTAGCTTAGTCTTGCTGATTGATTCAGTCTTTAGCACGGCCTTTGTTTGAAGTTGGTTATACCCTATTTCAATTGTAGAAGTTTAGGTGGGTGTAACCTCCACTGCAGTCCTGTAATTTCCAATGTAAAGGGCTCTACTTTTTGCTCATATCATAATACTGTGCCAATGCACCTGTGCAAAGGTGTGAACACTCAAGTTAAGCAGGTTACAAAAAGAAGAGTTGGTTTAGTGGGCCCTTCAGCCTCTCTCTCACACTGGGGCCATGGCTGTCTCAGTGGGTTTTCTTCTCTGCTGCTGAACAAACACACAGAGCCCGCTGATTGGCCGAGGCGACCGGCCAATCAGAGGGCTTCAGACCTGCTCCGTACTACTGCTTCTGGCTCGGCCTCAACGCGCTCATTCATTGGCTCCTCGGCTCGACTATTCTATATGAATCAGCGCGCCAATTATGCATTTCTCCCCGTGTCACCCCTGTTGGGCTTTGTCATAAGCCATAAAGATCTAACGAAGCCCGAGCCCACGGACAAATCCGCGGCAGCCTTTAGAACTTTTCTAAACTATTCATAAAGTTTAGGCTCTCTTTACATCATAGATTAATATAGGCCACTCATGTTTTATCACATACGGCTAAAAGTGAGCGTTTAAAATTCGCTTTTAATGCACTTTCTGATAGTTTTAAATTGTATTTTTATTTGTTTTAAGTTTGAACTCCGAAAAAGTTTCTCTACAACTTTCACTCTGATTTTAGATCTGTCATGTTTTCTGTCTGTATGGACGAATATACGGTTATTATCAAACCTAAGCGGCTTCCGGTGGCCTACTTAGACTCTTACAATTTTTTTATAACCTAATTGAATTGGCTTTATAGAATTATGCAGCCTAAATACAAAGAAACGCCTAAAAGTGTAAGACACACTGACTGATCGTGCAGTGCTAATGTCCTAACTTTTTCCTAATGTATGGATGTAGAAAGCAGTGTTTGCAGTGCTCGCCTCCCCTGCTCGCTTTGAATGAACTGATGCATGGCTGCAGCCTGTGTGTGTGTGTGTGTGTGTGTGTGTGTGTGTGTGTGTGTGTGTGTGTGTGTGTGTGTGAGAGTGTGTGTGTGTGAGTGTGTGTGTGTGTGAGTGTGTGGTTGCAGGCTCTGCAGGAGGAGTAGTGAATGTATCGCTGAGGAATGTACAGAAAGTCTCCCCGCCCCCAGTTTCAGGAGTCCTCGCTATGGACAAATTCCATAGGGGGCCAAAAAACTGACATAAAGTTTCAGACTGCATCCTATATGTGGGAAGATTGCTGCGGTTAATGTCAGTGCAGGAACAAGAACTGACAAAAATCGATCTGGTGAAACACAGTCTGGGATATTTCTAGAGAGAAAGAGACAGAAAGAGGAGAGGACAGGGGAGGCAGATTGTTTAAGTAAAACGCAGCTTATAGCCCAACTTTGAGCTGTTGGCCTCACTCCAAGATGTAGATAGTCTACGTCGCCAGGCGCGAGGCTCCTTTACAAAAAGCCCGTAGGCTACACTGAAACAAGGAATCCTGGTTTCCGGTGAGATTGTTTTATTTTTTTTATTTGTTCGCAGCCGATTTTAGTCTTTCACAATGTTTTCTTTCCACTTGGGTTGTTACTATTAAATTCACTGACTGACCGCTTCGGACACAGTCAGGGAGCAGTGTGCTGTGCGCCATGTTGAGGAGAATCTGGAGCCTACAGTAACATTAACTGCTGGGAATGATCTCCTTATCGACTCTTATACAAGGCTTTTTTTGGGGGGGCAGGGGGGATAAAGACACATGCTTTCTATTATTATCAAATTGATTCCTGCAGGCTCAAAAACACCAAAAAACTGGATGGGTTGCCTCTCTCTGACTCTCCTGAGGGATGACACCCTCCATCTCATTAGAAAATGGCGGTTTGTGCCCCTTCAAAACACATGCTGGGAACATTTCTTTTCAACAGCACCTAACGAGTTAATGCTCACTGGAAAATTATTTAAAAGACAAATATATTTGAGTATATCTCTCAGTTATTTTAAAAAGAATCATACCATGAAAGGCATTAATTTTTTTCTCGTTTTGTCGTCACCTGCAACCATTTTCCTAAAACAAAAGTCAAATCCTGGAAATTACAATAAAATGTACACCCAAAGTAATCCAATATATTATTTAATTGCACAGATATTTTTTTTTCAGGAAATAAGTGGAGTATTATTTTGTTCAAATAAACTTATAATCAATGAGTTTCAAGGAGAGTTGGCGTCATTGTCCTGATCCACAAGTGGATCCTCTCATTCTGTAGAATAAATATGATTTTAATTACAGCTAATTCTAATCCTACACACAGGCCATTTTACACTCTGCAATGTGTGAAAAGAAAAGAAAAAATCAGAATTCAAAGTGTTTGTAAATTATTTCAACAAAAATAGATGTCTTTTTTGTAATTATCATGTGCTCATTTCTGTAGTTTTTGTGTCTTCATATTTATTTTTGGAGTTAATGTTGAGTGTTTCAAAAAAAAAAAAATCAGGTTTCCACCTCGTGTTCATGCAGGACAAAGAGTCTGATGAAAGTGAGTCACATGAATATTTGGAGACGTTTCCACACATTGCATCTTTACTATATGGTCTGTGTTGTAGATAAATCCTTTCTCTCAGGCTGCTCCTGTTTTCTGCTTGATTCATTAGTTACACTGTCTTAAATGAATGTCTTAAAACAAACCCAAAAGCAATTCACTTCTTCGATATCTAGTTTTCTACAAGAGCAGATAAACAATGGGTTGTTGTTTTTTTTGTGCTTCACACTGCCCATTTGAAATAAAGTGTATGAGTTGCTTCATTTGAAACAGATGGAGATTATAATTTGCTTCCTTTAATTCAATGTTTAAAATGTGGCTGTTATTTACTATATGTTAATACTTAGTTGACTTAAAACATGTTGGAGGTATATGCTTCAATGACTTCATGATCTCAAAAACTCATCTCAGTTAAGAAATAGATTTGATTTGAGGTGGAGTTCAATGTGTGATGGCCGCAGCAACCTCCGACCACAAGAAATGAACATTTCCACTAATGCTTGATTGTGTCATCTATTTTCATCTCAGATGTTTCCATGTGCAAAACATGAATCAGGATTTGCAAACAGTTTTTAAATGTACAATTTAAACCTTTAAATGTATAGATAGAAGCCTACAGTACAATAAAAGAGGATACTTTACATGTTTCTGGAACTGTTGAGATGTGTTTCACTGTTGAGTTTCTGCAGATGTCTTCAAAGTTTAAACAGATATATGCAATAAAGCCCTAAAATGTACATTTCAGAAAACACATGTTGCTGGACTTGTGCTCAAAATCAGTAAATCATTGATTTTAAAAAGGATGAAAAAAGGGGTTCAATTGATTTTTTTTGTAATCAAGAAC